TAGCTTGTGAACAACGTAGGCACCATTAATTTGAATAAAAATAATTTCAAAGAACAGTTATAGATCAATCCGAAAGAAAAAGCAATGCCAGAAAACAAGGTTACGCGTGCCGCGCTACCTTGTTTCCTGGCATATAAAATAGGGAAAGTTTTTAACTAAGTTACATATTTTGTTTATTTGTCCGATACCACGCAGGGCGATACCTTTTACTTTAAACACAATAAACACATTATTATGCAGTTTTTTTGTTAAGGCCAGGTTGACGCGGAAAAATTGTATATCTTCTGATAAAATAATTGCAGTACCTAGATAGCAACTAAGACGTAATGCGCGAATTAAACGGATTAAAATTCCAAAGCTGCCGGACACACATTCTAACTTAATCTTTCTTTTAATTTCATACTTTGCAATTCACGTAATCTGAAACAAATCGATAAGATTAAAAATGCACCGTGATATTTAACATTGTCGTTGTATTGGCAGCCTGACGATTAAACAAATACAAGCTTTGACTTCTTCATTCAGATTCACTCGTTCAATATTTATTTCATCTTGTTAAGCCCTTAAAAGGAATTATCTGTGAAATCATGTCAATATCTAAGTAAAACGCAGTAAATGTGGGCACAAGAAGACTAATTATAGCGCTTTGGAAACATGAAGAAAACTCTTCAAAGTCAAAATCAAAATCTCTTTATCCAATATAGGCTTATTTTAAACTCTTATTGGTCATAAAACTACCACCAGTTCACTAAACTAGACCTGTGCAGAGAACCGGCAAAAACTCTCTATACAAAACGGCTCTATACAAAATGATTTAAGTACTAGCTGTTGCCTGCGACTACGTCTGCGTAGAATAGGGTCGTACTGACGCAAGAGATACAATTGGCCGTGGGAAAAATAGTTACATAATAAGTCAACACCAGCTGCCTTTAGGGTCTGTCCCTGAGACTTATCGCGACTCATCGCAAAGCAAGCTGCTGCTGGAAATTGTGTATGCTTGAATTGGAATGAGAAGTTGTTGGGAATACGTGGTATTTGCAGAATATTCCCGATTTCGGCCTGAGCCAGTTTCTGTGGTAGGGCCACGCAAGTCTTCGCTCTTGCACGAATGGGCAGGCCCGTCCGGGAAAGTACCACGACCTCGTAGAAGTGGACATGTTATATGTTATATTAGTTTATGCCCAATTTATTAAATTGTAGCAACGCACCTGGTGTTACAAACGGCCATGGGCAGCGGTAATTATTTAATATCAGGTAAAACGACAGCTCGTTTACCGCATTCTCACTTTAAAAAAAAGCCAGACCCAGTAAGAAACTCAGCTTCCCTGTTGTACTTTCCATTCTATTCTTCCTAGGAAGTTACACTTTAAGGTTTTATTATATAATTCATTCAGGCTTCTATCATGTAATTAATTCTGTACTATATAACGACACGTTAGTTGGGTGATACGATTCACAACCTATTAAATGGTTAAGGATCGCATTAAAACCAAATAAATTAACATTCATTTTTGTTTTTAAAAGAGAAGCAAACTTAATTAAAATTAAAAATGTATAAAATATTTGTCTTGCATTGTTTTATATCAAAAATTATCTTTTCTCATTGTGAACAAAACAAAAGATAACTTATTAAATAAACAAAGAAGAGATAACTTAATAAAATAATTGAATTCTTTAATTCAACTAAATAATCAACTTTCAATACCTCATTGAAAGTTGATTATGTAGCTCTTATCTTTTTAGTGCCAATCATGTCTTGATCAGTGCATTATTACGATATTGAATACGATACAAGAATGCATTTGTATTTGCAAGAGTGTAAGTCATATGAATGTCACTCAAAATGATTTTAGATTCCGATCAAATAATCAAAACAAATTAGAAAATGTACCTATTTTGTAGGAGATTGTCCACTGTGAGTTCGTATTTATGGAATCCAATTCTTATTTTAAGGAATACAACAGTAGTGTCGGTGTTATACGCAACCACAAATCACATCGGTCCCGTTATGTCGTAGACCCTTTTCAACCTAACAGAACGCGAAAAAGGTTAAAGATTTGCCCGATTCTTCTTTGTTATCTAACGCACAAAAACTCAAAACATTTTTGAAGAATTGGATTTTTTCTCCTTATCTTTTACAAAGCATACTTAAGATACTTAACATATGCTTTTAGCATACGTTATTTTATAAGTATTAGCCTCTCGACTCTCCCAGAAATCTCTCCCGTATATTGAGAAAATTTTACGTAAAACAATTTGGACAAATATTGACTTCAACAACCTTAAAGCGTTTATGAACGATAAAGGATGAATATAAACTGTGGGATTGATCAACACAGGACACAGATTTATGTGATCAATAAATATTTGTTCCTATTTTAGTTTCTATTCGTGTCCGTGAATTTCATATTTGTGGTACTTCACGGAACAGGAATTATTCCTAATGATAGATTCGTTCATCGAAAAAATAAAATTAAAAATAAAATCATTTGTAACACAACGGATGATTATCAAGATCATAATTATGTTCAAAATACAAACTATAATATTTTTTATTATTTATTTTATTTTCAGTGATAGTCTCTGTCCTCAAGTGGAAACTTTAAATATGATTTTTTTATTACCCGGAAGAGGCATGCATGAATTCCGCAGCTTTTTTTCCATTTATCTACTCACATAAATTCACATTTTAAGTATTAATTTATTTGTTTTTCATTATCATTTATAAATACTTTAGAAAGAACATTACTTCATTTCTTATATTTCTCGTTACATAAAACTCAATTCACAGCAAAAGCCAGCAATAAATAACTGTGACCCAATTTACAAAAGCACTTACAGCTTAAATGATGCACTCATTCTTTGAGCGAAATCTCAAACCTGTATTGGACTGCCCGGAGTTGAATGGAAAACTTAAAGCCCTTCTATTATTTAGCACTTTTAAATAATCGTAACTAACACTAGAAAAAATTTTGCTCGTTACTACTTTTACTTTTATTGTTTACTTAACAAATAATTCTAAACAAATTCTATGTATGGTATGCTTGATACTTATTATTGGTCAAAAACTTTTTAAAACCAACACAGAATCGTAATACACACGTAAATGATAAATCAGTAAAATGATGTTGAAACATGTTAATGTCATTAATTAAAAAAACCATATCAACATTGCAAAATCACGTTATGTATAACGCAATAGTTTATTGCAAATGTAGTTTCAGAGTGGAGCCAATAATTTTTATAATTTATCCAATATGCCTGAATTCTATCCCGCTGTGACGCAATAATTATAGGAAAGCTATCTTCTTTCTGCATCTAGATTTCGATGAGTTTACTTATATAGTTAGACCATTTTACCTAGTTTTGCTAGTGCCTGACTCCATTGGATAAAGACATTGGATAGACATTGTTGGTAGATGCGTCATTTCAAAAGAACGTTGTCTTGAAAACATTCACATTAAATAGGACTAACAAATGCACATATTATTCCATTTCCTAATTTCCATTATCATCATCATCACTTCATCATGCTTTATTCCACTGCTGAATATAAATCACTTATTACCTTCCCTCCACATTTGCACATGCTCCTATATATATCGATTATAAACAATGAGGCAAATTTCTAAATTTTATTTGTGGGAAATATCGACTGCAACCAACTGAGTTACTAGCCTATTTCTTTCACTACTAGTCACTTCGGCATTTCTAGAATAAAAAATAAAAGACGCTCTCACAAAGAATATACAATACAGCAGAGCAGGTGATGTCCTTTTACTGTAATAGTGAGACGCGCCAGGTGAGGTCCGTCCAAGAATGGGGTTAGAAATGACGTGAAATGGAAGTTTTTTAGAAGTTTCATCTGGCGAGTGGGGTAACCAGGGCTCTCTCTTTTAAAGGATTAAAACGGGTTAGCAAGCCGAAAGTTGTTTTAGATTTCGTGGACATTGCTAATGACTGAACGTCGGATACACCGGCTGGTCCTTGCAAATCCGGCTACCTTCCAAAATAAAATAAATTGCATAGCATCGGAAATATTGAATTGAAAGGATATCGTTAAGAATTATTAGAATTTATAGGAACAATGTAAACAAGTACATTTTACGCCGATAGCCGTTATTTATATTAATTGTATACAAACTGATGAAAATAAACGCTGTAGCTTATACCACGGTATATGATTAACGAATATCAAACCCGTCATTATAATAATCGTTTACGATCAAACGTACACAACCGGCGTCCATAGTCTTCTCTATTGGTATTATTCACATTCATTGTAACTGCTATTAATACTCGTTTGAAATATAATAACCACCCAGTGAACTTAAAAACAACCAATTACGTGAATATATTGAAATCAATTCAGATATCACGGAGTTAATTAATGGTTAGCACTGTTACCACAATTATATTACATTATGTAAAAAAAACGTATTGTGCTGTCATTGGCGCAGTCAAATTGTTACGGCAATTAAACAAATCGTTGTTTGTCAGAAAATTGTGCCGATTATTGAAGTGCGTACTTCTTTTGGTGCGTTTGAGGATATTGATGAGAGCAATAATACTTTATAGTATTTATATTATAGTATACGCTTAGAAACCGCCGACCTTGTTTTACTTAAGAATTTGCAATAAACATTAAATATATAATAATCACCACTCGAAAGTGTTCCCTTTTCCAGAAAAAGTGGCGGCATACATTCACACGTTTCTTTCATCGTAACTTTCTCACATACGTCGAATGTTATAAAAAGGATAGCGTAACATTAACTAAAGGCAAGACGTCCCAATTGGGACGTTTTCGTGGCACTCACTTCGGGCGCTTTACCGACATATCTGTAATATAAATATCAATGAATGAGACTGATTTTTACGACGCGCGGAACCTAAAAGCGACACCAACTTACGTGTTACTTTTGTCATTTATCTTTAATACCAAGTTATTTACCTAAACCGCAAAGAATTGCATTTGGTGTCTTTTTTTTTCGCAAACAATGCAGGTATAAAATTGTTAGTTATTTTTCTAACGTTACGCTAAAAAAGTATAACTTCTTACATGCGTACATAAGTACACACATGATTTTTAAACACACCTCATATTTGATAAATCGTATTCTGGTTCGTTAAATTGTATCCTTGTCATTTAAATATTTATGAATAAATGCACATTGGGATGACCACAGAACTCACCAGGTAGTCCAAACAGTTTTGAATTGTGTAAAAACACTTATTCTATAGGTAATTTTTACAGTGATTTAGTAAGTAGTTAATGATTATATAACATGACTTCACAGATTTAAATCTGACCTTTTTTTCAAAACAACCTATGCCTAATTAGAAACGGTTTCGTAAACGTCACAATGCTATATGCACGCATCTGTCGTATGAGAATCAAACTTTTTCAAACCTTCAGGTTGTAATCTTTCTCTTGATTACTACTATACTAATGATATTTAATGGCATGGAACAGTCAAACGTTTCAAAGAAAAGCGTTCACAAAAAATCAATAGTCAGATAAAAAAATCAATAGATTTTAACGCGGACCAAACCACGGAGATGCTAGATTTAAACATATTTTGTTTACTGAAACTGGAAAGTATTTTTTATCCAAACAGTTTTGAAGAATTTAAACAAAAATATTCAATTGTATTTCGTACACCTGCGAAATGTTAAAATCAAAGTCCCGCAAATACCACAAGTTTTCATAGACGAAAAAGTTTTTTTTTTTTTCAATAATACTTCTTTTTAGTTACAAAATTAATTAAAACATGCTCATAAGTTAGAGCTAAGCCTTTGTATCTTCTTTTTTTTTGTAATGTTGAGCCCAATTCCGTCTTTCAGCTTTCTGCCGGTAAGAGCCCAAAAACTTTTAATCGACGCCTCACTCATTGTTAAAGGTAACAGCGCCAAAGTTCCCGGTGGTGATCAAGATTGGGCACGCTCACAGCGGCGTGGCCAAGGTGAAAGTGGACTCCTTGGCCGACTTCCAGGTAACCCTACTCAATGCCAAAGAATAGGTACAATTATAACATAAAACAGATTACTAGTGTGTTTAAATATCGATAAATAAAGATTTCTTCGTTAAATCAAGACACGAAATTAAATTTGCACAATATAGACACTTTCGCTTAAAGCTATAAACGCTTATATGGTTAATTCGCATTTATTGGTGGCAATGAGTCGGATAAAATTTTTATATAAATCGTTGATGGCACGGTTGCTGTTTTTTTTGTCCTGTCATGCAGTATGGACATCCATTGTACGACGCTCGTGACCGCGTCAACGGTAAAAATTATTATAATTGGCATTGCATTCCCGAATGCTATAGTAACAACGGGGCTTATAGTAACATAAAATCAGTTATACGTTTTAACAACTAACATTTCAATTTATCATTAACAAACGATTTATTTGCGTTAATCACACGTCTAAAATGTTTTTTTCGACAGCAAACTCAGTATGAACTTTTGAATGAGTGAGTGAATCTTATGTGCATTTTGCCCGTGAATGACCCTAAACCTCAAAGGTACGATTTACAAGACGGTGGTGAGACCTGTCATGATGTATGAATCTGAATGTTGGGCAGCAAAAGAGACGAAAAGAAAAATGCATGTGACAGAGTACGAATGTTGAGATCGATGAGTGGTGTAACCGGAAAGGATTAGATACGGAATGAGTATATAAGGGAAAGGTCGAAAATGGCACTTAGCATTGCACGATCAGCATTGAGATTACTTAGTTGTTAATGACTAGTTACATGATTACCATTTGAAATTTTGAAGGACATTGCTGGCGTTGTCGCTATGCTGGGGACATATTCCACTGTGGAGCCTTACATCGATGCTAAGTATGACATCCACATCCAAAAAATTGGTACGAACTACAAAGCCTTCATGTGAGTACTTACAAAATTTTTATCTTGTATTATAATAAACTCAATATTTATATTCCATATTGAGTTTATTATAATAACCAAATATTTATATAAACTGCACTTGTTTTTTTTTTATAAAGAAGATAAAATACGTTGAGATTTTCGTCGGTGTGAAGACGCTCAGTGGCTGGAGTGTCGGATGCGTATACTTGAGGACACAGGTTCAAATCCTCGTAACGACAAAAAACTTTTCGTCCATTTTTCTACAATTTTCTAAGTTTCATCTTTATTGCAGAGAATACCATTACAAAAAATAATATCCTTTAAATTTTAATTATAAACTTTTTTTTCGTTACCGAGGCAGACGAGTAGTGCTTGTATCGAGTCTCCGTAACCTTCCAGAACTGTTCATCGGACGAAATGTGTAAAATCTTATTGCATCAGTAAATTTAGCTCCCGTTCTGGGATTACGCCAAAATAGTAAATTTCATCTGCACTTGATCTCCGCACCAGATTTTGTCCGTTCTTGTTTACTTGCCAACGCCTACGGGTGCACGTTTGTATCTACCATTTCGAACTAACTCGATTTACGATTACCGTAAATCGCCAGGCGTTGAATAATATCTCTACACCTGTGAATCTATTGTTTAGAACAATTCTGCAGATTGTTTCTTGATAAGATTTCATCGTACTAATCGAAATAAATTTATAATTCTTAATCAAACTTTGATGGATTGATGCATTGAAGAAAATAAATGGTATTGTGTTTGTTTCTTACTATATGATAAAAAAGAAATATTCAAGAACAATAATTTATTTATATAATAGAATTAAAATATTTATAATTTAAAATATTTTTACGGTCATAACAAGTTTTAATTAATGCATAAATATAAAACGACGATTGTTCTAGGCGCAAATCTATATCGGGCAATTGGAAAACCAATCAAGGATCGGCCATGCTTGAAGCCATTGGAATGAACGACAGATATAAAATGTGGATAGATGAGGTAAATACTCAACTATTTTCTATATACAGCGTGTCGTTACAATCGCGACAATAAATGAACACACGTCTAACGCTACTTGCCAATAATCATAAAAAATATTAACGTAAAAAAATATCCATAAATAAAGAAAACAAACTAATAATAATATAATAATTTTCAAACAAACTAAAGTAGTTTGTAAAGTAAAATTCGTAAAGTAGTTTCATTTAATATGTATAATATTCGCGTAATATTAAGAAAACAATATTCAAACAAACTAATTAAGTAAAAAAGAAATAAAATTTGTAACTTCCTATACAACTACAACGGACTGATTCATACATTCAGAGACTTTTTCATTCGTTGCCACAGCGTCACATTACAAGCCTCTCCTTCCAACAGAACTTCCAACGTTTTGTCTCTTTTAAATGTGTGACCTTTACAAATGAACTTTACGTTACAGTTTTATACGTAAGGATGTTCTAAAATTCTTTGTTTTGGAAAATTTTATAACTCTGTAAATATTGATGTTTAAAGAATGTAAATGCTTAATACAATTTAAAAAAGTTATCCTCTATATGTGTTCATTTATAGTCGCGATTGTACGCGAAGATACGCTGTATAACAAACATATCTCATGTAGCGAAGGATAAAAATGTTAAAATTTTAAACATAAACTTCTTCCTTAAACGATATTTTAGATGATTGGTCGTAAAGCTAGAAAAGAAGACTAGGGAAGCTTATGTCATAAGTGCCCACTGTAACACATCGTAAATAGTTCCAGTTGGCATTTGACATCGATCTACACATGCAAAATCGACGTTTAGGTTACGAATGAAGACCGAAATAGAAGCGCTTTCTCGATACTTCGATGGCGACGGTCACTTCACGTGACGTATTCCAGAACAACTTTGTATACACATGACGACGCTTTGGATACAAAGCCATACAAAGCTCGTCGTCAGATATCATTTCGATTTCAAATTTTATCGTGTGCAGGTAAGCGAGATCTTCGGCGGCTTGGAAGTATGCGCTTTGGAATTAGTGGTGGGAAAAGACGGGCGGGAGCACATCATTGAATTGAACGACTCGGCTACCTCTTTCATGGGCGACTCGCAAGAGGAAGATCGGCGCCATCTAGCGGAGCTTGTTTTGCAGCGTATGCAGGTATTAACATATAACAGTATAACAAAAATTTCATTAAATAAATAAAAAAAAATCTAAAACAAAAAATCACACGTTTACATACAGTTCTTGAACATTTAAATAAATCTGAAACATTTACAATACATCTATCACTAATTCTATTCACGTGTTCGACTGTTAATGCCAATTTCCCACTCGCTGTGTACGATCGTAAATTTATCAGCGTTTACTAAACTCAAAATATAAATAAATAATAAATAAGTTGTTCAAGTGAAGTGGAGGTCGTCATCTTGAAAGAGTCCGGTTGACTCAGCTCAATAGGCACTGAGGGTGTATCTCGACTAGGTATGTGAATAAACGTGTGCATGACCGCATCGTATTCGTTTGCGCAGCTGAATCATCGTATCGTGTTTGCAAGTGCAGCTGTGAAATTGACTTGGCTATTGTTGAATCTTAAGAAAGGCGTAAGCATCAACTCGTTCCATTCGGAATTTCTAAATTCCAAGGCCATTGAAAAATTATTAACACGACCGACAATGTTCTTCGGCGAAAGTTGTAAGATTTATGTAACATAATATGGTACGTTTAGTTTGTATAACATAACATAATTATATTTTCAAACTTCTATATAAATTATAAAAAGTTAAAATCGAAGATAAGGACCCTGCGTACTGTTATGTACAATTTACAGTATTGAGTATTTGCGTAGGTCAGCAATTTAGATTTATACAAAAACAGTTTCGATGCCCAAGTACGGCAGTCAACATCAAGAAGTCAAACTCTATACTCGGTCCGATAACAATCATTTTTATAACGTAGTTGTGTGTCAGAATTAAAGTTCCTTACAGCCAATAAAAAGTGTTTTTTTTTAAAAAGGACCCACAGAGCGCCATCCTTACAGTACGCAGCATCGTTTGTTGCAAAAACGGGCAGGCTCTACGGAGAAGTACCACAGCTTCACGTCGTGAAGTGGAAGTATTATACTTTCGCGGGTTAGTGAGTTATTCGGGGTCCACTTTTATAATATGAACTAACTCATATACTATGGCAACGTACTAAGTCTAGGGCTAGTCTAGGCAATGAAAGAAAATCAGTATCATGTTGTTTACAAATATAGTAATAAAAAAGGGGTCGTATTTATTATTTAACCCATTGTCTTATTTTAAAACAGTTATGCTAATAAACTTAGAGTTGACAAGAGCATAAAAAACAGTAATTTATCGTGTAATAGAGAATAATAGCGGTGTCTACTGAGCTCATTACACAAATGCTATAACTTCTTTGTATATAAAAATATGAGCTTTCGTATGTTTGTGTCCAAAAAACTCAAAAAATAACCGATGGATTTATTTTATTATGTTCACAACATAGCTATTGAACAGTAGAGTGTTTTTTTATACTTTTTATTACAAAGTTCCCGGGGCGGTTCAGCTGGTTGTATTATACGCGAGAAACGACACAAAGCGAGAGTTAATGCTTTAATGCCGTCAGTCAAAAAAAGAGTATAAATAAATTTGTCAGTGACATTGTAAGCTTATAAGGTATTCTTTTCCTTTATTATTCAAATCGATTGTGTGTCTAATGTGAAAAGAGTAAGAGGTCGCCAACATAAAAGGAGGAATTTAATACCGAATGAAATCATCGAACGAAATATTTTGGATAAAAGCGATTGACTGATCGATAAAAGAAAGATCTGCGTCTCTTATAAGGTCTACCTCTTTCACACCTGCCTACCACGTGTTCAGCCATTAAATTTACTAAAGTAATCTATTAATAGAGTAAGGTACTCATTGTTCATTTTAATGTATTAATTTTAAAGTCAATCATAACACATCAATTCTATCTATTATTTAACATCCATTTTGTGGCCTGTGAATAAAACTTATTACACCGTGTAGTTTGAAACAGTAATTTCGCTAAGGAAAGGACCTATCTATCATACTTAATTCACTAAACTAACTTTCCTTATTTGAAAGCAAGTGTTAAGAATGCGATATCAATAACAATTATTCAATACTTTATTAACAATCACTATTGTGCCGTGCCATTTAACAGTGAAACAAATTATAACTATTTATATCTTTTGTAAACTGATAAAATCATCTCCATTACAATATTTAATAATGATGCCCCATCCTGTGACTCTGTTTACAATTAGTTCAATTACTCTAAGCATGGGGGTAGCAATCTCAGTGACGATCTGCGTGAGGGACGTCTATCAACAGTGACATCTGAAGATAAAATCAGTGCTATGCAACACATGATAGGGGAAGATAAAAGTGAACTACCAGCAGATTCTGGCAAGCTTAGTGATTGGTATGAGTCAAGATCAAAAAAATATTACACGACCATTTAGGCGTCACGAAGCTTTGTACCAGATGGATTCCCCATACTTTGACCGAAGATCAGAAACGCCTTAATGTTACAAAAGTTCAACAGAGGTAACTATAGTGCTGTATTTGAATGCGACACAGATGATGAAAGCTTTATATATTGCTACGAACCCGAAACCAATAGACGGGTGTTTCCTTTTGAGGATCGTCCAAAGTTATGGTACTGGTATGTTAACGATTGTTTTCTTGTCGTCTTGGAAAACGTTCGACGGCAGCGTCCTCAAAGCAGTATTTTCCCAACGCTTCAGCGTACACCGCGAAACGAATGAGCCATCCGCCATATAGTCCCAACCTGGCGCCTTGTGATTTTCATTTATTCCCAAGAATCAAAGACAAACTTAGAGGTATTCGCTTTACGAGCGCTGGAGATGCGGTGAGAGGGCCCAGTGCTTGTCTCAATGACCCACGTCAATAGTAACAAAGTTGTAAAGGACTATCATTATACTTACGGAAAAAAAAAATCCGATGAACTGTCTATCTCGTGCCGGAGCCGGCTATAATGGAATTTCGCTTACAAAATTCATACAATGAATGATACAGTGAGCAGTGATGGTCAAGTGGCAGCGTCGTTGAACAAGCGATCCTTAGATCACGAGCTCGAATTCCAGTGGCGTTTACCAGAGTTTATTTTTTATGTGTTTTATATGCAAAATTGATTGTCTGACATTTGTACACGGTAGGCGGGGAAGTTTCACTACAAGCCACATGTGTGGCACAATAATTTGGTTTAAGGTGGATAGCATTAGATTTATTCTGACTATAACGATAGAGTGAAAGAGGTGACATGTTTTTATTTGTTATTAATTTCATTGATTATTCCGGGTAAAACTGCTTTGATCATAGGCCATTTACTATTTATTCTATACTGCAGGCCGTCTGCCGCCCGGGCATCACGAAGACTGCGTCTCGGACCTCGGTGTCGGGCAGTGGGGCGGCTTCACCCGAGGAGCGTTCGATCAGCGCGGGTCCACCGAGTGTACCGCCACCAGCTCCGCTTGCCACCGCCACCAGCATCGACCGCCCTCTGCCACCGATACCAGCGGAGCCCGCACAACCGCCGCCGCCGCCTTTGACCAGGCGTGACTCGCAAGGTATCGATAATCCGCAGCAAAATAGATCAAAGTCAAGGAAGTTTTATCCAATTTGCTGCTTTTACAGTCCCTGATGAGGTCTTTAACCTTTACCACTGGTCCACGAATTCAGTCCCTTCTGGAGCGGAGCTCCAGCAATATTTTCCCTTTTTCTTTGAATAAATGGTAAATATGTTATGTATACATTACGAACTAGAATAAATAATAGTTATTTTACTAGTCCGTGGTATACATGTAAGCGAGAGACAAGCAAGTGCAAAGTGCAAAGTAGGAGGATATTACTCTCATTTTCATTCTAGGAGTCTAATTAATTGAAGTCGTAAAATGTTCTTTTCTATTTTTATTGTATCTAGTATATAAACTATATTCTTAGCTTCGTTATCCCGACCGAGAACACTGTCCATCACATAACGAATTACACGACCATGGCGAAATCAATATCGCGTATTTACATTACGCTCGGTCCCCGTGCATACAGCTCCCGATTAATCAGTCTACGCGTGTTGGTGCCATGTTTCGAATATTTTGCTTTAAAAACACAGAGCCGATACTCAACTAAGCTATTTTAAGGCTTATGATAAATGCACAATTTCTATCTTTCATATAGGCAGCATAAAACGTCACCATTTTTCCGGCGGTTTCCATAACCGACAAAGTCGTACGTAGTCCTTGAAGCGTATTAATTAAAGTCCTATAGTTAGTTGAAATCCTGTTTATAATCAAAACATACTTTTGCGCTTATGAAAGTTAATAATTTAAATTTAAACTACTAATTGCGGATTTGTTAAATAAATAAGTTTTTTTTTTTTACTTGAATGAAGTTTAATCTATGATGTATTTTTTCCATTTTTTTTCGATGCCCTTTTGCCATCTCTCAACACCACAACTTGAAAATTCCACGCTCGTAGAAACACTAATCCTTTCGGTCAAAAATTGAGTTAAGTGAGATTTTACAGCGTCATCGTCACTGATTTCGCAGCATCTCAATCATCCACCGTATCATCGGCGTCGGCGGCACCGAGCACTGCAAGCAGCTCGGCCCAGGGCGCAGCGCCCCCTCAGCCGTCCACGTCATCCAGCGGCCGCGGGGGCTTCGCCCGTCAGGGCTCTCTGAGCGCTACACTCACTGAAGACGCAGAGGACACCATGAAGAACCTGAGAAAAACTTTCGCCGGCATATTCGGGGACATGTAAAACGATTGCGAACATAAGCGGCGACATCGGCTTGAAATGGCGGCTAACCCTTGGCGACATTTAGTTCATTCAACTCATAAAATTGTTTCAAATAAAAAATGAACGTTTTCATCCACTAACTGAATGATTCTTGATTAAAAATTTCGTTAACTAATGATACCGATAAAACTATAGTTTCAATAAACAGTTCGATATGACGACTCGCCGATTGTCAAAATGAACTTAAAGTAAAACTAAAAGTGGACATAAAAGACGAGAAAAACCACTGCAAGGGTAGTTTTTATGTAAAATAGCCGTAGAATTTTACAATAGGTTATAAAATACAAATCAACTGAGCTACATTGTGATCGAATCCAATTGGGACACGTGGCTTTGCCCGTGTCGTAAGCGTAGTTTTTCTCTGTCACTAACTCCGGCTTTGCTATACACTTCGGTCGCCTCCACTCGACACACATCGTAGGGGAACGGCGAGCACGCTAGCACAACTCTGTACCTTCATTGTTATGAAACATATGTTATGACGCTAGGATTTATATGTATCTAGTCGAAAGCAATGGTGTTTAGCATTCCAATTATCTTACCTCATAGTATAGGAAAAAGTATAATAAGAGCTGAAAAATATTCCAGTTACAAAATATATAGTTGATTTATTAATATAATAATATACCACTACTTGGTTAAAATGAAGTAGATGGTTTTATATAATTAACTTAATTGAATGTTGTTCATTAGACAAAATAATAGGTACTATATTTCGAATTGTTATGTTCTCATAAATAAAGTATTGGGATGGCGAAAAAGTGGCGACAGCTACTGATTTATTAAAATATTACGTTATTATTTCAAATATTGATTGAACGACCGCAAATATCGCTTAAGGGATTCATACATATGCGGTAAGAAGAATAGGCATATGAGTACTTCTACGTATATTTAAATGTTGTTGAAATGGCGAATGAGCAATTCTATTAAGGACAATATTGTTAAAAAGCATAATCCACAATTTATATAATCTTATTAATAGTTAAATCTGGTAATTATACAAATAATATTGTTATCTTTGTGTGAATTTGCTACTCATTGAATAAATTAGACCTACTTGGCTTTTGTTAATCTTTTTTTCTCATGTATGTAAGCAAACATTATTTTAAACATTATATCCATAACAGGAACAATGTCATACGATAATGACTTCTTAATTTACGCGAATATTATTTAAAACATAAAAAATAACGTAAAATCAACTTATTTCTTACGTTAAAATCCAAGCCCAGATTAAAAAGTTTAAGAAAAAGCCGAGAAAGGGTCTATTGTTGTTATCTTATAATCTTCATAATACGCTTCTTTAACTATAATATAACGAGTTATTAAATTGATACTATTAGCATGATAATAATACTGAACTGTAGTTTTCTGATAATATATTTCATATTTATTTAAAATATGCATTATAAGGAGTTTAAATAAATGATTTGTTTTCATGTTAATGAAAAATATTCCCGGTAAGGCACGAATTCTATAACAATAGTTGTCGTAGATTTTACAACGAAATATGTGTATTGTAGATTGATAAAATTAGAAATATGGCATTTATGATTGCTAAATCACTTATCCACAGTCTGAGTAAGATTACCTAATGTCGTATCCAATATATGTAACAATTGATGACATTGGATCAATCGTTCATAACCACTAAAAATGTGAATTTGATTGAATTTTACATTTTCCATTACAGTGGCCTTTATAACATTCTTCCAAGCAAATACTTATAAGCTACCTATAATATGTAAACGCACTTGTAGCTAGGTTTTGACACGTACGTTAGATTTCGATGTATTTGAAATGCGCAATTAGGAACTGTTACATGTTTATCGCTGTAGTAAAAATGAATATTGTAAATATAAGTTCAAATGGGTTCGCGGTGTATTACTTATTTTTGATTGTGATTTTTAGGTTTATCATTTTCCTCTCTCCTAGTTTATTATGCGTTCTTGATTTTCTTAGGATAAATATATACATAAACATTAATTGTAAACGCTGTTGTTGTTGCTAAACAAGTTATACAAATTGTACTCGTGGCTATAATTGCCGAATTGATCGCGATAAAGCTTGTAGACGCATTTTGAATGCAAATGGCGTGTTGCCGTAATAAGCACCATTTTGTGGCGTCATTTATCGTGATCAAATATTAACTGCTATATAATAACCAAACTACGTGGTTTGTCACGTTTAAGGCTACTTTTTTTATTTTAAAGTTTATGACATGGGAATATAAACGTTTCGTTTACAAAAGTTTCTTAGTTAAAGTCATCTTTAATGTACTGATTCTTTTTGATGTTAAATATCCAATCTCTTTTTCACTGTTGCGTTTAAAAAATAAGTGTATATTATGTTTCAATATAGTAACACATACAATTAAAAAAAGAACATAATTAACCTTCGCTCTTAAACGTGACAACCATGTTCGTTTGAATGTACTATTATAATGGAATTTGAAAGCATGTTAATCGATATTACAATAAATACCTCTTTTGGTAAGTCAGTTATGAAGTGTTTTAATAAATTGCACAAACTTCCATGAATACAAATATAAATGTCACTTGTTACCTTTGATGAAAATTAATTAAAGTTAGTATAATGGTTAAACTCTTGAAGGTTTCAAAATATAAACAGTCTAGCAAAACTAAGAAATAATTCTTCTTCAAAATTTAAATTACATATCAAAAACATATTTTGCAGAATATTACAAGTAATTACACAAACTATTTTAGGATTAGGCTAGGGATATCCCACGGGATCCATTCCGGTATTGAGGCTATAATTACGGTACATGCCGGCGGCGGCGAGGTGGTTTGTAAAAGTTTGGCCAGCAGGGAAGAATACTGAAGGAACCGAATGAATACCTGGAACAGGAAAACAGCATTTTGGTGGAATACCCATTTTTTGAAAGGGACCTATTTGTACAAGAGCACACACTGCCCTTGTCCATTTCAAAAAGTGAGTATCTCAATTTTGCATTTTAACCGAGGTTGTTTTCTCTAAATAAACGGTTAAGGTATTACGTTAAAAAGGTAAAATCACAATTCAAAATTTTAATCTATTATTATTTGGAGTGGAACACCATATTGTTTGCAAACCAAATTTGGTTAGGTAAAGACGATGGTAAGGTTACCTTCTATAGCTTAACATTTTATTCACAACTTCTATGTAAATCCATTATTAATCCAAAAACCCACTACCTGTTATACTAAGAACGTAAATAAATAAATAAATAATACAAACTATGAAATTAGGGCTGAGTGAATGCTAAAGGACAATGTTATAAGGAATGTTAAAAAAGAAAAGCTTTATGTTTTTGAAACATGGAAAGGATAAATGAAGAAGTACCAAATTGGCCATGTACTGATTTGGGAGGACGGCGTAAGACATACCCGCAAATGTCTGTATTTGGAAGAATCAGTAGAGGTTTGTCGTGTATAGCAGAAATCAGTCATATCTTTCTTCTCCTTTAGAAACTCATTACGAAACGGTGGTGGATTTAAAAAAAAATTAAAAACCCATAGAAGAAGTTTGAATACAGGTTAAATGAAAACGACTTCTAATTTAAAACGATTCCATGTTTAATTTTTTTTTATTTTATTACAATATTAAGTTTTGTCTTCTTTTTAATAATTATTGTAGAGGTGTCATTGAATTAAAAATATAGTATACAATAGATCATATTTTAAGTTTAAAATATGTAGTCATGGGTATCGGTTGAAATTATTCGGGAATTTTGAAAATAAAACTACTATTACATTTTCAGTGAAAATCCAATATTCTTTATTTAATAACATTACAATAATACTACTTATAACTTATAGTTCACTCCATATTGAAATTAATTAATGTATAAACAGTTAATCAATATTATATCTTAAGAATTATATAACGTTAAGTTTATTTTAAACTGGGAAAATCATCGATTTACATATTTAGGGAATAGTTGCGATACATTCCGGCCTCCGCTAATTTATTGGAAAATTCTTGGTTCTTTGGAAAATAAACGGTTGGTACTGAATGCAGACCTAAAACACATTCCTAATTTATAAATTATTTTTATTGACGATATAATATTTTAAAAAGAAATTACTATTAATTATATCAATTTTTAAAAATATTATTATGAGAATACCTAATAGTTTTAATTTCATAGTTACCGTGACATAAAATGTTTTAAAACTGTTACAATCACTTAAGGGGAATTCAAAAAATAATTACCTGGTGGAAACCAGCCATATTCGCTAGATGAGGTCCTGTACAATGGGTGCTGTTTACTTTTCTGACAACCGTAACCGTTGAACCAATCTGTAACAGGATAAATTTTGTCACATTATACGTGTCAATATGGACACTCATTGTACGTGAGGTGCCTGATAAATAATCAATAGATATAACCCGCATGTCTTGTTAAGCGACTCTTGATCAACGACACTACGAAACCATCCAATACAAATAAAATAGCCACAATGAATCGTATTTTAGTATCAGTGGTGAAATATAGACTACAATTAGTTAGGAAACAATTATTAAGTCCTGAATTCAACTAATTTCCAGTTCCCTATTAAATTTACATCTGTTAAATTAATCATAAATAAAAAAAACAAAACTTTCGAAGATTAACGTATTAAATGAGTTTTAAATTAAAAAACTAAAAAACCGGACTGCGTTTCTGCGTATTTTTTTATTTTGATTTACCCAGTGTCAGTAGATACCAATCTAACGACACCTCACAGTAAATACGAATCTAACGACACCTCTCAAGCCAAAATCCATCAAGCCGTTCAGGCTGCAGAGCGTGCCAAACAAATATACATAAATACTCTCGAAAAACATAACCCTCCTTCTGGCGCAGTCAGGTAAAAATAAGTCATTGCTATTATTATGACTACAATGAAACAATAGAAAGAGACAGTTTTAAAAATTAAGAACTATTCTAAATGAGAAGAACTTTATTTGGGCATAAACTCATAAATTCCATAAATTATAAATTTTGTCCCAATTTAGGGAATGCGAATAAAAATAAAGAAAAAAACGAATGTGTAGTAATTATAATAATGTTTTCAACAACAACCACAAACCACGACCACGACCACGACAACCACCCGATTGTTTAGCGACAATCAAACACGGCAGTTTTAAATTTCTAGCTAAAAACTAATTTTTGTTTATATTTAATCCGCGTCATTCCGAGAATTGTTCTTGCATAACATAGAATGAGAAAAAACTACATGAGAAGTTTTCAATCAGTAAAACTTTGTTTTTTTTTTTATCGGTTTTTTATTTTTTTTATGGGGGAGGGTGGCAAGCGAGCTGGCGGTTCATCTGATGTTAAGTGATAACTGCCTCCGATGGACATTTGCACCTTTTAATAAAGTGGGCCCCGGTTACTTCACTCGCCAGACAAAACGCAGAAGTATAACTCTTCCACTTCACTCCAGTCATCTGTGAGGTCGTGGTACTTACCCGGACGGACCAGCCCATTTGTTGCCCAACAGCGCAGACTGTTGCGTGGCCCTACTACTAATTAATCTTAGTTTCATAGGTTAAGCACTACTTACAAACTAATTTCACTTCTTCATCCTTATCATATCCTTATTGCTTTATTGGTAAGGGAGAGACTATTAAAAATTTTGATCAACATGACTTAATGCTTGTCACTAATAACTGATACCATTTTTAAAAAGGAAAGAATTAAGCGATGTCAAGGATATCTAGACGTGTATATAATTTTACGTTAGAACGTACTCACTATTTAAAAAATTAAAGAATGACTCAAAATTTAAAAATAGAAGTCAAGACCCGTTTAAAGTAAATTTATAACAATATCTTACGAGGATGTTCAAATTTCTTTGGCAGGTTACAGGTTAGATATACATCAGATGTTTTAACGCCAGGTTTGTTGATTTCGTTTTGTAAGCAAGCTCTATTAACACATGTCGCCGAACAGAAGCCGGGCTCCGGATCTTTTTCAGTATCATGCATTTTTAATACTTCATCGCCACTCATTGTATAACAACTATTAAAAATTACGGCTGTGTAAAACAGCTACAAATGTTTCTACAACGGTATGTTTATAAGTAACCTAGCCAACAGACCATAGACAAGGAATAAATGCTTAAATCAGGATGTACCTGACTACCTGAAATGAATACTTAAATATAATTATTTTTGTAATGTATCTCACGTTTATTAGGATTTTAATTTTTTATTTAGATGACTTGTAGATCTTAATCATACTGTGAAAGTTAAGAGAATACTATACAAGCATGTAGCTCGTAGATATAATAAGCGATGGTGAAGAAAGGTTATCAGTGGCAGCCTCGTATTCACCACGAACCCGCATTAAATGGATCGTCGTGCAGGAATTTGATGGATCGTGCATCATGACAGTTTGTAGGGAAGGCCTATATTCTGCAGTGGCCTACAGGCCAACAGGCTAAAATGTAAATGATGAACCTTTCATTCTAATTACCCACTATGAAAAGGTAGAAGGTCAAATTAATTTATTATGAATTTATTTGTTTCAAGAAAAGACAAGATGCTTGAGTGATCTTTGATTTTTTCTGAGTCGAATGAGTTCTGGAACACATGGGTCCACTATTCTGAAATGGTAATGCAGTAGAACTAACTAGCAGAAACGAGTACTTCTTCTAATATCTTCTTCATTACTTAGTACCTTCTTGCCAATAATTAAAAATGTATATGAAAGTCCAACTAAGCTATCAAATTCGGTATCAATTTTGAGCAACCATATTAAATCATTCCACTGACCCGTCAATATGACCCTGACTACAATCATTAAAATGGAAAAAGAAATATTCTTTTTATGATTTAAACTTAAAATAATATAGGTTAGCGGAAGCTTAAATAACTTACAATTATTTTCCATACTTTTAAACAAGTAACGCTATCATGCCGTGCTGTTTACTTAAACGACAACTTGGTATCTAAGGATCAACGCACGCATAACCTTCCTTTCGTAAACGGTTTCAAAATTTAATATACAAATAATATTCATTTTATGTGTTTAGGCGAATACAACATTAAAACACGATCTGTTTTAATGAAACTATTTTACGTATTCCACAAAATAGTTTCGTATACGAATCGTACTCGCCTAATCTTAAATTCTAGAGGTTCGGTATCTGAAAAGGAAAAGATAATGATAATGCAAATCACCGCATGTAAACTCTAAGAAGAGCCTTTAACCTAGCTGACAACTTCGAGAAAAAGGCATAATAGAAAACAGATCCCGACAGCATAAAACAATGGTGCAAACCTAATGGTGTCAGATGACCATTAGGTTTACAATAGAGTTATTTTGTGTTTTTTATAAAGGTCTTCAACGCAGACCTATGGGCCGCGGTTTTCATTAACATCAGGTGAACCGCCTGCACGTTTAACAATATTTGACATAAAACAAAATATTGACTCATTTCAATTAAGGTAATTAGTCTGCAAGAGGAACTGCTCCGAAAGAGAATGATATTCGCAGCGCCTGTATTGCTTATGTCAGAAACGTCGATCGAATTCGACGATATAGTAAATATGTCACTAGCATATCCACAGAGGCCCTTAAAAGCAACATAGAGACATTTGCTGTCCCCTCGTTTTCCCTAAGGCGTTTGACAGAGTTCAGCACGCTACCCTTAAGCAAGCTTACAGTATACGGCACATCTGGCTTTTTGAGTGAGTGCCTCTCCACAATTTTGTTCCTCCACCCTCGATTTTTGTTCAAAGACATTAAAACTAACATAAACATGTTTGTGTGCGTTTCGCTTTAACTCATTGAGCATGCATTCGACTGAATATATTAAAGTCTTATCAGCAGTATCATGACGAGCAGACAACGAACGTGTGGGTGAATATCGCACGCTTTCCTGAACCACCATGGTTTAGTTTCTAATTATATTTAACTTTGAAATAACGCATTTGATTAGCCTTAAAAAATTTGTTAATTAATTTACATAAATACTGCATGCAACATTGACGTTTTAAATCGTTTTGTGCCAAATATTGCTGACTTAAAAGTGTGACAATGAAAACAATTGTAATTGACGAACAAATAAAAGTTTGAGTTAAACTTCGACACCGCCCCCAATCAAAAGTCCAAAGCAGGTAATGCAAAATTAACTTATAAAGACTTGTATTGTTATAACTTTGTATACTTATAACATAACCTCATCTCCACGTGACTTCTTCGTCAATTTTAATAACGAACGTATTTTTCAAAGGATTTTCATAACTTAATTTTGTGTTTCAATGTTGGATTACATAAAATAAGAATTCATAAGAAAAGTATTCGTTTTCAACAAAAGCTTGGCTTTTATCAAATGTATTGTAAAAAGTATTTTGATGATTTCAAAAATCATTAAAATCACTACATAGTATAAAACAATGTCCTCACGCTGTCTGTCTGTCCCTATGTATGCTTAGATCTTTAAATAGCCAACGGATCTTGATGCTTTTTTTTATTAGATAGAGTGATTTAAGAGGAAGGTTTATATGTATAATACATTGCACCCGAGCAAGTAATGTTAATTATATAAGATATGTTAATTATATAAGAAACAATATTGTCCAAAAACTAAACGTTTAAGCATATTATAATCTTAATGTTATATTGCAGAAGCAAGACGTGAAAGACTTAGTTGAGAAGTTACTAGAAGAGCTATATTCTGATCAACATGAGTGGAGTGGAAACAGTGTAATAGAATATAGCCATAGGTAAGCATTATTCACAAAGCTCACGGTATTGACGTCACAAGTTAACAAACAGAATAGATTCCTCGGAATATTCAAAATATTGCAATAACATTTAATTATTATATTTTTAATAATATTATCAACTCATACACGTGAACATATTTCTTTTAGATAATTTATATGAGTGCTCTTTTTAATGTTACTCAGTCTTGTTTTTTGCAACCACAATTTTCAATACTCTTATCACACAAATTTTATGCACATTTTCATGTCGTATTTTCTTGAAACTCCCCAATCCTACCTACGCCCGTGATCGTGGGTAGAATTAGGCTTTCTTGATATACTTTTACTTTAAAATTAATAGTATAAAATTAATGTATTCACACATTCTAGCCTACTTGTAAAATTTACAAAATGAAAAATAAACGATGACGTCATATACACCTTTGTATCTTTCCTCCAATTATTATTTATGTTCATTTTATGAAATAAAAGCACCAATAAATTTGAATATTTTTTATATTTTTTTACATATACTTGTCTTATAATATTTTATTTTCTTAAATAAAATAAGTTTCATCTTTCAGCTTAACCACAGCGCCGTCAATATCATCTTCTCAATCCAACTGCGGCGATCAAAGAGATGCCATTGAAAGAATTTATCTAGAAGACTTAGGTATATGTTTTTTTTATTTACTATTATTTATGTACGTTTCAAAATGCTTCACGGCTTAATAGAAAATAATAAATTACGATTGGTTTCATCTTAACTTTCCATCGAATTGTCTTATTATTGGAATTATTGAGCCGTGATAGCTCAGTGTCCGGGCGCTCGCCTTTAATTCAATATACTCGAGCAATCTGAGTTCGATCCCCGGTGCCGGCACCAATGAAGTTTTTAACTTTAAGTGCTGTCTTATCACGTGCTCCGCGGTGAAGGAAAACATCGTGAGGAAACCTGCATATTTTCGTAATAATAACAAAAAGTTGTGGGGCAGTGGGGCCGCGTGGTGGACTATGCCCTGATACCCTCTGTATAGAGGAGGCCTTTGCCCAGCAGTGGGACACGTATAGGCTGTTACTTTACTTTACTTTTTACAATGATCAGTGGTTGCTATTGTGAAGTAACTAGTCAGTATTTCACTATATTAGCAGGAAAGGATTTTTTTATTTAAAAAAAGATGACGGTGTAGCTGTATGCAATCGTATCGAATTTTATTTATTTTCCTTACTTTAATTTCCTTTACCGTCAAGCACGCTCTAATTCCGCACTTAACACTTCCATTAATACTTTCTTTAATGCCGGCACTACAATTCGAACTCTGATTGCTCGAGTATACTGTTCGGCCCGTCACCTAGCTACCACGGCTTTCGCAGTTTGATAACAAAATAGACAGAGCATCATATTTTTACTTGCCGATGTTGTCATTTTACTGACGTTCGACAGAAACATTTTGATTAAAAATTTGAATTCTCATTACAGAAAATGATGAGATTCGGGAGCAGTTGACTGAATGGAATTACAAGTTGCGCGTAACCGGCGAAAGGTTGGCGAAAAGCTTACGTGTACGGGACCGCTTGAAGCGGGAACAGAAAAAGCTGTGCACCGCTTTCACCGTCTTGTTGCGGCATATCAGTGAGTTTTGTTCGTTCTTGGAGATATTACAACATTTTCCAAAGCATCGAAATTGATTGATTAAAAACATATATCGTATTCAAAAATTTTCTGAAGTTGGCTAGCTAAATATTGCACACATGTAACTACTTATGAGAGGATTGATTCAAAATGCAGTTTTTAATGTCTAAGAAAGGGAAAAAAATTTCTTTTTAATCATAATAAAATCACTTAGCAAAATTATTTAATTAGTGGATAAACATATTTTGTAACATAGAATTCGACAAATACGACTTCGATAATTCAATGCATCAAAATTAATGAAAACTTAACTTGTTTATTTTGGTTATTTACTTTAAAAGTTATAATTAATACGTTCAAACGAAAATAAACACCACTCAGTGAAGCCTAAAATAACTTTACGCACTTCTAAGCAAGCTGTACGTTACTTAACAATCTATCTATGTCTGAAACCAACGTACACAGGGGCACGAAATCGATATGCGACGCACACTAACACCTCTGATGTAACCGATAGCGCATGCCCAAAGGCACCTACCATGACACCCCTTTGTGTCGAAACACAGCGCTCTCTGGCATCGCTGCTGTCTTATCATCGATTTGGTTTGAATGCCCGAGCGGTTTTGTAGTAGAAGTCGGCCAGCCCCGCTGCTACCTTTCCGCTATTTCACCAGTAAACACCGCATCAGCTGGGCGAATACGCAGTGTCAAATGTTACGAAAATATGGCAAGGGAAAATTCATTTAGACAGTCTCAGCTTTCGGGTCCCTTGCGTGTTGTGTCGTTGCCGTTTGCAGTATCCTTATAGTAGCACCGGGAATTAGCATGACGTGTTCGCCCGCAGTGTCACTGCGTCGAAATAACATGTCAAATCGTTAACTCGGTGATTAGTGCAATTGCTAAGATATGCATTTATTGTCAGATGTGTATCTCGTGCAGAACAGATGAGTGCAATCCTAAACTCCCTCAGGAACTTAGCGAGTTCTTCGAGGGCCAATGCAGGTACAAATAATTAGACGCATCAGAGAACAGTTTCAGGCATTGTTTCTTTGTAGTTTGTTCTCGTTGGTTTTCTTTACAAATATTACACAGAAGATGTACCAGAGTTATAACATACCAATACGAGTTTTAAAAATGGGTTTAGATGGTCTCATATTGAGTAAATTGGATTGAGAAGCCCCTTCAATGATGCTTTTGATAATGAAGCGGAATCTTGTTTACAAGGACAGCGCTATGCAATATGCAACAGTAAACTTTAGTTTGATATGTATGTATGCAATCTTTTCAAAAGCACGCAATCGAAAGCCGTGTAAATACTTCCTTGAATAAGTTTACATTTAATGTGACTTTTTCAATACAAAAAGGTAAAAGTGTTGTAGTATCTCAACTTGCAATTATATAAAGTACATTTCCTGACAGTCTTCATAAGCAGATTGCATAATTCTATATTTATTTTTAAACAGAACATTGTTAGTAACTGTGCATTGTACTAGCCGGAGACAGCGGCGCTCGATTTGGCATAACACCGAGTGGCAGCGAAGGTCCTGGAGAAGGTGGTTTTGCAGAATGGCTCCACGCTATGAAGCTGGTGGCACGGCTCCCAGCTGGTGTTCCACAACACTTTCGCAGAAAGGTAAAAATTTATAACATAACATTAAAATTTTAAGCTTTATTCCGGTGTCCTAAATATGGCATTACAAAGGTCGCACTTAGTGACCTTTAACATTATCCTTGTCAACAGTACATTGTCAAGCATACTAACCATTGTATATTTCAATCTTGTTCCTAAATCCTTTTCAAAACACGTGTTATATTTTAAACATGTTATAAAATATCAAAATAATTTTTACAAAGTGATAATTTAGGTACGTACACATTTTAGTTATTAAATTTTTTTAAGTATTATGAATGACATTTCAGTCTTACATTTACGATATAGGAATAGCAAATTTGCTCTTGAATTGAGAGATGAAATGAAAATCTGTGAAATTATTGAAAGCGAGCGAAAAAAGTACTAAGTTTCTTGACTTCATACGTGCATTAGATTCTTAAAATGTTTTTGGTTTATTAAACAAACATAGGTTACGCGTGAAGCCGTGTATGGAACAAGCTTGAAATAATGTATAAATAAAATATAAATTTTAATGCGTTACTCTTCTTAATTTTCAATAGGTTTTTTTTATCAAGTATACAATTTTCTATTTATGCATATAGACATTTTCTTGACTATCGACCACAACTGGGTCTTCGTAGAAGAGCTGTGCTATGCGCCACATTGTCGCCCACGTCACGCGTTTTAGGTCATTTTATCGACATTATCTTAATACGACATGCAAATGCTTTGAACATGGGTGGCATTATCACTTTTATCTGGCGTACAGCTTGTTGAGGCGCAAGTGTTTCCAATCATACATATGAATGCACTACGTACGTCTATTACCAAAATAGATAACGCGCAATCGGTCTTCTCAAATGACTTTTTTTAGTATTCAGCTTTTAACTATTGCATAAAATTTTAACATTAAGATAATGATAACGATAATGTTACTGTAAATATTTTTGAATATCTATCAGACTTCTCGTTTTTATTTGTTACATCTGCCATTTAAAAAAACAATTTAGGGCATTGTCCTATTCAAATTGGGTCGACTATTCACAGTCCCCAATTTGTATATTACTGTATTTCATCATCACTAGTTATTATACTATTATACATTGCTAGTAGGAATACAATACTGTTTTTGTCCCATTTTGTTTTGTTAAATCAAAAATTATTAGTATTATCTACATGAATATTATTTTGAAAGTCGCAAGTTAATCTAATAACTGTTGTTTCTATTAAACCGTCTACTGGCAACGACGAAGTTTCCGTTTGACGTCAAAGTTCACGCAAGTTAAAATGAGTTAAGCTAAGCTATAATCTTTTATCCCGTGCATCTGTTTTTTTTTAATACATAAATATTTATTTACATTTATTATAAGGTTTTACTTTCTTCCTGCGTAAAAGAAAAAATGGAAAGAGAAATTATAACAGAGAAAAAAAATCACAGAAAACGTAGGAATTCTTTAATTGTAAGCTTTGAGAAAATTTTTGAGCTTAAATGTTATAAATAATTTATTACTCATTTCATATTGTCAAATCACAAAGCATAGTTGTGCTTTGAAATAATTTAAATGCTATGAAATAATTGTAAGTTTACATCGAATCTTACAAATTATTATGACTTTTTAATACAATACCACTTCAAATAACCTCTTGTTGGATAAAATGCTTATTATTTTGTTTATGGTCTTCATAAAGCGGTCATTACTAGAAATAAAAAAACCTAAATCATAATTATCTTTAAATGCATAGTTATGTACTAAAACATTATCCATTAAAAGTTTTGAAAAGCTTTTCATTAAAGCGTTCAACTAAGCTATTTTCAAACAAAATTATTAGCCATTTATTTATTTATACTACAAATTAAGATGACATTGTAAAAGATAGCCGTAACATTCCTTTTATTTGTTGAGTTATATTCGTTACCAAAAGAACTTGTAAGATTCGCGACGAACCTATTGACCCTCTTTTCTCTGAGACCACTCCGCTCTACGGCTCTTGTAACGATTGCCAAAATCAAAGCTAATCTAATATGTATATTGGTATACGTTCGTTTCAACTTATCCATATTACATAAACAGAAGAAGAATGGAATTTAAATAAAAAATAAATAGGCACTTGATATCAACAGGTCGTGTTTGTGTTAATAAACTTATAAAGATTTTCCAGCGACTTCAAAAAGGAGAAGGTTCTCAATTCTCTCAATTCAACTGTATTTTTTTATGTTTGTTACCTCAGAATTTTCGACTGAGTGAACCGATTTTGATGATTCTTTATTTCAAAGCTGGTTCTTGTGGTCCCATATCAATTTCATTGGTATTGGATCTTGGGGTCCGGTGATACTTAGGTAACACCTGAAAATCAATTATAAAATGAATACAGAGCGACATATTTGAAGGCAGTTTTGTTTTTGCGTTAATAAAAAAATGAAATTGTAATTAAAACACTAATTGTTTTTCCCAGCTATGGTTGACATTGGCGGAGCGACATTTATCATCGAGAAACATCGATTGGGCTACAGCGGAGCGGGCTTGTTTCCGGGGCACCGCACAGCCCGATGATACGGAACTTGGCGCTCAAATTCTTAAGGTAAAGTTTAAACATGATCTATTAACATTAGTCGCTCGTTCCGCAACTCTTTAATGGAGTTTTTAATGTAGATTGAGATTATTACCGAAGCGGGCAGCATGCGGACTCCTAGACAACAAAAAACATCAAGAATTTTTCATAGCACCAATACATATTTCATACTATAAATATGTAGTGCAGTCAAAAATTACTGTACATGAACTGTCTACTACTTGCCTGATCATCCCGTAATTCTAACGCGGTAGAGAGTCGCGGTAGTCTTCGCTGTTTCACGAATGGACGGGTCTATCTGGGCAAATACCACGACCTCACAGAAGACCAGCGTGAAGTGACTTCCACTTACTATATACTTGATTGAGAACACCGGGTGAACCGCCAGCTCGCTAGTCATGTTCTTAGTCTTACATAAAAAAAAAATTATCCTTAATTAATATAGCAGATCTAGTATGTATGTTATCGTATTTTTCATGTTATAACATTCGTTTGTACAAATTGTTATAGGACTTACATCGCACTGGTTGCTCACTTTTCTGTGGAACTGAAGGTCGTGAAAATCAAGCTATGCTTAGACGTGTATTATTGGCGTATGCGAGGTAAATAACCCACTTATTTACTGGCTATCCTTACTTATTCCATTTTATCATTGATCAGATAAAATACATAACATAGTAATACTACATGAAGCAATCAAAGTAGCGTTATTTGAAAAGGCCCTTTATTTTGCTTTAGAGGACATATGTGGCAATATATGGAAAATTCATAAATAATCCTTGTCTTCTAGCTGCTATTAATTAAATCTTATTTTAAATCGTTGTATTTAAAAAAAAATATACTTCACCGCGGTCTTTTGTGCACAAGTCTACATTTTGTGAACCGATCGTAGAAGCAATACGAAACAAGAGTTATTAAATAAAATCGTTTTTATTTTAACTTATTCTTACAGATGGAATAAGGACGTAGGATACTGTCAGGGCTTCAACATGTTAGCAGCAATAATTCTAGAAGTAATGGAAAAGTCGGAGTCTGACGCTTTGAAGGTAAACATTGTTCCATTCCATACCATTGCCTAGGCCTTAAACATCTAATCATATTGTTAAATTCTTATATTTAAGCGAACACTACACATAACTAAATGAAACAATTTTTTACGGACTTATTGCATTTACTTTTAATTTTATAACTAGGCCGTGAGAGATCAGTGCCCGGACGCTCCCGGGCAATCCCGTTGCTGGCAACAGTGAAATTTTTAATTGCAATTTTAAGCGCAGACTTCAAGTGCTCAGCGGTGTAAGAAAACATCGTAAGGAAACCTGCGTATTTTCGAAATAAAAAAATAATAACTCGAAGATACGTGAAGTCCGCTTACCCGCAGGTGGACTATTCCTTAATACCCTTTATACACATGAGGCCTTTGCACAGAAGTGAAACATAATAAATATGCTGTTACTTTACTTTTATTTTTAATTTCCCGATGTTAATCCCAGTGGCGATAAATCCGTAAAAATATTTTTTTTTTACTAACTTATCATATTGTTGCAATTGTAGGTTATGATATATTTAGTTGAGGCTGTATTACCCGAAGGCTACTTTGCGGACGATTTGCGGGGTCTCTCAGCAGACATGGCTGCGTTTAGAGACCTGCTCAGGATACGTTTGCCAAGACTCGCACACCACATGGATTATCTTCAAAGAATTTCAGATGGTAATTTATAAACTTTGTCACTTAGTTGACAATGAATTATTTGTCACTTACAAACAATTTTAAAAGAAACGAACCGAATTATAAAAAAAATAATAATATCAAGCGCTTACTTTTATGGACTTTTTTTAAAATATTGTATTATTAAACTAAGAAATCCGTCATTACTTTGGGTACAACATCCATTATCTGCGAATATTGTAAGACTTAACGTTTTTACAGTAGCAGTATAGTATATATTTTTAAATTTAAATAAATATTAATTTCACAGAAAGTCAAAAGGACTAAAACTTATCCAGACACGCTCAATAAACTCTTGTTTTATGTTGAATTTTGGCAAACGAGCAGACGGTTAGCCTGATGTTAAGTGATTACCGCCGCCCATGGCCAATCACAGCACGGTATACAGGTGCGTTGTCCACTTTAAAACAGAAGGCCCCGGCTACCTCACATATACGATGATACGCAAAAGCATAATAAATCTACTCCAGACTTTTCATCTTTGAGGCCATGGTACTTCCCCGGAAAACGCATGTTCGTGTAACGCAATTTATAAATAAAATAAAATCAATTTCAATTTTAGGCGGTGGCATAGAGCCCCCACTTCCAGACGTTTTCACAATGCAATGGTTCCTTACGCTTTACGCGACTTGGCTGCAACGAGAGTCACTTTTAAGAATATGGGACCTCATCCTTCTTGACGGTAACGAAGTGCTTTTACTGACAGCCCTGGCCATATGGGACATGCTTCAAGAGTAAGTGTGCTGTTAGTAAATCAAGTATTTCATGCTAAACATTAAATTGTAAAACATCATATACACAACATAGTACTTTACAGACTTTTCTTATCGTCCTACAACATCAAAATATTAAAATGTACCAACTAATATAACAGAAAATATTTATTTAAATAATATTAGTTTATTTTATTAGTATATAATATTTAGAATTTTAGTACCAACCAAGATTCTGCTCTCTAACTGCTTATACTTAATTCTGCTAATGAAATGGAATGTGATACGTTTAAGTTAACACATATAAATATAAACAAGTCATAATGTATTAAATAGGTTTTAATTTTTACAATGTTTTCTCTGTTTTTATTCATAAAGTTGTGAAATGACCACTGTGTGTATCCGTCATCATCTCTCGTAGCCGCATTCTATCAGCACGCTCTGCAGACGAGTTCTACAGCTGCATGGGTGGCGGTGTCGGTGCGGTGTGGGAGGCGGGCGAGGCCCTGGTGGCGAGGGTCGTCGCCTTCGGTTCTGCACCCGAGCTGCCGAGGCTGCGAAGCTTGCACAGATACAGAGTTGCACCCCCCGCACCGCCCACATCGGCGCCCATTTATCATCCACCAATGCAATCAGCGGTAATACTTTATATGTATTAAGTACAACACTCTAGCATTTTTTTAAATGATTAATACAATCATTTTAACTATCTTCTCGTTATGTTCAACATCATAGTCATGGAACACACTATGTACACAACACAATTATAGAAGCAGACTGGCACGAAAATTTAAAAAATCAAGTTATAGCGCTATAAAATCCGTAAAATAGTTTGATTAAACCATGTATCATAGTCGCGTAGAAACAAGAAACCTTTTACGTTAATTATATTAAAATTTTATTATGTGCAAAATTTTTATTATGTGTAAAATCTTACAAAATTGTTCATGGCCTCTATAAAGCCGCAACTTCACAAAGATATGTAACCTGTTGCTGGAAATTAAAATAATATCATCATAGATTACCATTTAAATTATACTTTTTGTAAATTCCTCTAAAATCACCTTTCAGATGCAGTCGATGACGAAGCGTGGTTTACGTTTGTTTTACTCGGAAGACGAAGGTGAATCCAGTGACGACGGAAACAAAATGGCACTAGCTACGGTACGGTCATATCTTTGATTACGCAGTATAATATAACTTTATTGATAATTTGTACATTACATTCAATCGTAAGTCTATTTCAATTAGGTCTTACCTCGGCGCGAGGAGAGATCGGGTGCCGGTGACAGACTCTCGTTAGATATCGGAGCTTTAAAACGTCAATACGCTCGCCTTCGAGAAAGGCAAAGGCAAGCCCATGTCATTTTAGCAGCTGCTTGTGCTCGCCACGCGGCAGGTATTTACGTCATTGACCATCTTTATTAAAATATATATGTAGTGTATGTAAATATGATTATAGAGTCAATCTCCGGTTCATACGTTCCATAATATTTGTAATTAATCATGTTATTTAATTTCTCAAAGTTGTATCCGCTGTTATATTTGTTTAAGTATTAATATTAATTTGTTAGACATAATTATGTAAATGCCATCACTTCAAACTAGTTATGAGAAATACGCGTAAAATTAAATCCCAACATTCCTTTTTCCTCTGAGCTTGTCCTCCGAGTTGCTATATCTGTACATATATATATATATATATATATATATATATATATATATATATATATATATATAAAGTATAAAAAAAACAAACAAAAAAACAATTAAATAGAGATATTAATGGTGAATACACGCATTAACTTTCCTTGCCAGTTTAGACAAAAAAGTTGGAGTTAACAGTCAAACCCGTGGGAAGTTTTTTAATTTGGAATGATTTAATTTTCTTATTAAAAAAATCTATTTTAAATTATACCACGTTTATATAAAATGCGAGGATTTCTAAGGCTAGGTACGCGTATAAAGCTAGGGTTTCAAATAAATGTGCAAGTAATACCAATAGTTTTCTTACATAATAAAGTGTTTTATTTAATTTCAAATAACAAAAAACTGATATATGTAATTAAACTTTAAAACATTATTTTATATAACAAAAAAGTTATGAATGCAGTTAAACTATAAAATCATAAGCATTGAACCATAAAAATTAAAGAACAAAATGTAACAATCAATTTTAATTCTATTTCAGTTGGAGTTCCTACGTCACCGACATCGCTAACAGTGAATAACCTCCTGTTAGGAAAAAGTGCTATAGTGAGCTCTCGAGGGCGAAGGCTTGGTCCTCCTCCCGGAGCAATACCGCCATCACGAGCTTCATCATTGAATCATGAAAAGTCTGATGCAAAACCACGTACTTCTTCAAATGATACAATCAGTTGGAAAGAAGAAAAGAGTCGTAAATCTTTCAACAGACGGAACTCACTTAAATGGAAAGATATAAAAAAAGAAAAAGTTTCCCAGAAAAATAGGAAAACCTCCATCGATTTAGACGAAATGGGTGATGGAATAATTGTATCTGAAGTGGAAGCTAATGAAATGATCGCCACTCTCCGATCACGAAGTTCTAGTGAATCTTCAACTTATTCATCTCATTCGGCATCCAGTACAGATACAAGTCTTTGCGACGAAAATGAAAGGGCAAGTGAATCAGATCAAGATCTACCAAATGATGATAAGGAAAATAAAAGTACAGGCTTAAAACGTAATATAACTTCATCTCCAATTCACAAAGATTCAAAAGTAACACTACCACCTGTAACCAAACAAGAAATGCTAATTAAAGCGTCAGGCCATGAAACAAAATCCCGCATTTCTGGGAAACCCATTAGAGATATCAGTGATTACCTAGACTCTGCCGCTGGCGAACCACTTCGTTCTTACATACATGGTTTTGATACCAAATTAAAAGATACTACAAGTTGTGAAAATCTTAATTATATGCCAACAAGCCCTTTTAAATCTACTTTGCCCTTATCTTCACAGTTTAAGTCAGAAAAAAATGAAGTTCTACAAAGATTGACAAAAAGTAATTACGCTGGAAATTCGAGAAGAAGTTCACGAGATTTAAAAAGACCATCAAACATTTCAAAAAGCAAAAATTTTACTGAGTTAAGTCCTGTTGATTTGTCACCATGTAATTGTGTTATTGACTGTAGAACTCCTTACAGCTATGATTTTAAATCAAAATTCACAAAAACGTCTCCCACAAGAGATGAAATAAACTCAAGACCACCGGATATCATTGACAGCTTGACTATGTATCCTAATTTTGTTCCTGATATAGATTTATCAGAAAAAAATATGTCAGATTTTGAAAGCCCTCCGCAGAGTCCCGGTGCCGAGAGTATTATTGTTAGTGAGGATGAACGTCCAATTCCACTTAAAATTGATAAGTATTTTGAACACAGCCCCGAATTCTTTGGAGCAAGAGTAACTGATCCTAATAACTCAGATATTCCAAATAGGAGACCTACAAAAAGGCAATCACGACAACCTAAAAAACCAGACTCATTGACTTTACAGACTTGCCACAATGAAAAGATATTAAAAGATGAAGTTGAGAGAGCATCATCTTTACCGCAAAGTCAAAGTTTTCGAAAATTTGACGTCCCAAGCCCCGTTATAAAATTAGAAACAAAAAATAAAAACTCTTTGCATAACACTGATACAAAGCAAATAACTACCAGCGAAAAACAAGACATCAAATTACCATCATCTACAATAGAAAGTAAAATCACTTCACCTAAAGATTATTTTGTAAGATCTGGCAGAAAAAATAGTGAAAGAGCATTACAGATTATTCAAGAGAATTCACAAATATTAAGTCGTATTTTAACAAAACAGAATATAATTAATAATCGAACGAATACCGATCAAATTGAACTAATGAAAAATACTGAAAACCCTAAAAATGTTCAAGAAAACGTTGTCACTCCTAATAATGAAAAAGTCAATATTAAACAAATCGATGCCCCCTTATTAAAAGAATCAACATCAGATTCTTTAATTGGTTGTATCAAAAGACATCCTAAAGTAGAAACAAGCGACAAAAATGATTTTCAAAGAGTAAGACCGATTTCAATAGATGATCCTCTTTCATTTGACGTACTAAGCGCCTTAAGCAGAAATGAAGAACGTACCGTTAAAAGCAGTAAAACGCCAAGTAGCGAATGTCTTGTTAATAAAACAGATCTATACGGCTGGGAAAATAAAGGATTTTTGGCAAAATGTGAAATTAAAAACTTCTCCGATAATCCTGAATATAACTTCGCGAATTATCGGGCAAAATCAATAATTTCTCCTATTAAACACGGGCTTCCTCAAGATGTGAAAACAACAGATTCGGAATGGTCACGCCGTTCCTTCTCTGGCGACTCAAAAACATCAGTTACATTACCTTCTTCGGAACCTAAAAGTATGTCGCCTTATGAGCGTCATTATACTTCTGATGGATACAACTATCCGTATACAAATAAATATAATGATCTTCTTACCAAAGCTAGTGATATTTGTAGTAAAACCATTGACAAAGGACCGAAAGTATGTGAAAATTTATTAAGAAGTGACAGTCAGGTTAGTGAATTATCCCATGTAGTAACTTCTTCCATTAGTTTCACTTGCGAACCTTCATTGGAAGATGATTCGCCGACAGGAGCTAAAAGCAATTCAAGCGATACTCTATGCCAAATTGCGTCGTTAGACCAAATATCTACTCCAATATCTCCAAAAATATTTCCCAATAAGGAAACACTGATATTGCCCAAAGACTATTCAGGTAGAAGTGATAAAATGAGGATAGGTTCTGACGATACTTGCAGTGCAATTACCTCACTGATGGATACTGATACTACATTATCTTCTTTATCTTATCCACGAAGTCCATCGACGGGCTCATATCATCCTTTCCCTACAAGGCCATCAACAAGACTACCTAAAGAACTAGGCGTAAGATTGGGTATGTATCCCAAAGAAACAATCAGTTCTCCTCAAAAATAAATACAAGAACGAAGATAAAGTTGTGGCTACTTTAGTTAATAGAACATTTTCGTTTTGTGTATTTTATACGTAAACTTTTGTCATGCATGAATTAAAATACCTTTATTGTATTTGCGTAGGCTATGTTTTGCATTTAATATAAATTTCAAGTAAACTGATCACGTTATGTGAGGCTAAAGGGTATGTGCTCTTAATTTCCTATTTCTTTTAGAGCATTTATACCAATGTTTCTCTTAACAAAACCGCAAATAGCTCTTTAACATAATTCTAAGTTTTGTTTAAAACTTCCCATATATACTTGTTACAAAATGTTTAAACTATTTGGATTCTATCAATTATACGGTGGTACATGACAAACAAGTTGCCTTTACAATGTTTTAATGTTATGAGATTTAAAAATATTACAAATCTAGTGAAGTTAGGTAGAGAACTAATTTGAATTCAATATAGTTAATGGCAATCTCTTGTTTGTACGGCTATACATAGGTGAGAGAAACTTTATCTTTGCATAACGAAAAATATTTTGTTGTTAGAAGATATTTATTCTACGACAATATTGAAAAAATATACATAATTTATAAAGTCATTTTCCAGTTGTTTTATTGTCGCATCAGAAATCGTCAAGAACTGGAGGGCAGGTGCACACAAGATGCTTGTCACCATACATGTCATCAATTCGACCAACAGTGGGCCAAATTTTTGTCTCTCCTTTTACAAAGGGCTGAAAACAAAATTCGTTATGAACAAATTTAGCAGTGAAAACAAATTTGCTTAACATCGTCATTTTATCGTCATACCTCACAAAGTTTGTGGTAATGAAACGAGTTCAAAAAAAAGCTTGACTATTTGAAAAAAATGTCTACATAATGCACATCATTTAATTATATATTTACTTGAATGCTTTATAAATAACATCAAACATTGGCCATCATCCTAATCTAATAAAATAGTGGTATTTTATCTGTTACTTTTTCATTAGCCATAATGTCACTAATATTTGCAACTTACAGCTGGAAAGGCGGCTTGCTCTCTTGTATATGGCCTATTCCATTCCTCTGTTATAACTGCTTCTTGCGTATGTGGCGCCATCTATGTAAATTCATGGTCACATTTTTTTAGTAGAAATCAACGAAATCAATAGTACAACAATAAAAAAAGGCGCGTGAGAGATAAAAGAATCGTTTTATTTACAATTTTACTAAACTTTAACGTAAGTTTGTAATAAGTCACAAAAGGAAACAGAAAGTTTTATACCCATAGCTTTTTCCTTCATTTATCACATACATATGCACATGTTATAGGTCAATTCCCGGCCCACAAAACAAAATAATTATTCTAGAAATGTTAAAAAAATATATGTTCTTGATTTACTAATATAACTCATATGGTGTCATAGCAAAAAATATCTATAGTAGGACCAGGCAGCAGCTTGGGATGTTGCACGAAACTACAGGCTCATCCGATGAAGTGCCAGGCAAGTATTAGTATTGCGTTACGACTTTTTTAGTGAGGTAACCGGAGCCCACATTTTTAATGTTGGTAACGAATTTACTACCGGTCAGGTTTTATAGAAGTTCATGGGCGGTGGTAATCACTCAACATCACGGCGGCAACAACATGGCGGTTCACGCCAGCTGCTTTGCCGATTTTTGGAAAAAAACCGGACTTACTTTCAGTGGATTCAGTCGTTTGTCTATCAGACCGTCCTCTATATCTTTTATCTCGCTACGGATCGATATCAGGGCTTCGCAGAATCGCTCCAGCTCTTGCAGGTCTTCGGATTCGGTCGGCTCGATCATAAGCGTCCCGGCCACCGGCCAAGACATTGTGGGGGCGTGGAAACCTGGAACGTCACTTAGTAAATATATTTTGAGTAAAGTAACGCAACATTCAATTTATGTCCCACAGCTGGGCAAAGCCTCCTCTGCGTAGATCCCACTACGGATTAGCGGACCTCACACATCTTCGAAATATTCTTTTATTATTATTATTTCGAAAATATACATATATGCACGTGACAAATCAGCACTCAAAATTGCAATGTACAATTTCACTGGTGCCAGCTTTTCTTATTTTTGGTGACTGCACAAAATCGAAATCATTGAAAGAACAGGAGTGAGCAAACTTCTCCCACCTAGGTAGGGTTGGCACAACATGAGAATCATGTTATTAATGGTGTTAGCTAGGTTTTTGACGATTGACCGCCTGCCTAACGTCAACCCTCCTTGGGAATAAGCACCCAAATCCGAAACAAACATCTGTGGGTCGCATAAATACTTGTCCCACTTCTATATCCATTTTAATAAGTTCTAACGTAAACGAAAAAAAGGGCACAGCGAAGAGTCGTTCATCTAATATTTAGATAAAAATACACCAAAAAAAGACAAACCATAATCCATGAGACGCTTAGCAATGTCGCTCGGTTCGATGTTCGCGGTCTTCTTTAGGTCCCGGACGTCGATAATAAATTCATGCGCAACAAGACCCCTCTCGCCTTTATACAGAGTCTTGTAGTGTCCTTCCAGTCTCTTCGACATGTAGTTGGCATTTAATATGGCCACTTGCGTCGCTCGCTTCAAACCCTTAGGTCCCATCATCTAATGGACAACTTGACAATGTTAATTCAAAATATTCTTTAATTTCTTCTTGTTGAAAAATAAAAACGCATGTACACGTTGTTACTACACCAGAGGTCTGCTGCACAATGTATGCTGCAATTTCGATTGAATTCGATTCGTTCGATGAAAAATTTAAGGTTAAATTTAATGATAAAGTTGCCCTCAGATACCATTACCTATACAGCGTGTCGTTACCATCGCGACAATAAATGAACGCACATATAAAGGATAACTTTTTAAAGTTGTATTAAACATTTAAATTCTTTAAACATCGATATTTACAGAGTTATTTAATTTTCCAAAACAAAATTTTAGAACACCCTTACCTATAAAAACTTAACGTAAAGTTCATTTCTAAAGGTCACAAAGCATATGAATGGGTTGAATGAATTTAAAAGAGACAAAACATACTGTTAGAAGGAGAGGCTTGTAATGCGACGCTGTGGCGCGAGTTGTATAGGATGTTACAAATTTTCTTTCTTTTTTACTTAATTAGTTTGTTTGAAAAATATTTTTTTAATTATGGATTTTGTTTAACATTAATATTTTTTTATGATTATTGGCAAGTAGCGTTAGATGTGTGTTCATTTATTGTCGCGATGGTAACGACACGCTGTATAATTTAGAATATGAGTTTAATAGATTAATTGACGAAAAATTTTTTGCCGAAAAAAGCGGGCTGGTCAGCTTTTAGATCAGTAAGATGCAGTTTTGAATTTCGCAGCGCCATTAATGTTTTCGAAAGTTTGTTCTAATCAACTCACATTTGAATTTCATGTAAAGAGCAGATGAAAAGTAGTAGTAAGTAGGGCCACGCGGCAGCCTCGACTGTTGCACGAATGGGCAGGCTCGTCCGGGTTAGTACCAAGATCTCACAGATGACCGGCGTAAAGTGGAAGTATAAACTTTTGCGTTTCGTCTGGTGAGTGAGGTAGCCGGAGCCCAATTTTCAAAAGGTTGTCAACGCATCTGGAACCCTCGGGTGTAGCAGATGTCCATGGGCGGCGTTATTCACTTAACATCAGGTGAACCGTCTGTTCGCTTGGCAACTTTTCACATAAAAAAAATTAAAAGTAAAAACCATCCTAAATTAATCTGCACAATAATACGAATAACGTCATCGGCCACAACATAAATTATTGTGAATATTTTGCACTATTCTAGACAAGGAAAAGAACATTTAAACTTTGCTTTACTTTTACTTTGACTTATTAATTGTTATTAATGATGACAGTTTTTGATTTCAGTCTGTAGACTATTAAAACTTCATCAAACGCAGAACTCTTGGATAACCCACGAGCTTGATTGCGTCTCCAAACTGTGTATCTGATGCGTGTCTTATCTATGGGGAGGAATGTCACCTACAGGCCCTAGAGGTTTGGTACCAGCCCAGACTATTTCCGTTCACTGTATTATTAATTAATTGGTGGCTGGGTGCGATAAGAACCGCCCTGAAACGCGGGTGTACCTTGTGTACGCATTGTATTGGTTTCGCCGTTCTCGTAGGCAAGGACAAACTAATTAATTATATGTGTTAACACTACTTGTGATTAAAACATGTAGAAAAAGTACGAAAAGATTGTCGCCGCTGTGGGAATCGAATCTACGTCTTCGGCATTCGCGGCCTGACGCTCTAGCCACTGAGCTAAACGGCTGATAGCAACAGCGACGAAAATCTTAACGCCTTCTTTCTACATTGTTTTTAGCATTTAAAGCAATGCTTGGCGCATCTATTGTTACATCCTTTCCAGCATACAAACAATTTCGAATATCGTTTTACAACAATAATTCGAACGAGAGATGTCGCCATTGCTTCGATAGCTTCGATAGCATTGCTTCGTAGTTCTTGAAAATTTGAACTTGCCTTTATGTACGCCCACGAAATCGGCAGGATAGCAGACGACCCAAATGGTGCGGCGCTCACCGAGCCGAAGCTGTGGGCCGCATCGCCCAAATCGGCCAATGGGTCCACCACAGGGTGTGACGGTAGAAACGGTGCCAAATGAGCTTTGCTGAAACAATTTTAAAATAAAATTCTATCTAAGGACGTCAGAAGTGAAAACTTCTTTGTCAACACACTAGTTCGTCCTCGCCTCCGAGCTCGGCGAGACCAACACAACGCGTACACACAAAGGTACACCCGCGTTCCGGGGCGGTTTTCACCGCTCCCAGCCACCGATTAGCTAATTGCACAGTCGACGGCCATCTGGGTTTCGGTCCGAACCGCGACCTTGATGGCCCTTAGATGACACAGAATACTTAAACGCACACATGAGCACATGCGTGGCTCTACCCACAGCGGAGGGCCCAAACCCGTAGGTTCTGGCTAGTCCACCGGTTCTGCGTCAGATGAAGCTTTAATAGTTTCGGGACTGAAAGCAAAAACATCAGTTAATACAAGATACAAGACTTCTTTTCTTCATAAACTTGTAAACATAATTTTTTGGTTGTTAAGAAACATTTTTTTTATTAAGGTATTAATATGGTACTAATCTTCACATTACCTCGCTGTGATACATGAAAAAGAATGATTATTATCGTTATAGGTAATAAAACCTGATTTATAAACACATAATTATCTATTTTATAAAATTGTATCAATTGGATTTTCATCATTACTTTCATCAGTTATATGTGACGCGAGTTTGGTTCTTCTTCACCATCCCAAAGGTGGCCTGCATGCGTAAAGATATTTTTACCTCAATAAAAATGTGTTACTTACAAATTAAACAGAATATTAAATGTAGATGAATGAAAATAACGTAAGAGTTATAAGTTCATTAATCCCAAGTAATGTCTTTCAAGTTATGTTCATTTGTGCGTTATTTGTAATAATATTCCGTGTTATAATTAAATATGCCTGGCGCATCGATAAAAGTGATTTATTAATAAAACTTAAAACAGTTCAAGAAATTACTTTTTGCAAATTAACCTTTCTAACTAAATTGTGGTAAAAATAAGAACTTAGGTCTATAGTTGGATAAACTTTTTCTTACACGCCAATTGGCCCCATTCCTGGACCACCGCCGCCGTGAGGGATGCAGAAGGTTTTGTGCAGATTCAAATGGGATACGTCACTCCCATAATCACCCGGTCGACACAACCCCACCTTGTTAAATATAAACAAACATGGTAAAGTTCGGCCACAATTTGTTTTATATTAAAAGCATTCGCATTATTAAAATCAACTAACAATCAAGCAACCTTTACAGGTTTAAAAGGCAGTAAGAGTACAAAATTTCAAACGATAATTTTTCCAGATTTGCAAGTTCTTTTGTATAGCCATAAACGGTCATTAATACAGCAACAAGAACGTACAAAATAATTTTATTTGGTAAGAATTTTTGTGGCAATGCCATATCTTACGAAGTTCTTTGTGAAAAATAATCCTTCTATTATAATTGTCTTGTTTTAAAACTTATAATTTAATATTGTATCATGATATTGAGGCATTTATTGTACATATATTTCTGGTGGACAGTACGTTTAAGTTGCCCTTATTCGGTGTATTGTTAAGATTATAGTACTGTTAGCTGTTTTATGTACCAAATAAAATAAAATCCTCCTCACGAAAAATACACAATTAGAGTAGGTAAAAAAACCCTCGTTTAAAAATTTCTATAAGGTACGATAATTATTTATATAACTATTATAGTCCGTCAGACCTGAGCGTTCATATTGGCACCGTCGAGGTAAACCTGGCCCCCATGCGCGTGAACCAGCGCACAGACATCAGCGGCGCGCTCTTCAAACACGCCAAACGTACTTGGATATGTCAGCATAAGACAGGACAGCTTTGCGCTGTGCTCCTCAACCTAGAAAACGTACAGTACTATGATTTTCCTTAACGAGAAAAGGTGCGGACGAGCAGGGATTCCTGATGTTAACCATCGCCACCCGACACTGAGTTTACAGTGACATTGCCTAACACATTTGACAAAATGCAAGCACAAATACTTCTACTTTAATTCAGTCTTCTGTGAGACTTGCTACTTCTACGGGCGAGCCTGATTTTGTGCATTATAAGAAGACTTTCCTTTTATCTTGTGTGTGATTCTACAATAGCAAAGTTGGCTAAGTTTTATGCAACCAGCAACCTGCCTTACGCCAACCCTCCTTAGAAGCAAACAGCTAGATTCGGAACAATTATTTATCTATGAGTCATACTTATACTTCTCCCGTGTGGCCGCAACTCCCAGCACCGAATGCAATAACTTAGCAACTGCGCTTCTGCTTAATTTACGACCAACATTGATAATATGAGTTCCTAACTGTGGTAGGGCCACGCAGCAGCCTCAGCTGTTGCGTGAATGGGCAGACACGTCCGGGTAAGTACCATGACCTCACAGAAGACCGGCGTAAAGTGGAAGTATAACAAATACTTTCTTTCGCGTTTCGTCTAGTTAGTGAGGTAGTCGGAGCCCAATCTTCAAAAGGTTATTAACGCATCTGTAACCCACGCGTGCAGCAGATATCCATGGGCGGCGGTATTCACTTAACATCAGGTGAACCGCCATGGAAACTTTTCACATTAAAAAAAATTATATAAATAACGACGAAAATGTGGAAAACTTGGGCTTTTTCGACTGTGGCCGTGTCTTTGATGACGATAGAACATACCAGATCCTTCAAGTGCTCCATGTCTATATCGCCGGACGGCTTGACGCGCACGGCGCAGACCCGCATCCCGGCCATGTGCGCGGAGGCCGGGTTGGTGCCGTGCGCGCTCACTGGGATCATGCAGATGTTCCGGCCCGCGTCGCCCCGGAACTCGTGGTAGCGTTTGATCGTCCGCAGGCCCGCGTACTCGCCTTGCGCCCCGCTAACAGTCGCGAGACACGTGCGTTTTCGGTTTTGAGCAGCGATCACATTATACACAAACAAGCGACCCGCCCCGGCTTCGCAATGCTGAATGTTTGTCATCGACATCGCATTAGAAACCTCTAAAATTATCAGTGTTTCTCTACTATATATGAATTATACATATAAACCTTCCTCTCGAATCACTCTATCTATTAAAAGAAAACCGCACCAAAATCAGTTGCGTAGTTTTAAATATCTAAGCATATATAGGAACAGACAGACAGGGGTCGACTTGGTTTTAAATAGTATAGTGTAGTGATACGAGATGATGACACTAGCGCACCGAAATTAAGGCACTCAAATTACACCAATTAGTGTAATTGATTAGTCTGCTATCTCTTACCAAGTAGATGTGTCATAGGATGTAAAAAGGATAATTTTTAAACGCCGTATGGGCATGCGTTATCTTTATTAAAGCATCATTGTTGAACAGTAACACTTTGCTCGGAGAGAAGGAATCAAGGTGTACACTTTTGTGGAATCCAAAAAGACTATGGCCGGACTGAGGCCGCAGTCGTGGAAGATTGCGTGTTCGTGTACCCGTGTCCCCGGCCAGTGGAAATATCTGTACCCGTTCTACCCGTTAATGTTGGTGTTTCCCCTTTCCGCTCCCCCGAGTCCGATGGCGGGAGACCCGTAAAGAATTTTTAAGTAAAAATGTAAACAGAAAAAGGTTAATCATTTATAAGCCTCTTTGTTGTTTTTAATAAAGGTGATGTTAGGATGTTAACTCTGCCGATGTGTTGCCAACCGTTTAAAAAAGGCATCCCCGATGAAATGCAAACTTCCCCTTCACACTGGTCTTCTACCCTAGCTTAGGTCTAGCCTATAATAATTGGTACCTCCCCAGACTAGCCTGCCGATTCGGAGCAACAGCCCGAAGCTGTGTAGCTGCTGTGTACTGCCACAGTAAAAAATGTAAAGTTTAATGTAATGAGAGTAAAAACATATGAAGTATGCCAATTCAACGTGGGATCTCGTGGTGTACTATGATTTAATTAAAATTACCCTCTGCCTACACAGGAAGCATTTGCGTGAGAAATATAACGCAACGGCTTTTACTACTGCTTACTTTATGAACCAAGTAATTTGGGTTTTTCGTGAAGGATATTCACCGAAAATTATTTGTCTAGTCATCTGGAAATCTCAACATTGTATTGTAGAAATAAAATCAGACCTGTTAGGTTGAAAAGAGACACGGTCGTAGCCTGTGATAGCGCAAAGGTCTTTAGCGAGCTCCTCAAAGAGCGTATGGTAGCCTTGGCACTGGTCCAATGGTGCAAATGGGTGGATTTCCGTGAAATGTCTGAACGAACATGGCATCATTTCCGTCGTCGAGTTCAGTTTCATCGTGCAGGAGCCCTGGAAAAAAACACGGAATGGTGAATTACTGTAAAAAAAATTCTAATATGATGATAACGTGACGAAAATTGGAATAGGCCTACAAAAATAAACGTTAAATGAAGTATAAGTTAAATATATAAAAAAAAAACATAAATATGTAAAAATTCGTTATTGATCAATTTAGGCTATACTTTTATAAGGATAGTCAAAATTATTACATTGATTGTACAAATATCGTTATCATCGAATATTTATGTTTAATTACAAAAATGGACGATGATTTTTCACTATGAAAATTCCCATAAATATCACATTTTTATATAAGCTTTACCTTATTAAGCTGCAGTTTATGCAGTTGTAAATTACGTGTGACTCAATTTTTAATCTTATCTGCCGTATTTACTACGTGTATGCTTAAAATCATTAATTAGCATATTTTTGTTAAGTAATAAATTACTTATGCCAGATGCATATTAACATACAATAATTCCCATTAAAATATGAAGTATTTGGGACGAAAACGTTATTTTTGCTGTCGAATATGAAAATGTGATAAAAATAAATAATTGCTAGAGATCTAGCTCGTAACTTGTTATTTTTTTACAAAATTATTATATTCACTTTAACATCAATCAAATAAAAAGTCATGCGTTCTTACCAAAGGTATCATAGAATGAACTAAAGAAATATCTTTGTTTTCCAATCTCTTCATATATCGGACTATCCTGGTTTCAGAATGGTGCATATTGAATACCGGGTGTGTGAGATACGGCGAAGTCCTACGGAATGGACCTTTCAACACGCTTTTTGATGTCACATCACCACCTTGTATAACCTGTGTAACATTGAAGTTAGGTTATATATTTATACATTGGTGATTACTCTTTCATTTTAAAGATCTCGCAGCTGTGCATGAGTATCAGTTGATGAGGACTTGCCACTTGAGAACCGCCTCTCATAGCATGGCCACTCATAATCATCATCATGCGTTCTTTCAACCATTAACAGAATTAGCCTGGTTATCTGGTGAAATAACCAGATTAACTCAGGAAAAAACGCTTAAGTCACAGTAGATTCATTCAGTAGATCCTCGGGCACAAAATTAACCCATCATTAATTTTAAAATTAATTTTAATATTTATAGTTTATTTTATTTATAGTGCTAGTCTCTGTGCTCAAGATGAAGCTTAAATGTACATTCGTTTGGAGATTTTTATTTTATTTGAGAAATGTGTGAAAAGCACATCTGATTTTAATATATAAATTTTCGGATTTTATTGGTGCTGCCGGGATTTGAACCCACGACTTCAGATAACCTGCCTAGACGTCCTTAACAATTAGGCTTATCTTCCGATGTATTCACGGCGTGAAAACAATTATCTTGTATCTTTTAATAATGCTTCTCTAAACAGCTTGACAGTCTCAAATAACATATAACAATGAATTTTTTCTTTACTATGAATTTCATCTTGAGTGCAGACTAGGAATAAAAACACAAGTACATTTTTTTAAGAAGAAATAAAGCTTAAAATAAAGCTAAGAATTAATATTTGATAATTCATTTTCTATTTGCTGAGCGATTTGAGGAAAATGAGGTGGACCTTTTTGAAATCGGTTGAAAAAGTAATCATTAATCATAATTTTTGTTTCAAATAAGTGCCATATATTTTAATTTACGCCATAAAGACTGCCAGTATTTGTAAACATCGGGAATTTCTATTTAAAATGAAGGCGATAAAATCCGTAAAATTAAATACATCTAACATCACGTATGTTTATTGGTGATTACATAATGGTTGGGGATGATGTACTCAATAAAAAATAACGCAATCTACATAGTCAATTATGTACCATTTACTGTAAAGCTATAAAATTAAATTGATTTTAATAAAATCATTGTAATTTAGAAATTTTAATCGATAATACAAATCATTCAAAGATCATTTGTTCAACTTATATCATTATTATACACTAATTGGCTTTCGTAATAAGTGTAAATTTCATATCAACATCTTGCAGTGTAGCTTTCAATACATTGCCCTAACTGACCTATGTTCCTTGACTTAAATAAACGATAACGCCTTTAGTAAAATCGACCGTTCAAGTACATTGTATTTTATTATCTATTGATGTCTTCCCTTTGAAAACATTGCCCTCTTATAGGATAACATTATCCTGTGTTGTGAGGACGTTTTACATAATTAAATTTCACGAGGACAAACACCTAGATCCGAAACAATTATTTGTGGGTCACACAAAAGTTGTCTCGTGTGGGAATCGAACCCATGACCCCCGGCGCCGAAGCCAATACCTCGAAAACTGCGCCACGCAGTCATCAAGTACTTACTTGGTCAACTTTGTTGCAGTCGAATATCCACAGTAAATCTTGGACATCTTCCATTGTAGTAGTTTCGTCTAACGCAACTCCAACTGCTCCATCGTCGAAGTATCGAAGGTTTACCTTCTTCTCTTGCGCCCGCGCTTTGATGGCGGTCGCATCATGTTCGGGATGAGGAACAATATGTAGAGTGTCGAAGAAAACGTCATTGGATTGCTTATGTCCACGTTCTTTTATACCTGAGTGAAGGATTTCATCGGTTAGTTATAGAAATGGGTTAACACAATGTTTGACTCTAGAATAATAAAGTAACAGTTTGATGACTCCGTGGCACAGTTGCCAAGGTATTGGCTTCGGCATCGGGGTTCGTGGGTTCTATTTCCACGCGGGACAACTTCTCATATCTTGTATTAACTGATGTTTTTGCTTTCAGTCCCGAGGCTATTAAAGCTTCATCTGACACAGAACCGGTGGGCTAGCCAGAAACCAGGTGTTTGGGCCTTCCGCTGTGGGTAGGACCGCGCATGTGCTCATGCGTGCGTTTAACTATGGTATGTCATGTAAGGGCCATCGAGGTTGAGGTTCGGACAGGGACCCCGATGGTCGTCGACTATGTTTTTAGCTAATCGGTGGCTGGGGGCGATGAGAATCGCCCTGGTTTAGCTAATCAGTGGCTGGGGGGACAACTATTTATGTGACCCACATATAGTTGTTTCGCATCTGGGTGTTTATCCGCGTGATAAATGTCAGTAAAACGTCCTTACAACACATGATAATGTTATGTACTTTTACATTATATATAGGGAAACTGTATATATAAAGTTTTTGTTATTTAGTTGGTATTGGATTTGTTTTAGTCTTGGCATGTTTTAAAAACCTTAGTAGCATAACAAAACTCAAGTCAAAAAATGGTATTAGGAAAGCCAAAGAAGGTATTACTACATTCCGTTAAGTTCCGTTGCAACTTGATGATGTATTGCTTTCAATAATAATAAAACAATAATAATAAATTTTTCGTTATCAATGAATTATGTGAGTTCACATCCCTCGTATGGCAGCTTGTCGTTATAGTAAGATCTTTATGCCTTCCCTCTTGCTGTACGCTGCACGCATAGAAGTGTCCGTTTGCACGGGCTAAATTATAAAATGGAACCTCATTATCGCTTTAACTCTCATACCGTGATCCAGGACAAGGGTAGCATTATGGACTCGTGTTGCGATGTCTCGTAGACCCTGCGGTCCGTGATAAACGGCGAACATCGCGGACATATTAGCCAAAAGAGCCTGAGCAGTACAAATATTAGACGTCGCTTTGTCACGACGGATATGCTGCTCCCTGGTCTGCAAAGCTAACCTGTACAAGTAAGTGAAGTTCACTAAACACCTTTATCCAAATCAGGCAATTGTAAATTCAGTGTTCATATCATCAATGGCTTTGTTCGGTAATTCAATTGCATAAACAATAACGTAACACGGTAACATCGTGCAAAAGAATCTGATGGCATAATGGAATAAAAAAATATAAATGAAACACCAACGTATGAATAGACTGTGAGATAATGTGAATAAGGCATACCTATACGCATCTCTTCCAGAAGCATCTCTCGTCACGCCCACCATTCGGCCAGGCATCAAACGCACCAAGGCGTGTTCGGCCGCGAAGAAACCAGCGTGAGGGCCCCCGTAGCCAAGGGGAACCCCCAGTCGCTGTGACGTACCGACCGCGAGGTTAGCACCACACTCCGCTGGAGGCCGAAGCAAAGCCATGGCTAGGAGGTCCGTCGCCACCACCACTAGAGTCTGGATGAAATAACTTATATTGAACCATCTTTTGAGTTTAAAAAAACTTAATTATAAATAAAGTCCTTTGGTAGCTGATATATTTTTTGTTTAATTACTTTGCATTGTCGCCAAGTACAATGCTAATGATTAAGATTTTTTTTGTTATTTTTATTAAGGTATGGACACAAAGCCCATAAATTTTGCAATTTAATTTAAATATTTAACTAAACATTGTTTTTATAGGCATTCGGTTATGAATTATAGTCAAGAAACCATAATAATTTCTTGTGTTTACACGAATACTAAACATTGTTAAACAAAAAAATTAAGGATTTTACCGCCTTTAATTTTGTTTCAATTCCCCTCGTTCCGAACACTACATCCCACCCACGGTCACTAATATTTTAGTCCCGTAACCATGGCCTCCAGGGACCAACGCGATAAGTTCGAAAAAATTATTTTTACTAAAGTAAGCAATCCTTATATTCAAGATCATCATCAAGTTTCTTCAATTGCGCAATTGCAAATTCTCCACACAAAAACCAATATTAACGTACACCGTGTTCGTGCGCCGCAGCTGCTAATGCCGAGTAGTCATAAACCAATCCCCTAGTGTCGGGGCATTGTAACAGGACAGCAGAGATATCCCTTTGGGCGAAATCAGCGCGGCGTACGTCCGGCACCACTTTCACCTCGAGGCCCAAAGCGTCCAAACGGGTTTGCACCACCGCTAGCGTCTGCGGATGCAAGCGCTCCGATACGACAAACTTTGTCCTTTTGTTGTGCCTAGAAATAATCACCCGCTTTAGTTGTTTTTTTTTTCAGAATCCGTCTTTCACCAGGGTGTATCTCTTGAACCGAGATATTCAGACAGTTGAAATTTTCACAGATGATGTATTTCTGTTACCGCTATAACAACAAATAGTAAAAATTGAATAAAAAAATATTTAAGTGGATCTCCCATACAACAGACGTTGCTGCTTTTATAGATAATGGTACGGAACCCATCGTGCCCTAGTCCGAGTCGCACTTGGTGGGTTTTTTATTCTTTCTTTAAATGCATGGGTGAATGTAACTTGCAAATAATTCATTGCATTAATTGCTATATATTTCTTACTTCTTCTACATGTTAATTACATCTTATATTATTACTGTAACACCCAAGATCAAATTTAGTTTTGTTTATTTCTAATTTCCCCGACCAGCAGAGCGGGGAAAATAACTTTGGCAGCCTAATATGTTTTAATACGGCGTTGCACGAATGGGTAGGCTCGTCCAAGTAAAGGAAGTACCACAGCCACTCATAAGATCGGTGTAATGTGAAAGTATTAAACTTTTCCGTTTCGTCCGGTGAGTGAGATAACTGAGGAGACATCAGGCGTTGCATATGTTCACTTAACATCAGGTGCATGCCAACTCGTTTGCTAACTTTAAACAAAAAAACCGGTATTTAATTTTTAAATATAGGATCCTAAAAAGCCCACCTGTGGCAAAGCGATAGTGCCTCCGCAGCAGCCGTGCCCTCATCTAACAATGATGCATTTGCGACGTCCAGGCCGGTGAGGTCACTGACCATTGTTTGATAATTGAGAAGGCCTTCCAACCTCCCTTGAGCCACCTCAGGTTGATAAGGCGTATATTGCGTAGTCCTATAACGCACTACGGATTAAAAACGTGTTGCAGTCATTTATTATATCATAAATTAAAAAAGTGTGTTACCAGCCAGGATTTTCAAAGAGATTTCGCATTATTGTGTGCGGTACACAACAGTTATGGTATCCCATGCCAATGTATGATCGCCATATTTGATTCTTTTCCGCAATTTTACGTATTCGTACAATAAGGTCATATTCACCTGCAAATGACATTATTACATTATTTCGTACAGCTATAACAGTCGCAATAGTTGTAATAGTAGCAAAAAATTTACTCGTTCTCTAACTATCCACTTCAGTAAAATATTATACGGAAGTATATAATTATGCATTTCCTTTATTGTATTACCTACAAAATTACCTATAGAATTTGCAAGTGTGTCAAAAGGAGTCTACGAAACTCAACTGTACTTACTCATGGGATCGTCGATATTCATGAGACCCTGCAATTGAATTTTCTTGGGCACAGCATCGTTCGTCAACTGATCCAAACTCTACATTGAGAAACAGAAATTAAATTATTTTATATTATGTTCATTACTTCACGCATCTAGGCATTAAGTATAATAAGGAAACCGACTTTATATCCAAGTAAATCCAGCATAGTAACTACATCTTGGTCCCTAGGACCAATATGTCTGCTAGGGAAGTCTACTCTCTCCGGAAAAAGGTTATTGGAGCCAGGTTTATGTGTGGCAATACATCTAGCTACATTTTCACAAAACACTTTTTGACTGCGTAGAGATTTTTTAACAGCTCTTATATTAGATATCGAACGGTGTGTTCGAAATTTAAACATATCGAAGTAACTTTAAAATTATGCTGTTACTCAATTTCAATACCCATAGCAGTGTCAGACTTAATCGAGCGACAATAACGCACTGATATCAGGGTCAGCTTATTTCTGCTCTTCAGTGATAAGAATAACTTATAAACATAATTAAGTACATTCTCTGACGAAGCCATGTCCATCAGCGTCTTATGATTTACTATCTCATATTTTCAATATATTAGAAAGAGATAAGCATGTTTCTTAAGCACCGTTGACGATTTTGAATTATATTCCCAAAAATGATCTTAAAGTATAAATTGTTAAGAAAAATTGTGATATAAGTAAAAAGTACGGCTTTTCTTTTTTATTTTCACAGTTCTAAAACCTAATCTTTGACAAACAAGTAGACTAGTGAAATAAGTAGAACGTTGTCGTTTGAGTTTTTTCATTATGGGTATTATTCGTGCTCCAGCACCGATAACTGTAGAAATAATCTTAGAAACTAGAAAGATTCTTTAGAAATATTTAAAAAATATGTATTCAGGCGCAGCGTGATGTTCTGAAAAATTTTTTTTCAAGTTCCACTGAAAAACTAAAAATTTTGGTATTAAACCAGTAAACCACATTCGTGTTATTTATTAATCGAACTTATTCTAGCCAATCCATTAAGAGTTTGAACTTTTTGTTTTGTCAGCAAAGTAATGAAAACCAGGCGTGCATTACCATTGCATTCTAACCCAAATGTAACCTCTAAAGCATAAATAAGACATTTATATGCAGATTTCAGATATATAAAAGTATATAGATTTCAGATATATAAAAGTACTCTTTGTTTATATGTATACTGAAAGAGAAAGACTCTTTGTTTAATAAGTATTCCCCGTAAAAAGTGCATACTGCCTACAACGTTCCTGTTTCATGTATAATAACAATGTAAATAATTCATAATCCATTACTTCTGTAATACGTGTTAACTTGAATAGATAAAATTTATATATAAACAATATAATCTTTAAGTCATGTCACTGATATTAATATCGATCAAATTATCCTAAAATTCTATAATTTTATCAGTAATGTGATGAATAATCTGAGACTTATGGAAACTATTTAACGTAAAACCGAGCGTTACCGACAAATCTTTTCCTCTTCCTAATTCATAGAAATAGAAATGAAGTTTTGTTTGTACTTTGCATTTGTAGTTTGAATTTTCTTATCTAAATTCATATTTTGTTACGCAAATGTATGTGGGGTGGGTGGTTGTTGTACTCATATACTGCTGCTGTACCTAACTACCTAGTGTACAAGACAGGGGTCAGGCAGACAGATCAATGTGTTGTTGATAATTTTATTTTCATCAATCTTATGTAAAATATCTTATAAAATGACTTTGTCTGAGTATTGTCAACTGAAGCAACAGGTTATTCTTAAAGCAGGCGAAAGTGATAAACATAGTAAAATATTAGGTACTTTGAAAGAATATTACAGGGATGAAATTGACTCTCCTAGAAGATATGAACAAATAAAAACTTTAAGCCAATTAATCAAAATATTAGAAATACGAGATGTGTTATCTGAAGACAATATTGTGCCTTTAAAAGAAGTAGCATCTAGACTTCCAAATAACTGTGAACTTTTAAAACAAATTAAAGAATATGAATCAAAACATGTACCAAGGGATTACACAAATCAATATGGTAAGTTAGTTACAATCAAACTATATATGGTATTGTTAGATTTGATTTACATGTATAGACAATACAGTTTATTACAATTTGGTAGAGATGTTAACATAAAAATACCATTAAAATATTAACAGCTAAGTTACAATTATTGGGCAACAAATATATTCATAAAACACTCCCTCCATTATATCCATATTAAAATTTTTGTTTTTAGTTATTATTAAAACACTTAATGACAGCACAACAATTATTTCAGATTTTGATAAATGTGAAAGTATATTAAAAGTAGAACCAGTAGAAAGCTTTAATAATCATCCGTGTGGGGTTATAAGTAAAAAAAAAAGAGAAAGGATTATGGAAACAATTGTTGAAGAAATTGGAATTTTTTGGCGTGATCTTGCCAGAAACTTAAAAGTTCGTGAATGTGTCATTGATGAAATAGATGTGAATAATAAATCTTTATTCAAAAAGGCAGCAACTCTTTTGGAATTTTATGAACAAAGAGCTGATCCTCAACGGTGGTTTTTCATCCTATGTGATGCTTTAGATAAAGCTCGAAGAAAAGATATTAGTAGGTCATTGCAAGAGATTATGTCAATGAATATTTGACTCATAATTTCTGTTAGGACTACCATTGCATTGTCATCTTGTATGACATATCTAACATGTACTTTTACAATACTTACAATATATTACTGGAACATAATGTATCTTGAACTAAAAATGGTTTCATTTTAGAAGCATCAATTTTTATTCAATATCATTAGTTGTATAACTATATGAACTGGACATTTGGTCTAGTGGCTATTAAACTTTCAATCTTAAGGTTCTAATATATTCTGTTATTAAAATTTCTTACATGAAATAGTCACAAACTTCATTTCCACCAATACAGCATTGAGCATGTATGAGCATTAGATGCCTCTTACCTTTTATTTTTAAGGTTTAAATGAGGTAACAGCTAACATATTCTTAAAACACAATGTGTATCTATTAGATATAAATGCATATTTTAACTCTCATTGAATTTATTGAAGTATGTATATAAAAAATTATGTATGTACATTAATTAATATTTATAATCCAAACATACAGTTCTATCACAATAAAAGCTCAAAATTGTAACAGGATGTTGCTCATCACCATACTGTATTAAAGGTTAAATAAATTTTACACAAAAATCAACGCTTGAAATTGATTGTTCCAAGCCTGTTCAATAGCACCATTTATAGCTAAAAACAATAAATATAGTAGTACGAGGTTAAAAGTTCATGCAAGAAATCTTATCATTTAATTTTACTCATCAGCTGTCAATAAATTACAATAATTTTCCTAAAGTAATCAGATTAAATAATGATCTTTATATAAATAATCTTATTCATTTGAATGACTACCGAGTGGTGTGACTATGTTCTTACTTTTCAACAGTTTAAAAATCACTCTTAGAAAAAGTCCATAGGTTAGCTCTATACATGACTCGGACCCACCGTCGGGGTACCGCCAGATAACACTTCTTGTATTAACTGCTGTTTTTGCTTTCAGTCCGAGACTATTAAAGTTTCATCTGACGCAGAACCGGTGGGCTAGCCAGAACCCATGGGTTTGGGCCCTCCGCTGTTGGTAGGACCACGCATGTGCTCATGCGTGCGTTTAGCTATGGTGTGTCATCTAAGGGCCATCGAGGTCGCGGTTCGGACCGAAACCCATGGCCGTCGACTGCAATTAGCTAATCGGTGGCTGGGAGCGGTGAGAACCGTCCCGGAACGCGGGTGTAACTTGTGTACGCGTTGTGTTGGTCTCGCCGTGCTTGGAGGCGAGGGCGAACTAGTGTGTTTGTTGTTGCACTAACTGTGAGTGTAGTGCTATCCGGCGGTGGGTCCGACGTATCTAAGTCCCCTTCCTCGACCGGGTCGATGAGGACGTTTCGCGGGCGACGCTTGTTGACGTTCGCGTTTGTGTCGGGTTGGTAATTTGCTGCGCTTACCACCAGAGGGATCATGTTCGGCTCTACCGAAGAACCGTTTGGTTAGGTCTTTAAAATATTCGCGAATCGTCGGGTCTGCAATCGCTGTGCAGGTCGACGTTGCGTTGATACCACTACGCACCGGTTGCGCGGCGGATGAACTTATTTTGTACTATTTGCAACTTGTACAAGCGAGTAGGGTGCGTGTGGGCGAACGTCATGCATGCGTAAGACATAATAGGTCGTACGCAGGTCTTATATAATAATAATTTGTGCCTTAAGGGCATTTCACTTTTAGCGTTAGTTAAATTGTGTAGCCGGCAGGAGACGAACGCGGCTCTATTGCGAACGTTATTAATGTGCGTAGTAAATGACATACGCGAGTCGAAAGTGACTCCTAAGTATTTGACCTTTTTCTCCCAGGGGAGCGGTTGGCCATAAAGGGATATTTGGCCCAACTTTCTGCATTGACGAGGGCCATTATAAAGATGTGACGTAAGTACTTCTTGGGCGGCGGCTTGTGGAGAGGGTGCCTTCTACTCGATATCGAAAAGAGCGTTTCGACAGGAAGGCCCGGATGGTGTGTACGAGCCTATCTGGCACTTTGAGTGTGTACAGCTTGTAAAGCAAGCCTTTGTGCCAGACCTTGTCGAATGCTTTTGCGACATCGCAGAAAAGAGCCCCTGTACTAATATGTTTAGGATGATTTAGGCCTTTTAGGATATGCTCGGTTAGGCGGAATAATTGATCAGAACAGGAATGTCTAGCTCGAAAGCCGAATTGTTCCGCCGGCAGAAGGCCGGAAAACACGTGCTTTTTGAGCCTGTTTAATAGAAGCCGCTCGTAGAGCTTCCCCAGGCAACTGAGGAGGCTGATGGGACGATAACTAGAGGGCTGGTTGGCTGGTTTATTCGGCTTGCGAATGCCGATAACCGTGGCTTCTTTCCAGTCGTCCGGAAAGGAGCAACTGGAGAGTAAAGTATTAGATAACACTACACACACAGTTAGTGCAACAGCAAACCATACTTCGTCCTCGCCTTCGAGCACGGCGAAACGCGTATTACTAGGTACACCCGCGTTCCAGGGTGGTTCTCAACGCCCCCAGCCACTGACTAACCAAGCACAGTCAACAGCTATCGGGGTCACGGTCTGCACCGAACCTTGATAATCCATAGGCAACACTCCTTAGCTAACGCACGCATGAGCACTTGCACAGGCCTACCCACTGTAGAGAGCCTCAAACCTGTGGGTTCTGACTAGCCCACCGGTTCTGCGTTTGATCAAACTTTAATACTTTCAGGACCTGAAACTATTAACATCAGTTGATACAATACAATAAAATACATGGCAAGTTGTCAAAATTCTAATAGAATCTAATCATAAGTTCTTCAATTTTAAAGGAATAATGATTAAACAAGAAATAGATTTAATAGAGCATTTATTAATGGAAAAAAACTTATCTTAAATATATTAAAAATTATAGTAAAATATTCATTTGGAATGTAAAAATAACTGGAATACTTTTACACATATAGGTAAAACATTATTTATATTTCAAGAAAATATAACAATATATTTTTTTTAATTAATGCCTATTTACTAACCATTACAATTTCACATTAAAAAAGTACTCAGCACTAAATAATTTTAAGTGCTGATAGATAACATCTGAATTGCATTTGCATTTTAAAGTATCATTCATTTGCAAAGACAACATTTTAAAGTATCACTAACTATAAAATAAGCAATAAATGTCATATATTATTTTCAATAACTAAAAAAACAACTTTACAGAGTGGTAATGCTTGTTAGTTTTTGATTTGTGCAAATTGTGTACAAATGAAATAAGTAGATTATAATTTAATTATAGAAGTATACTTACATATTTGAAAAATGTTCTTTTATAATAAAATTACTCTAATTTATTTTTGTCATTACTTATATTTAGATTAAAAATAATTTCAAGGCACAAAATACACATTAGGTTTCAGTATCATGTGGCATGAAAATCAAATTATATTTTAAGCTTTTAAATGATTTTTTTTTTTGTCAACTTATGGTTTTGTTATTACAAAGAATAACAGTAAGACAATTTAACCGAAGAAATATAGTTTGCTTATAATATGTGAAATAATTAAAATCTTGGAATCAAGTTTATTAACCAAACCAACCATAAAGTTAATTTATTTAAAAAATGGAATCACTTCATACATGATGACATTTCATTCATTCAGCTCATTGTGTCTAAAGTGATTTAATTCATATCAATTAAATCTAAATCTATAAGCACAATTTTTTAAAAGAAATTAACTAACGCTTGTATGAATTAAAACTAAAAAATAAACGAGACAAATTTGTAAACATAGTTTCATTTAGAAATTCACTACCTCACTTTTTGTATCTTTCAGTAACAAAACAACAGTATAATTTATGTAACAATGTATAACTGGAGGGCATCTGTAATGACGAGGCGATTTTGATGATTTTTCGAAAACCTCGCCCCTCCTCCTTGGTGAGATGTTATGAGGTTTTGCTCAAACATTTGACAGTATTTCTTGCAAAATAAAATAACGTGATATTTGCCGAGACACCCCTCTCCCAAATGTACATGATTAATAGTAGAAGTCCTTTTACAAATTACACTTTAATAAAATAGGTTTCGGAGGGCGCAAAGTCAAAGCGCCTATACGCAGACGTTGCATAGGCAACATCACGCGCGCTCATTCAATCGTTGCGCGTCATTCGTGCTCTCCTACTGCTGATTGTCTGCGGCCCAGAGGTAGGCGTTCTGGAATAGCCGGAGCCAGGGCGATGCTTGGCTGGCGGGGTTTGTGGCTGGGGGGGGCACGGCGCACTGCCAGCGTAGAACGCAGCGCTCCGGGTGCGGCATCATCGCCACGTGGCGGCCGTCGCGCGAACGCACGCCAGCCACGCCCTCTGTAATCGACACGATTGTATTGAAACGGTTTGTGTGGTAAGTCTAGTAAGCCCCGACGACCAATGCGATCTAGCAAATCTAATGTCGTTTTTCCTTCTAAATCACTGCCCCTTACTGTAGGATAGCAATAACCTGCGTCATTTTACATTTTTTTGCATACACAAATTTTCTCGTAGACAAACAGCCAGATCCGAAACAATTATCTGTGCGTCAAACAAACAGTTGTGTCGTGTGGGAATGACCCCTGGCGCCAAAGTCAATACTACGCCATGGAGTCAAAAAATAATAAATCAATTAATAATATAGACAAACCATCAAAATATAAAACTTTTAATGTGTGTGAAAAGTTGTCAAGCGAGCCGGCGGTTCTCCTGATATTTATTGATTACTTCCGCCCATGGACATCTAAAAGACTTGTAGATTAAAGGTACGCTTGTAACTCACTTTCCGTAGGTAATGCAACAGCTCGTAAGTAAAACGCCTAGTGTTGTTAATATAGGAACCGGGTGTACACGCCTTTTATCTACATGTCTTTATGAAAGTTACGAAGCTATGTAACTAACGGCCGTTCGTTGAATATAGGATCCGGGCATTAAAGACGGGGCGTTAGGAACGGGACAAGTTCACGTCACGCGTAACGTTCGAACAGAGGGCGCGGCGCTCACTGGGACTCCCGTTCAGGTTCATCGGGTAGGCCTCCGTGGGGGCGCCATAGTCGTACACTTATTTAAAGACGGGGCGTTAGGAACGGGACAGATTCACGTCACGCGAAACGACCACACTAAACGCTCACCGGGACTCCCGTTCGGGTTCATCGGGTAGGCCTCCGTGGGGGCGCCATAGTCGTACACTTATTTAAAGATGAGGCGTTAGGAACGGGACAGATTCACGTCACGCGAAACGACCACACTAAACGCTCACCGGGACTCCCGTTCGGGTTCATCGGGTAGGCCTCCGTGGGGGCGCCATAGTCGTACACTTATTTAAAGATGAGGCGTTAGGAACGGGACAGATAAAGATGAGGGGGCGTTCGTACACTTATTTAAAGAACGGGACGGGACAGATTCACGTCACGCGAAACGACCACACTAAACGCTCACCGGGACTCCCGTTCGGGTTCATCGGGTAGGCCTCCGTGGGGGCGCCGTCGTCGTCCACGTACTGCATCGCCAGCTGGCCTCTGGCCTTGAGCGCGCCCAGGAGCCGCCCCTCGGCGAACGTGAAGCGGCCCTCGCCGTGCGCCACCCACACGCCCAGCACGCTGCCCCCCATGCCGCGGAACCACACGTCGCCCCCCTCCCTCTCGCTGACCCTCACGGCGCTCCAGCGGCACTCGAACCTGGGTAACGGGTGGAAAGTTTCATCTTAAGCGGAGAAATATTTAGGGAGCGCAAACAAAATGCAAACTCATTACGAACAATCGAAGTAGGCTCCGCATGCTCTGACCATATACCATTTTCGGGCGGACACGAAATTGTGAGATTACTGTGGCACAGCAACGCAAAAGCTTCTGCAGTTGAAAAGAGTGGCTGGGAAGTGGAAGTATTACGTTTGCGTTTAGTCTGCGATCATCAAGAAATCCTTGAAATATTTAAAGCATGATTGGAAACTTTAATGTTTGTTACATTAAGTTCTGATTGATGCCGTGTCAAAATGCATACCTCTCAGAGAGATTGTGATCAAGGAATATCTGCGTCTTGTCAGAAAACTTGGCTGAATGGTCCACATCCACCCAGCCCAGCAACGCCATCAACTGGCAACCGTTGCACACGCCCAAAGAGAATGTGTCGTCTCTATTCTTGAAATGGGTGAATTGGGAGCGCAAGTTTTCCGAGAACAGAATGCCCGCCGCCCAGCCTTTGGCTGATCCAAGAGTGTCTAGAAAAATAAATAATTTTGAAGCCTATTACATTAAACCTATCAAATTAACAACCATTAAATGCAAGTACAATTAAAAATCTGTAGATTAGCTTTATTTATTGTTGTGTAAAAATTTGCCCGACATATTTATTTATTTAATAACGAAGATTATTATTATTATTAATATTTTTATAGTGCTAAAACGTTTCGCACCGCTGCGGAAACCGAACTCACTCCGAGTCTTTCGGATCCGCGCACAGACGCTTTAATCACTAAGCTACATGACTGATTGCTACACCGACGAAACTCTCTCAACGTCTTTTATCTACATATTCTATTAACATAAATAATGACCACGGTGGAATTACGCAACTTTTTATTAAATTTTATATTATTTATTACACTTCATTAATAACAATATTCGTTCTTCAATTACTTATCATTATTACTAAATGTCGTGTTTATCGTGTATAAATGGGTCCAGCTATCGGCTAAGCTGGGGTCAGGGTTTACAATTATTGATAACTAAAAATATTCAACACATTTTATAATGTTGTTAACAAATCTATTCACATATTAACGAGATAATATTCCACCTACTACTATAGAATACCACTCCAGCAAATATACTGACCTGCATAACTGAATCCACCGGGGAACACCAAGCCTTTGAAAGCGTCCAATGTTATTTTCTTTGATTGAAGATCGCTCATAGTCACGTCGTAAACTTCAAAGTTTGCCATCATCAGTGACGCAATCATTTCTCTGTCACCATTAGTTCCTAGATGAAAATAATAAACAATTAAACTTTTCACTCATTTAACTTTGAATGATGTTTTTAATACTTCATGTGTTAAACTAAAACTATGAATCATGTTGACCTTCCACGCGAAAGGCAGGTTTGTTCAGGAATATTGTTAATGAAAATTGGTTAGTGAAGTGAGCCGGTTTAAAAGATTTTTTTTAAAGTTGCCAACGCTACTGTAACTCTTCAAATTTTATGCTTGTATGGGTAGCCGTAATCACTTAACACCAGATAAAGTGCCAGCTCTTTTAAAAAGAAAATCGTTGTATTGGATTTTGCGTTTTTCCGCGAAACACTTTGTATTAAAAAAAACACTATAAAAATAAAGCGTATATAAAAATAAAGATCTTACCTTCTTCACGTATCACAGCAACTTTCACAGAGTGTGATTTGACAACAGCTGCAGAAGGGTCGAATGTCACTTTGTATGTTACTCCTTTTCGCTTTTCCAGTCCTGTCAATAAAATATATATATTCGATTGTTAAAAATACAACAGTATAATTTATCTTAAAACTAATATAATTATATTGTTTGGGTAAGCAAAGGCTGAGATAACTAATTAATTTAGAACAAAATTCACACTAATAATTTTGAAATACTTTGGCAAGTCCAAAACAAATAATTCATCAGTACATAAAGAATTTTCTCAAACCTGAAAAAAAAAAAAACATCAGATATTCAAAAAACATTAAAATAGAGTAGGTTGGGATTAGAATTGGCGATCTCATCGCGAGTCAAAAACCCTAGCCGCTAGGGCCTGACTGCCTAATAATGATAACTGCAATTTTCAAATAAATTTACAACCTACTGGAAGTAATGTCTCTTTTACATATATTAACCTTGCCATTCCTGTTTGACGCAGAGGGTGTTTGCTTGGAGGCGCTCGAGTTGGTAACTTGTTTCCTCCCACATTCTGAATACATTTATTAGTGTCGTTTTAAGAACACAATCGTCGTTCACCTTTACTAGGACCTAAAAATATTCAAAGAATGCAAACACTCCATAAACATGTAAACATTACTTATTCATTAAACAAATCATTTCTTATTCATTAACCAATCAATGAGTAAAAAAAATACTGGTTACCTCTGAGAGCATTCCATATTTTCCAGTAGTTCCGACTACTTTAGCATGTATGCCACTCTTCTTGTACTCATCAAGCACATAAGTGACATCACTTTGGACAACCTCAACGACAATGCCTAACTCTTCATTGAACAAGGCATCAATAACAGGTACCCCCTTTTCTACTTGCAGGTCAATAGTCAGACCTCTAATTCCTCCAATGCCCATTTCCAATATTGTAGTTATAAAACCACCTTCACTAATGTCATGGCCAGACAGCAGTTTTTTCTCTAAGAATAGAAATGCCATGCATTAATTCCAGTTCTACCGTAATAATTGAAAATTCAAATGGTCTTATCAATAAAACAGACAATAGTAAATGTATATTACTTTACTTTTACTTATTTTTATAGCCGTGATAGCTCAGTGTCCGGGCGCTCGCCTTTAATTCAATATACTCGAGCAACCTGAGTTCGATCCCCGGTGCCGGCACCAATGAAGTTTTTAAGTGCTGACTTATCACGTGCTCCGCGGTGAAGGAAAACATCGTGAGCAAACCTGCATATTTTCGAAATAATAACACAAAAAAATTTATTTCGAAGATATGTGAAGTCCGCCAATCCGCAGTGGGGCCGCGTGGTGGACTATGCCCTGATACCCTTTCTTTAGAGGAGGCCTTTGCCCAGCAGTGGGACATGTATAGGCTGTTACTTTACTTTACTTTTTTACTTATTTTATATATTTATATTTTGGAACATATATAATTAAACCAAACCAAAAGTTCACCTTTGAGTAATTTCTGGGTAGTTTTGAATAATGACTTAAGTACTGATGGATTATCTAGATCTGGAGGATTGTCACCAAGTTGTTTGTAGCATTGCGCTAGCGAAGAACCGCCGACTCTGTAGTAAGTAAAAAATACGAATAACAATATATCATTTACTCTCTGACATCTCTAGTCCTGGATGAATGTTAAGCTATAAAGTAAAGTCACATAACTTGACTGACAAAAATATTTTAAATGATAAATAATCCTGACACATGAAATAATTTTCACTTTCCATAATTTAATAAAGATTTTTAACCCCTTTAAACCCTTCTAAAGGTTGCCTGGACCTAGGCCAATGAAATTTATTTTTTTATACACTTTTTTTTAATATTTCAAATATAATCAAACACAGGTTTTGTCAACTACCTGTATTTCCCAGGCGATACTGGTACATGAATAAGGGCAGAGCCTTCCTGTAAAAGTGCTGGCTCCACTTTCACCGTGATGTCTGGACACGGAGCGTACGTGGAAACCACTAAGGTGCCAGGTGATCGGACTGGAAATGAAGGATTTACAAATGAAGAAGAAAAATTATAAGTACCCTATTCCAAAATTTTATAATGCCTAAGTGCAAAAAAATTAACCACGTGGGTGGACCGAAAACGAAATGCGATTTAGTAGATACAAAATAATTCTACATCTGAATGGAGAACAATTTTAAAGTCATAGAAAATTACATATTCGGCTATTACTATTTGGCTTTCTAAGTATTTTTTTTTTTCACATACCACAGGCAAAGTAAATAGATGTTGTAATGCAACATGTATGTCAAAATTTCTTTTAACCATACCCGTCTCGCCTGCTACATTGGCGCACATGGAAAGCGAATCCTTCCCACCGTCAATGGCCACTCCGATTTCGCTCATGGCTTTGCAGAGAGCTTGACACGCAACGACCAAAGAGGCACCCTGGGCCCCAGTTTTGCCCGCCCACATCCAGTTACCCGAGCACTTTACATCTTCCAGCGCTGTTATACCAGCAAATACCTATGGATCAATTAATTACACTTTTATGTTACATTATTTAATATACACTGAATGCTTTGTGTGGAAGGGGATGGATAGTAAGGCCAAACAATCACTGCAATTATCCTGTAAACTACAAATTATTTCATTTTGGCAGTCGTTTTCGAAGCTCGTGCAAAGATGGCAAACAACCAAGCTGTTCACCTGGCGCGTCTACAACTCACGTAAGATTCCTGAGACGCATAGCCAACTTGATTGACTTTTTTGAACATTTGAACTGCTTGACCACTGAATCTGAGCTAGGCAGTGGAGCGGAGCGAGCATTTCTTAGCAGAGTTGTGGATTGTGCGAAGCAATGACGATTTCACGGAGTCGGACTGGTCGTTCTAGTCGAACTCCAGCGACATACTATCCAAACCCCCCGACGCCCCTCGATTTCCCCGCCGCCACGCTCCGCAATTCTCGCTCGCTTCGCCTCGCCCCGGAAAACGTATGAATTTTTAAAACAGCTCGCAAACCTCTGTGCACTGGTCCAGCGGACAGAGATTTTATGCAATCCTACTGGTTAATAATTCTTCGTTTCTCCGCTCCGCAGCCGCGCTCTGCTTCAGTGGACAGACATCCTAAATCTACATTTTTTTTATATATGTGAGAAGGTGGTAAGCAATCTGGCGGTTCAACTGTTGTTAAGTGATAAGCGCCGCCCATGGGCATTTGCAACACCGCATAAAGTGGATCCCGGCTACCTCGTTCACCAGACGACTTATAAAATTAAATAACTAGTATTCTGTGAGATAGTTGTGCTTACTCGGACGGACCGGCCCAATCGTCTTGTATCTTGTAGTAACTGATGTTTTTGCTTTCAGTCCCGAGACTATTAAAGCTTCATCTGACGCATAACCGATGGGCTGGCCAGAACCCACGGGTTTGGGCCCTCTGCTGTGGGTAGGGCCGAGTATGTGCTCATGCACGCGTTTAACTATGGTGTGTCATCTAAGGGCCATCGAGGTCTCGATTCGGACCGAAACCCCGATGGCCGATGACTGTGCAATTAGCTAATCGGTGGTTGGGAGCGGTGAGAACCGCCCCAGAACGCAGGTTGCCCAATCGTGCAATCAGTAAAGTTACACGGGGAATAGTGGAGGTCGGGGCACTGACCAGGTTGGTGAGCGCCTCGCCGAGGGATAGGCGCGCCCCGGCCGCTGGCTCCAGCAGGCCCTTCACGTTCTGCGTGCCGATGGACGTGGCAGCGCCCACCAGCTCCGTGTGCGAGAGCGCCACCACGGCGCAGTCCGCGAGCGGCGTGTGCAGCGGCCCAACGCACTGCTGCTGCGCCACCAGTCCGGTTACGCAGCGGTCGACCTGAAAATCAGCAGCGGTATAAGCACACGCCATAATGACGACCCGATCGGCGAATTGGGTAGTGAACCTGCCTCTTGCGCCAGAGGGATGATGAACATAGAATTTTTCTGGATATTGATATATGTATAATATGTATTTACATACAAAAGAAAAGCATGTTTACATATGATTATCAGTTATCTAGTACCCATAGTACAAGTGTTGCTTAGATTGAGACATAAAATATTTATGATAAATATGATATGACAAAACATCAAAACTTTTTTTTTGTGGGAAATGAGCAGGCAATTCAACTCAACACACACACAGAACAACTAGGATACATGAATGTTACAGTACCAGTACAACAGCCTACTAGAAGCTAGGACATAGCTCTATACAATATTATACTCCAACAGCCGTGTCCACTATCACCATCAACCGAAATATTATATTACAATGTGAGACAATATATAAGGAAAAAAAAGAAGCTCCCCAAAAAGCTGCTCTGCAGTTACAAGCCATCTGTTTGATGATAAATGATTTTTATTATGATATCTTACATTAGATTACTCATATTATAAAATTAATTTGGCCACTTACTTGCAACAAGTTCAAACAGTACGAATGTTATTAATAAATAAAATGTTTAATTTTACCTTATTAGTCAAGTATCTCTTGCTAGCCACATTGACCAGCCTAAGTACTCTGTTAAGAGCCTTTTCCACAGTGATGCCTTCAGGCAAAGCTAGTGGTATCTTTGGTGCTATATCCTGTTGGAGATTAAATGTTTTTCGTGGCATATTACCTATCGAAGAAAGAGCATATTTATTGGAAAATTAGTCAATTTAGAGTGCAAGATAAAATACTAACAATTATACCTACCCAAAACAGCTTCTAAATGTAAATCATATGGCAACTTAGATTTTACATCAGGCTTGAGCCTATTCTCCCTTGGTATGTAGATTTCTTTATAAGAATCTTCTACAAGGCTCATGTAGCCATCGCCAGTCACTTCGCCGACAAAAGAAACGGGACACCTTTCTCTACAGCAAATCTCTGAAAAGTGGAAACTGTAATCGTTTTGATGTATGTAATAATTACCACATTATACAAAAAAAGTATTCATAATCAACAGTTAACTGTGGTAGGGTCACGCAGCAGCTTCTGATGTTGCATGAATGGGCAGGCTCGTCTTAGGAAGTACCACGGTTACATAGAAAACCAGCGCGCGAAGTGTAAGTATTATACCTTCGCGTTACGTCTTCTGAGTGAGGTAACTGGGGCCCACTTTTTTAAAGGTAAGCAACGCATCTGTAATTCATAAAGTGGTGTACATGCCCTTGGGCGGTGGTAATTACACCATATGAACTACCTTATCAATCTTTCACATGAAGGAAACATTAATTTAATTCAAAATTATTTTTTACTTACACTGAATACAGTGTCAATCACTGATAAAGATACATACCAAACAATTTTCTATGCTAAATAAGTATAGGCTGCCCACAGTGTACAGCAATTGAATAAACTCGAAAGAAAGTAGTTATTTATATGTGTATCACCAACAAAGACTTTTGCTTGTTTTTGCCTTTTATATGGACATTTTAGTAAGTCAAATTGTGCGCTCGAAAATATCATAAAATTACCCTCAAGTATAGGCCTATTCTGCTTCGTACAAAGCAGAGCGTCATTCTCCTGGTACTCTGCTCCCCAAAGCTCTAAAGTATTGATGGTGGGATCGCCCAGCTGGAATTCCTTCGTGAATACCACTGCACCTTCAGGTTCCACCAATTCCTTAAGCACGTTGCCATTGCCTCCGGCGCCTTGGTCGTGTATTGCTGTGAAATTTATTGAAATGGAAGGATGATTAGACCACTCTGACCTCAAATTGAACTTCGAAATAGACCTATAAATTATTTTTGTGATAATTGTTAAGAGTAGGGTGTACAGTATGTTAGTGATTGTGACGTGACAAGCCTAGGCTCATTGCATATTTAAAGAAACATTATTTCAATTTTAGGTGGCCTGTCACATATAATCGCTATCATTATAGTCCTCTTTGCCCATGTGCTATAAAGTGCCTCAGGAAAATAAGAACATCGAAAATAATTGTGTAAAAAAATACTTTTATTTACATAAATTACTTAATGATATAATAAATAATAAATACTTATTTAAAAAAAAACTGCTTGACCACAAGCCTAATTAATAAATACACTTAAATTTAAAATAAATCATTTTTGGTAAAATACAAAATCAATGACAAAGATATTTTGACTCACATTCCACTGGATTGATATCAGCTTCTAAACAACCTCGCACAACTCTGTTTAAGCGGTTTCCCATTTCGGCATCGCCTGCAGATGAATAATTCAGTTCATTAAATATTCAGATCTAACACCCACATTCAAAGAAGAAGATCAGTGATTACCTAACATAGAGTTTATTTGTCAATTGGAGTCTTATAAAAAAGGATTCAAGACTGACCAAGCAAATAATGACACATGATACTGTATTAAAACTGACGTCTGTTAGTTCGGCCATAACATGAACATCAAATGCTTACAAACAAAACATAATCTGAATTCATCTATATATTTCCTGCTTGATTACCTATTAGATAACAGTTAGGAATAGGCAAATTTAAATAGACCCATATAATGATAAAATAAACAATCTTAAAAATTTTAAGAGCAATGACAACATTTCTCACTATAAATATTCATCATTGAATTTTATTTGTATGCTATAAAGGATGCACACTAGATGTGCCAAGCATTGCCAAAAATGCAATAGAACGAACATAGACAGATGTCAAGATTGGGGTCATCGGCCGCTTAGCTTTGTTGATAAAACGACTGGGCACGAAACCAGAAGAAGCAGGGTCGAAACCCGCAACACAAAAAGTTTTTGTTTTGTTAAAAATGTATAATTTCCAGGTGTAATAGGGTTCATAAAAATATTTATGCTTACTTTATGATACAACTAGCTGCTGCCCGCGACTACGTCTGCGCAGAATATGCTGAAGGCGTAAAATTCAGACAGAAAGACAGATATACATAAAATATGTATATAACTATATACTATGTCTTATTCTGATATATTAGCTATATTAATGTAAAGTTTCATTAAAATCCATTCAGCAGTGTTAAAGAGTAACAAACATCCATCCATACATACAAACTTTCACTTTTATAATATTAATAAGGTTGTACAATAATACTTCAAATTAATAAATAAATACATTTGTTTACTATATTATTTTTTAATAATAATAATATATTTATTTGCGAAATATAGGTTAGGCATGAGGTGTACAGTACAGTAATTTTTATCGCTATATTCTACCCATTTTGTAGGGTGTGCAAATATGATATGTTCGCTTAAAGGTTGTCAGTATACATTCTCAAATTTCTTAACTATCATAATCATAAAATTAAATTGAAAAAATTATATAACAGAATATTAAAACATATGTCTATGAAAAAAGTAAGTTAACAAACATTAATAATAGAACAGAGAACAAAATGACAAATGATTAAATGACTAAAAAATAAAAACGTTCAATAAAATTGCACATTATTAATTCCCTGAATAAGTTTAGATTATTAATTTGAAAAAAATTTGTTTATACTGTAATAACATTTTTCTGTTAACATGTCGCGTAGTTTTTTTTTAAATAGATTTGTGTTTAATTCCTTTATTTCTTTCAGAAGCCTATTATATATTTTTGGTACCATGCAGAGTATACTCTTGCTCATAAGTATAGTATTAGTTTTCGGTAAACAAAGTTTGTATATGTCACGTCTGCTTCGCTCATGGTTGGGCTTGGAAAAAAGAGACAAGTTATTTTTTACAAACACCGCACTCTCAAATATGTATAACGACGGCATGGTTAATATTTTATATTTTATAAAAGAAGATTTACAGCTTTCTCTCGTGTTTAATTTACACATCACTCTAACGCATTTTTTTTGCGACCTGAATATATTTTCTTTCATGCTGCAATTTCCCCAGAATATGATGCCATATCTAAGATGCGATTCTACATAGGCATAATATGCAGTTAACAGTGATTCAATGTTTAAGGTACTAGACAATTTCCATATATAAAATTTGTTATTTTTAATTATAAAAGAACAATGCCCATTTTTGACCTGATTATGTATAGAAGTGAAATAAATATTAAAATTTAGCTAATTTCATTTTATAGTAATTACACTAATCACAATGTTAAAAGAAGGTCGGGAAAAAAATATTTTTTGATATTTCTTTACGCTTATTTTACTTCAAGGGTAAACATTGTTGATTGGTAATCTCAGATTATACATACTCTTTTGATGTCAACTCTGACCTGTTTGGCTTATGTATTAATGTTTGAATTACTTTAAATTAAATTTGGAATGTTAGTTTTATTTGTTCAGACTGAATTGTGTCATGTTTGATTGATTCCGTAAAAATCATTTGTAGAAGTAACATGTCTAGCTGTCTGACATAACTCTTGTATTTTATATAAATTCCATAATCATTATGTTTGGTCTAAAATAAGTTCAAAATGTTTAAGTTGAAATAAACAGTTTTCTTATCACTCCTTAAGTGTCTTTTTGGTTTGAGAGCGATCCCATTAGCCACATCCACCATTCAAGAAACATATTACCATGTTTTGAACGCACCTTAGCAATCCTTTGCACAGGACGTTCCATTTTTCACACTATCTACTTGACTGTATTCAATTTTTTCTGAGTTTTGTATGTGATTTTACGTTTTAGAGAAGTGATTAAGCACGTAATTAACAGTATTTGTATAAAAATTAAGATCAATCTAGTTAATAGTACAGATTTATTAAAAATAAAATAGTAAATTATTAATGCAGCATGTAATAAAGTTCGCACGGCTGTCGTAAATGGATTTTTTTTGACATTTGACAGTTCTGCGAGTGACTCATACTCATCGGTATTCGCCAGTAATTGTGAGTATTTATGTTTATTATTTTTAATCTAAAAATGTCAATCATGTCCTAATCAAACTAACAAAGCTCCTATAAATTATACCTGTGACATAATACAAACAACTGTTCAAAAGATCTATATATCCAAAATATGTATTATAAACTCAATATACGTTTTTTTATTTCAGATTACTGAGGAAGATTACATTTGTAAATCTTGTAATGAACTCTTTATGAGAAGAATAAACCAGGAATTAACAAGCTGTGATGTTGCTCAAGCTCCAGGATTATCTCAACCAAGTCGAAGAACACAGTTTTTGATAATCCTTCAGAAAAGCAAAGACTGATAAATGCTATTATACAAACAAGTTCACAACATCAATATTCATGTTTCTACATTGTTAATCATTTGCCAGTATAAAACTTGATACTATTACTCTAGATTATTTCTCTTTTGTATTTTAGATGTAAATTATTATATCTGTTATTAATTGACTGATGCTGTAATAATCAAAGTTTCGTTAAAATAATCAAATATTTTTAAGATGAATAATAATTATTGCTTTATTACTTTTGTAGATAGTTTTCTTATGTAGATATCATCATCTGATAGAATATGCCATTCATGCTGGATGAGTTGTAAGAGTGCTGCCACACATATTAGGCATGTTGCTGAAGTTTGTGGTGTTTCTAATACTGAAGATAATTTATTTTTTATGTTTCTGAGATTAAGTTATTAGTGAACTTATACTATTTGCATTAAGTGCCAAATAAGGCAAGCCAAATCCTATTATGGCGAACATATTCGCTTTCATGGATCATATAGAATAGAACTATGTAGGGACACAGATGTTTTCTAGGAATAATCTGAAAGGAAGTGGTGACATAACACTAATAAGAGGAAAAATTAAGTATTGGCACATTTAAAGAAAACAATATAATGTCTACATTTTAATAGAAAATAATGTGTCTGGCAGAGCTAGTATAGTCGAATACTGTTGTAATTGTTTAGTTGGTTGGCGAACCATAGGATGTTGCACTCATGTTATGGCTAGTGTGGTACTTCGGATGAACTATCAAGAAAATATCTCTGTTATAGCAGAATTTCTGGATAACATAGTTGTAAGACATTTAAGTGAAGATGATGATAATTAATAAAGCATTCCACTGTAAAATAGTGTTATATTTTTTCCCCCGTTTTATTCATCAGGTATTATAATTATCGATTATTATGTATTGTAGTGGAGGCCAATGAAATGTGTAGGGCAGATAAATGATCACTTTTAACTTACGTTTTTTTAGTAAGTACTTATGTGAGCTGTTGAAACAGCAGATAATGATCTTCACTCAATTTATAGTGACAATAATCGAGTCTAAGCAGTGACGTAAGGGCAGTCGGTTTCTAGGAATTCACAAGTGTAATAATTACAATCTTATTTTCTTTGTTCTAGGTAATTGCTATAATTATGTAAATTTGTTTAGATATTCTATATATAAAAATATACATATTTAACATTCATAAAATCATTCTCTTCATCATTTCATTATAAAAGTTAGGCAAAAATAAACAACCAGAAGTGTTCATTGGCGTATTCATTGAAAACCACCAAAAAAGAAAAGAAGAAGAAGAAGAATTCACAAGTAAAAAAGAAGTTTTAGACCTTAGATAGGCTAATATTATTATTTTAGGATAAACTTGAGCGTAAATAGTTAGTTCTAGCACATTTATTTCGTTTTATTAGGTAACTGCAAATCCTAACCTAAAAAGTAACATTTTTTTATATTTTTTGGACTTCGTAGACCAGCAATTGTAAAAATGACTATATGATATTAATTTACTAACTTAAAGGTAGTCTTTCTGCTATACCTTGTAACTATACATACACTTTCATTATCAGGTTTTTAAATGTATGGGAAGTGGGCATTGTTCTTTGTTAATGATGAGTGTTTGCACACAAATTATTTATAGTAAGAGCTATAAATTAATCAATAGAATCTTTAATTGCTGTAAATAATTTTAAAATAGCAAATTGGAATAAGTCATTTACAAAAATGATTTATTCCAATTCAAAGCAAGAAAAATGTTAATTTAATGCATAGCAGTTCTCAAATGTTTTTCATTTCACATATACTAAGATAAATATGATGCATGCATACCCCACATAATAAAAACATGATGATAGTCCTATTAACCTCTTTGCACAGCTCCAAAATCAAGATCATGGTCTCTGGCATCTCCTCCCTGCACTGCTACCGAGGAGGCCGCCCCCCCACCGACCCCAATACGGTATACTGGACCTCCCACTTTCACCAGCAACATGCCTGTTGAAATCATCACCTTTACATAGACTCTGTTTAGGACAATCATTAAGAAGAACATAAAACAAGGGTTTACATTGAGGATTTCATGGTCTGCAAGTTGAAGTGGCAGTGGGCACGCCACATAGCTCTAAGAACTGATGACCGATGGGGAGGCGTAAAGTTTCTCAAGTGGCCACCACGAACCGGAAGACGTAGCATTGGAAGGCTTCCTTCTAGGTGGACTGACAACATGATAAGAGTCTTTACGGTGGTAGGGCCACGCAGCAGCCTGTTGCACGAATGGGCAGGCCCGTCCGGGTAAGTACCACGACCTCACAGAAGACCGGCGTAAAGTGGAAGTATGACAAATACTTTCGCGTTTCGTCTGGTGAGTGAGGTAGCCGGAGCCCAATTTTCAAAAGGTTGTCAACGCATCTGTAACCCTCGAGTGTGGCAGATGTCCATGGGCGGCGGTATTCACTTAACATCAGGTGAACCGTCTGCTCGTTTGACAACTTTTCGCATAAAAAAAAAAAAAAAAAGAGTCGCGGGCAACAGGTGGATGCAAATAGCAAAGTGTGGTTCATTGTGGCGTTCTAAGGAGGAGGCATATGTTCAACAATGGACGTCTTGCGGCTGATGATGAAAATGATGATGACCTTTGAACATAATCTCAATATTGAACAAGTTAAAACACTACCATAATCATAGCTTGAATTAAAAAATACTCAATAAGCTGTTATTATAAAATTTGTTGGAGTTTGACATAATTGTTCCAAAGCTAAATGAACAGTATACATTAGAGGATTAAAATTATAAAAAGCAGATACAATTCCATAGAAGAGCTCTTTCATACCTTTATTAGGTTTATTCTTTTTAATCATTCTATGGGGCATGTATCCTATACCACCGCTGAACATTATTGGCTTTACAAATTCCTCTCTTACATTACTTCCATTTTTCAAGCCATATGACTGAACAAAACCTGGAAGTACACAAATTGAAATTACTTCATAGAAAATACATTGATTGCCTAAAAGTGATAAAATGTAATAACTTAAACATAATAATAAAGTATATTAAGTTTTCACTTGATACCTGATACTACTGGTTCTCCGAATTTATTTCCGTAGTCTGAAGCACCATTGCTAGCATCAATAATAATTTGAAGTGGGGTCGCAAAATTATTGGGATATTGCCAATTTTTTTCTTCCCATGGCAGATCATAACCTAAACACAAAAAAATTATTATAAATTAAAACTTAATTAAATTTTACAGTTTTTCTGTTCATACATAAAATTGTCCTAGTTAGCAGGTTAGGCAGTCTGAAATAACTAAATTTTGAATTTAAGGCTAGTCTCTGAACTTAAGATAAAACTTATGTGTAGATAAAACTCACAAAATTTTTCACCAATGTCAGGATTCCGGATTATGCGTCCAGATCACAATTTGAAATTCACCTAAAATAATAGCTAAATCCATTGACATTTTTTTTTTGTACTCATGATAACCATAAATAGCATAAAAATTAGGTATTTGATGACAACTTAGCATAGCACTACTATATGTTAAACATTTTTTTTCTAATTGAAGAGTGAGTTGACCATAAAAATTACAAACATAAATTATTGAACAACAATCAATGCAACAGTCTCCTCTGTTGCACGAATGGGCAGGCCCGTACGGGTAAGTACGAACACAACTTCACAAAAGACCAGCGTGAAGTGGAAGTCTTATACTTCTGCGTTTCGAGACAGGGCCCAATTTGTTAAAAGGTGACAACGTATCTGTAACCCTACGGGTGTTGCAAATGTTAATGGGCGGCACTATCACTTTACACCAGGTGGACCGCCAGCTCATTTGTCACCTACTCACATATAAAATAAATTGTATAGGTTGATACACCAGGGATCATGGATTCGATTCCCACATTGAACAACTATTTGTGTGACAGATAATTGTTTCAGATCTGGGTATTTGTCCATGTGAAATTTATGTATGTAAAAATCCTTACAATACAAGATAATGTTATCCTAAAGTAAGAGAGAAATATTTTTGAAGACTACAATAGATCTTCTCGGTCACAAAGTAAATTCTTATTTCGAGAATTATAGGTATGGATTTTTATTGCAAGAAAAAAAGTACCTGGAATGAGTAAGTTGCCAACACTATAGCCTGCCGTACCAGCTATGGTATGTCCACCTCTGCCTACACCTTGCACATCCCTAATCCGTCCTCCAGTACCAGTAGTAGCTCCACTGAAGGGGGCCACTGCTGTTGGCATGTTGTGAGTCTCAGCTGTAAAGATTATATCGGATTCTGTTGTCTCATCAACTACCATAGATGGACCACATACATTGCTTGGCCGAAGTTTCTTATGAATAAAACCTTTGATGGCGCTAAAAAAACAATTTTTAATTAAAATCAGTTTATTGAAATGAAAAAAGAATTTACCAACCAAATTATTTGAAGTTGCTTTCAATGTAAAGAGAATTATAAGCCTATGATGAAAATTTTTAGTAGTATAGTACCAATGCAATCACAGAGTTAATTATACACTGGTAATTTTAGGTAATTATAATTGCTCTAATATTTTACAATGCAAAAATGAAACCAACAATCAATAAATGTAATGAATTACATACCTACTATTGTCACCAAACTTTATAACATTGTTATTATTTGATGTCCTTTGGGTTGAGGCAACCATATCTATGAGAGAATCATCTATCTCTTTTCCGTCTAGTATTATCTTGCCCTGTAACAAACATTAATAACATACAAAATAGAAACCTAAAACAAACTGAAATAGGATACAAACCTCTTTGTAACCAGGGAAAGCCATGGTAAATGTAACTAATGCCGCAAATTCCCAAACTGATATATATGCCGTTGTTTACAAACATCAAGGAACCTCATGAACTTGGTAAAGGGAACTAAGCATAGTTCCTTCAGACTCAGGGGAAGACCCACTATACTGCTATACTATTATATATATACCCATACATACTGCTAAAACATACCAATCAATTTGCCTTCTCCTATGAGCACAGTGAAGCAACACAACTCATAAAAAACACAAAGTACAGCCACATTTAATGGCCGTTGTCACCACTCCAGCCTCTGTTACAATCCATGGCCATAGAGGTTCAGGCTAACCCATGAACTCTGCATTCAATGAAACTATAATATGCAACAGAGTTAACGCAAAAAATTTGTAAAAATAAATAAAAAAATAAAGAGGGTTATCTGGATGGTATGGAATCTGGGTTTATGTATTAAAATTCATATAATATTTAAACAACCTAGACTCAAACCCCAAACACATAAAATTGTTGCAATTTGAAGAATTGATGTAACAATTACCTACTTTAGCTTGATAAAATGTGAGAAAATTCGCAAATCTAATATATTATTTGAATATTACCTTGAAAAACCAATGCCTTGAATGTTCACTATTACTCTGCGCCAGGTCAAATAACTCTACACTTGTAGGATCTCTTTCCAGTTTGTTTACAAACAAATCCATGTAAAATTCCATATCCCAGTCATCAAAAGCAAGACCTGTGAGGCAGAAAAATGTTGTGTTTTTGAATGTATCTCACATAATTCTTATGAGGAATATTATTACACATAAAATGTGACATATATAATATCCTTACCCAGTTTTTGATTCACAGCTTTCATGGCTATCATACCTTCTTTTTTTAAGGGTACCACATACCATGGCTCTAAGTCCTTTGGTAAAGCTTCATTAAAACTTATCCTAGGGAGATTTTCTTTAGTATATATACATTGAGTCATTCTATCATGCAATGGCACAGCCAACTCTCCCAACAATTTTTTTGACACATTTTTAGCTTGGGCAAAAGTAATGAGGTATCTGGTCGAATATTCAAGGCGAACAATATCACGGAGACCTACACTATCACAAATTTGGACTGAGTTACTTGAATCAGCTGTCGAAAAATTGAACCTGCAATGATGTTATAATAACTCAATGAAAAGAGTAGAGAAGAGCAGCTATATGAAATTCAATCATGAATTGAAATTAGAAAATATGTTATTCTTCAAATAAAAACGTTGTAAAAAGAAAAATTATCGCTTATGGAAAAATAAATCATAGAAAGTAAATAAAAGAATTACCTAGGTCCAATTTCAATTATTAATTGATTATTTCGTAGACCTTTGTAGGAAGATTCATATCTTAAAGCCTGAGGTTGTAACGGTGAACTTAGAAGCCATTGCAAAACTTTTATTTGGCTAATATTTAAATTTTCTTCGCCAATTTCCACGTGGTAACATAACTCCGTCGACAATTGAGATACATCGGAATCAATCACTTTTAATTTTTGCAATACTTCATTAGTTTTATGTGCACTAAAAGCCTCAGACAAGTAAAATCGTATAATGCACATGATTGTTACTATTCTACTTCAGAACAAGATCTAAGTATTACTGAATACTGTGAATGTGATGAGATGAGGTCCAAATAAAAATAATCATATTGCGTGTGACATAAAGTCTCTTGCATCAATGTCAAAGATCACCATATCAGTTAGCGCTACCGTAATAATAAACAATAGATCAACAACATCAGCTTACGCAATTTTGTATTCTGTATTAAATTTACAACTTTAAAACTATGTTCGTTAGTATAACCAATAATAATAGGCATCTTATGAGACTTATCATCTTTGCAACTGTTTAAATTTCCCACAAAAATGGTTTTGGTAGTTTTTTTTTTACTTTCGTCACGATAGTGCTGAGACCTGCTGCTCTTCTCGTCAATAAATATGAAAGACATTCAAATCGTATTAAGATATTAATTATGTTAAATTAAACATATTATAATTAATATCAAAAATATTAACAAATATTAACTAAATAACATTAATATGTTGGGGCACCGTTATTCAAAAATAGACGTTAAGTAATAACCACTAATAAATAACATACTATCAAACAAACGTAGGCTATACGGCATGGTATCAAGAACGCCAGCTGCATTTCCTCGCTGAATAGTTATACTTACGCCCGGTTTCGGAAACACTGATATTCGTAGATGTCAACTAATTAGCCGTCAAATGGCTTTTAAAATTTCATTTTAGTTGCCAAAAGGACGGTTAAACTCTCTGACTTGACCAGAATGATCTTCTAATGATCAGAACGATCAATCCAAAGAGTTTAACCATCCTTTTGGCAAATAAAATGAAATTTGAAAACCATTTGACAGCTGAATAGTTGACATATACGATGATCAGTGTTTCAGAAACCGGCCGTTAACCTTTTATCGAAGTACGCTCAATGATTTGCATTGAAACAGAAACGACTGCATGTCGGGTGGTGCCATATATTATGCCGTCATTGACTACTTTGAATATAGTGCCTGGATGGAACGTTTTGAGTTTTGACAACATCTTGCCCTTCAGAACAATGATATGTCCTCACATTCAACACTATTGAAAGAGACGAAGTTTGTGTCCAATATTTCTAACTTCAAACCCTTAGTATCCTTTTATTTTCAAAAATTTTCAAGTATGGAAGTGAAGGTGTGTACTTTAGATAAACATACCAAATACTGTAAATAGTCAATTTATATACACAGAAAAACAATTAATTTATCACAAATGTAACGTCTGGTTACTTTTTAAATTTTTTATTTGAAACATCTATTGGTCCTTGTCAGTAAAATCGGCTGGTTTGCCGTCACAGCAAACGCCATGACGCTTTGAAGCCATCATGCCCCCTCCACGCTGCTGCCTAGCACTTCCTTGTTAGTATACTTTACTACCCCTCTATATAAGCCGCGTAATATTTTTATCGGACTATTATACTTAACACTTTTACTGTTCGTAAACGTATTATATCGAATATTACTGCTTCTAAGGTATTAAAAAGAAAAATATTTTTACGTTAAAGAAGTTATACTTTTCATTCATTGTTTTTCTCTATTATTTTTTATTAATTATAAGTACTTAAATTAACTTCAACATTTCATATTTTCCGGGTGTCCCGTGATGGCTAATTCTTTTTTATACTTCTGATCCTTAGAGGCAATTAATCACAGAAGAAGAAGTACTGCTGATCCTGCACTTGAGATAAAACCTTAAAATTTGTATGAAAATTTTCGTACTTTTTTCTAGAAATTATAATCTGCGTACTTATTTCGATATGACTTACATAAAAAAAGCAATATTAAGATTGTTTATGACATTATTTTACAATACCGAACGTACAGAACGTAGTCTGATGTACAATGTGAAAATAAAAGTTGGTTCAAAGGTTATCACATTAATGAAAAATAAGTTTTTCAATCAAAATAAATTGGTAGACACTGGTAGAGACGAATCAAAATGCATTATATATTCTGAACTGTACGTCACAGCAACGTCATAAACAGTACAACATAGATAAGACATATACTGAAACATATACAAATATATACAGTACAAGTCAATTTTATGCTTTGTGCCGCAGTTGCTATGCTATTGTTTTCGGTGCGTCAGTTTGATTCGCACACGAGACAAGTATTTGTGTGACCCATAGATAATTGTTACGGATCTGGGCGATCCTTCCCGAAGAGGATCGAAGTCAGGCAGGAAATCTGTCAAAAGAAACGTAGCCTATAGCAGGCAAGTTAAAAGCAAAAGTAAGAAGATGCAAATAAAGAAACCATTACAAAGTTAATAGTTTGGAAACACGAAATTACAGTAAACACGTTATAGAAATAAAATTGAATCTTGAATCTTGTGTAGTTCGCGAACGATGAACGATTAGGAAACGTATCTTTGTACTGTAACTGAAATAAAAGAAACGTTTCCGAATGTAACTGTTAATCGGTCTAATAGCTCTTTCGTTCTTTCCGTACATATATTATCATATCTAGTCATCGGTACCAAACGAAACGAAAACGACTGATCATTGAGAGAGAGAGAGAGAGAGACAGAGAGAGTGAGTCGGTCGGTGACCGGTGACTGAGTAAAAGAGTATATCAGTGGAAACTCGACAAATCACGGTGTTACTAACCGAACGAATCAGTTAAACTGTGACCTCACTATAGATATTTATGTTGTATACCTGTACATGTAGTGTATAGACTATTTTAGCTTAGCGACGCAAAAAGGCGGGACACTCGTGTCTATTTTCTGAGCTCATGCCGTTTTTTAAAAAAAGCTGTAATGAATCACACCGGCATTAGACCACCAAACAGTGACCATCGCCTTTTTAGTGGTCATTTTTCGTTGAGGACATTGTTTTAGTGCTGAATCAGGATTTAACATAGTTACTGAGTGCTTTCGATTGATGAACAGAATCCTTTTTTTGTCGCACGTAACAATTCGGCTCAAAATTACTTCATTCCTATGCCTGTTGAGCAACGCGAGGCAGGTCTCAACGTTGCGACCAAACTTACCAAGCTTTTTTACCTTACCAATTTTCGTAATTGGATCAATATTGTTTTGCTGCTAACATCAAATGCTGCTGGTAGCTTGGCTGTAGATTGAGCTTTCACAATCGCCTTTAATTCATCATCTTTGATCAAAGTGTTTGTACGACTACGAGGTTCATTTTACAAGTCTAGTCTTGCGTTTGTCATACTATTATCTATTTAAAAATATGAGACCAATACCAGGTTTTATATATACTAAATTTAAATTTGGGTGATTTTTGGTAAATTTGGTTAGATTTAAATGGTGCCGCGTTGGTGCCACAACGGAACTCATATTCCATATTACACGAATTATTATAGTATATTGGATTCTTGAACACTGGGAAAGCTATGACAATGGTTGATTTCAGAAAAAATCTAGTAAACGGTATGCTGCCGAAAAAGGAGATACCAGAAATTCAGAGTCCAAAAAGACTAACGAAACAAACACAAAGAAAGAAGGGCTATTGAGAGAAAGTCGCCGCGCATGTACTCGGTGTTATAAAGAGAATGTGAAGATCATAGGACGGGTATTCGCTATAAAAAAAACAAAGATAGTGGCGTTTTGCGATACTTGTCCTGATAAACCATTTATTTGCTACGATAGCTTCTAGCGATTGATCTTATATGACTAGCATCCTTTTTTTATTGATCTCAGACTTTTATTTACAAGAGGAAGGAAGATAACTAATACAGTTTATGCTTTAATGATAACACTATAATTTTAATTCATATGATTTCAATAAATAGTTACATACAAAGATTCATTGATTGTATTATTTACACTAATCACAAAATAATTTATTTGATGAAATCTTCCCAAAATTAGGTCATAATTTTTCAAACTTTATATTTTTCCGAAAACCAACTACAATAGGTTAATCTACAGGGCCGAGGAGGTCACGCTAGATAGGAATTTCAAAGAACTTTGCCCGTCGGCCATATTGAGAGGCTTGAAGACATGCGTACCACGCGGTCACATGCAAGTAAACGCAGTGATTACATTCTCTTTGGTCACATGGTGGGACCCGCAGCCTAAACGGAAAAGTATGGTGGCAACCACGTTAAATTAAACGTGTTAAATACTTTTTTGTTAAATATTCTAGTTATCGAAGCCATATTTTATTTAAAGCACTTTTATATACTGAGATTATCAGGTACATAAGATATAAAATAATAAATGCCTTTTTTGGGATAACAAATTTTGATTATGTTTTTGAATTATTTGTTTTAAATAGTAAAGAGAAATAATATCTGAACTAGCAATATGCAGAGGGAGGTGCGTCGTTATGGATGTCAATAGTAAAGAAATATATCGATATTTATAAAAATATTATTACAATTAATAGCAGTATAAAATATCAGTATATGCCATGATTATAGACAGAGAACCGAACAATACACCTTTGTAATCGTAACAGATTCGCTGTTTTTCTTGAATGGTGGATGTGGCTCATGGGATCGCTCTCAAACCAAAAAGACTTAAGGACTGATAAGAAAACTGTTTATTTCAACTTAAACATTTTGAACTTATTTTAGACCAAACGTAATGATTATGAAATTTATATAAAATACAAGAGTTGTGTTAGATAGATGGATATGTTACTTCTCCAAACGATTTTTACGGAATCTCTCAATTATGACAAAATTCAGTCTGAACAAATAAAATTAACATTCCAAATTTAAAGTAATTCAAGCATAATACATAAATCAAATAGTATAGAGAGTATATCAAAAGAGTATGTATAATCTGAGATTACCAATCAACAGTTTTAAACTATAAAAGATGACCTCAACTGATAAAAAAGTATAAAACACGGTTATGATGACTTTTTTTTACTTTTTGACTTTAGAATTATACAGTTAATAGTTAATAAATGATTAATTCTTACTTTTCATAGTCGGTTACGAAAATGAAATATTACTTAGATGTTTTGAGATTTAATCAGTCTATTCGTCTTTAATCATAGATCCCACGTAAAAGCATGATTATTTTTAAATGAACGAATTAATTGATCTTAAAGTATTTATTTTTCATATTTTTGCATACAGTTATTTTGATTCATCGGATAAAAACTATTTATTTTAAACACAATTTTTAATAACCGAACTATTAACATTTTAAATATCGATTTTTTGGACTGACTCTAGTAAGATAGGAAAGAAAGGAAGCGCTGAGAGCGTGTGGAAGCCATCTTGTTTTTAATATGGCGGTTGCGGTTGACCACATTTCTGTAATCGGTGTGCTCGCTTTACTGTAAAGAAATTGTATTTAACAAAATGACAGCTCATTTTAGACAAACGTTCTTAGTTGTATAGTTGATCTACTATAACTTCATTATAATATTCATTAATTAACAAGCGTAATTGTTTTAAAGGCGGCTTTACGCCTCATAAGGGCTTCACCTGAACAGTTCCTCCTTTTTATTGATTTTTGCAACATTCAAACATGATGATGTACACGGTAAGATATTTTCTTTTATTTTGTATTATGTACCTTAAATGTGCGAAATAGTGACTAAAATATTAATTTATGTTAATGGTCACGGATACCGTAGTTTGTTCACCGTGATAGTATTAGCCAGCTTTTACGCCTGTTTAAAAAAGTCCAAACTCATTATTTTGCTTAAGGTAAATATTTTCAATGTTTATGACTCTAAATCTAGCTATAAATTCTAGTGTAATATATTGTTTTGTGTATGAAAAACTTAAAATCTTATGGACCCTAATGACTATTTCATTGTATTAGTTAATGTAAAGGTAATGTTAAGGACATCTTTGAACATTTAATCTACAAGCTGTAAGAAAATAAAGTATACTCATGCTTACCTCAAGGTACTTGTGCTTTATCAAATACATGAATGTGATTTCAGGATATGTGCATAACAATTGAATATGTTAAGATTGTATTATATAGTGAAAAACTCTTGTGTTAAAAGATGCTATTATAGTAGTAGTAGATGATATTGTCTTCCTGTAATAGCTATACAGCGTGTCTTTACAATCGCGACAATAAATGAACATACATATAGAGAAAGTACGAAAAGATTGTCGCCGCTCTGGGAATCGAACCTACGTCTTCGGCATTCGCGGCCTGACGCTCTAGCCACTGAGCTAAATGGCTGATTACCACACCACGAAAATTTTAACACCCTTTATCTACATTAAAAAACAATGCAATGCATTTGAGCATTTGAAGCAATGCTTGGCAAATTTTAATGTTCAATCTTAAGTGCAGAGATTAGCACTATAAAAAATTTTAATTTTTACACATATAGAGGATAACTTTTTAAAATTGTATTAAACATTTACATTCTTTAAACATTAATATTTACCGAGTTAATAAAGTTTCCAAAACAAAGAATTTTAGAACACCCATATGTATAAAACTGTAACATAAAGTTCATTTATAAAGGTCACAAAGCATGAATGGGTTGAATGAATTTACAAGAGACAAAACATACTGTTAGAATTAGAGGCTTGTAATGCGACACTGTGGCAACAAATGAAAAAGTCTCTAAATGTATGAATCAGTCAATTGTTTAAGGTGTTACAAATTTTGTTTCTTTTTCTTAATTAGTTTGTTTGAAAAATATTTTTTTTAATTGTGGATTTTTTGTAACATTAATAATTTTTTATGATTATTGGTAAGTAGTGTAAGACGTGTGTTCATTTATTGTTGCGGTTGTAACGACACGTTGTACTTTTTTTGTACAATGTATAAAATTTTATAAAAAAGTGTGTATATTCAGTAAACACATCTCTTAAAATCCAAGGAAGGTCGCATATACGTACATGTTGTAGTGGGATGGGACCCCTCCCAGGGAGTGGGGCGGCATAAGAAGCCCCCATGGAAATTTCTTCGAAATTTGTCAGAAATGCATAGTTTTTATTTATGATTTTTTTAGTGGTCATTTTATTTTTATAGGCAAAGATTTACCGTAAATAGTCAAAAATAATTTCCTGCTCTGGAATAACACGCCTTAAAAGGAGATATAAATATTCTCTTTCTCCTGTTTTAGAATGTAATTATGTAAATCTCTTGGGCCGAAAGCCGAAACAATAATGTTCTTAATGATTCCTAGTATTTAATCTATAACACTTAAAAAACTAATTTCTTGAAAACTTGTAAGTTTCCATAGAAAATCATAAAAGTATTTACTTCAATGACTCTACCTATTAAAATTAAAATTATAACCAAAATCGTGCTAACGTACACTAAAGCCAAGCTAAATTTCGTCTTTTTCTATACAATACAGTCAATACTTTTACAATTAATATCTCAGAAAACTATTTATTTTAGACTGTTGAAATTTGGCAAATCATTTTCTTATATTAGTAGGAACCTACAATAAGAATTACAATATTCTAAGTGAATAGCCAAAGCCAACGTCGACCTGAAAATCTTCAAACTTGATGTGTATTCTTATTTCTATAACCATTTCAAAGAGTGTGAGTTAGTGACGAGGACTTTTCCACCTAACAAAAACTTTATTCCGTAAACAAAAATCACTAATGAAATAATCAACAAGCAGAATTCTCTGGTTGCTTATAGTTTTCGAGAAAAAAATATTGATATTTTCTCTAAGAAAGTCCACCATTTCATTAGACTTCAAAAACTGAAAAAACAATACTGCCGACATGATATGTATATGAAGCGGGCGACATGACGATTGTTTGATTAATTTTTTTTTAATTTAATTAGGAACAGTTCCGACACAGAGCAATCGAACTGACAGATAGGTTAGAGCTCTGCTCCCGCCTTAACCTTTGAGCTTCCTTTTTACAATCACCCAGAATGTAAATTTGTATAAAAATTTTGAGTATTTTCAGATGTTTGTCATCAAATCTTGCAAATTAAATTTGATCCACTTCCCAGTTACTGATTGTGTTGAAATTTTGCATATATGTGTAAATTGCATAACAATGCAATATTATGATGACATGGTGTTGATCTGATAATGGAAGTTGAAGGTGGCCAAATGAACTTCCCAATGAAACAACACAACTTCATCAATAATTTTAGCACATACTCTTAATATGGAAATTTTCAATATAAACATATATCAAATATATGTGTATACTGTATGCTCTGTTTCTGATTCAATGTATAAGCCTCATATAAAATTGTACATGGTTGGTTTAATGGTCATGAACGCTTGTGGAAAGCCAAAATTGAATAGACAAATTTGACAGATTTAACTAGACTTATTATTATTAATTTTTTTCAATACTTGCCTAAATAGTTTTAGCATGAATTATAAAACTTTTGTTAGAAGAAACTTAAAAACATGGCATGAGCATTACATATTTATTGTTGTTTGATTTTTACTCATTTTAGTAGGCAGCATCAATTTAAAATTTACCCAATAGTGGTTATTATAAATGTTAAAACTTTCCAAGATTCTATCAATTTACATTAAATTTGGATTATATATAAGTTTACTTAAATAATCCAAAATTTATGCATATAACCATACTTTAATCTTTCTTATAAACTTGGTTTCTACAGGGAACCAGTACTGAGCAGGACACTCGCTTCAGTGACAAGGAGAAGAAACTTATGAAGCAGATGAAATTTGGTGATTGCTTGACTCAACAGGTTAGTGAACTATTTATTTATTTATTATAATATATTTTTAGTCCTGCAAAAAAATTTTAAACCAACCCTTTTGAAATTACTAGGTGGACATGTCCAAGGTGAAACTGGATGTGCTGAAGCCTTGGATCACCCAGAAAATCACTGAAATACTGAAGATGGAAGATGATGTGGTCATTGATTATGTCAACAATCAACTCGAAGAGAAGGTGACTAAGTGCAAAAATTTTTTAGATTTTAAATGTTAATAAAGAAATGTAATCATTGCAGTTTCTTTGCGGCGTGCGCAGTGTACCCATTTTAGAGGCATCGAGAACGATATTAGGCATAGCTGTATTAAAGAAACTGCAATTGAATGTTGTCATATGTATATTGATTGCGTATGGATATTTTTATGGCCCCCACCGGTTAGCGCGCCGCCGCCGCCGCCGCCAGCCGTCGCCAGCCGTCGCAGCGCGCCGCGGCCCAACTCTTACGGACGCCCTTAGCATTCTCAATCGGTATTTACGGGGAAATTACTTAATGCTAACTCAAATATAAAACCCATAAGCGATGTGGCGATATTTGCTTGAGGAGAGTTAATGTGGAGGTTTCCTTCAGAGGGCGTTAAGAGATCGATCTGACTCGGTGTAGGGAAGTCTCGTTCCTTAGGCTATGCGTTCAGCATAATGTGGTTGTGTTCGCAAACCCCTTACAGATGCAAGAGATTGAAGAGTGAAGTAAGGATTGTATGGTGGACTTCGTGGCGTGACGGCGTAGGCGGGGCGCCGTAGCGGGCTTCGCGCTTCGCGGCCGCTTCTCGCCGACGGCGTCTACGGCGTAGCGGAAATTCCAGCGGCGCCCACCGTTATTTACGATGTACACAGCATTCACTTCCCTACCCGAGTCATTTTGGTGCCGCATCGCGTCTACATTGGTACCCCGACACCGGCGCTCTTAACGGCCTTCCCAAATATTCTTGTCTCCGATACAATGATATATTTCGAGAGAAGCATAGTGATGGGATATGCGAAACAGTTGGATGCCAGCCAGTCAGGGTGTATTTAGTTGCTTGCACTAATGAGATTACTAATGAGTGAATGTTTTCTTTCCCGATCCGTATCCTCGGCTCCTAGTTCCCTTGTCCAAAGAAAATGCAGATCAACTTGACGGGATTCCTGAATGGCAAGAATGCACGGCTGTTCATGGGAGAGCTGTGGGAGTTGCTGCTTAGTGCTCAGGCCAGCGAGAATGGCATACCAGAGTCATTCACCCAGCAGAAAAAAGAAGAAATAAAGAAAAGAATGGTCAGTATTGAGAGTATAAAATATGCATTTTTTTAATGTGATAAGTTGTCTAGAGAAGAGGCAGGGTAATCTGATGTTTAGTGTTTACCTCTGTACCTTTATAACACAGGGCTTTTATTAACTGTCTATTATTTTCTTCTTAGAGTAGCATGTAATGTTGGTTAGATTGACGAAGTTCAAAGAAGAAGTACGCCGTGTAAGGATCACTGTACGAACTTTTATGATTTACTAAAGCTCAGCCTATCAAAGTAGGTTACGCAACCCAGCTTGCATCGGGATAAACTTAGTTCGTAGACCAGTCATTGTCTGTCTCTATTTTCTCGTACAAATATCTTGCACGAGACGGTCCACTGCATCTGTGATAGCTTGACGCCAACGACTTCGGGAAGCATTTTTTAAAATGCGAAAAAACAATGGAGATAAAATACGTTGAGATTTTCAACACAATTTTTAATCTGGGCCTACAATATGAATGTTTCATCTTAAGTGCAGATATTAGAGCTATAAAAACTTAAAAAATATATAAAATTTAAAAGCCAAATTACTGGTCAACGAACGAAACTCCTGCTTCGCGACAGTGCTACAGTGTTGCAGCCGCAACAGTTTTCTCGTATTAACAAGAGTCGATCGGCAGGAGGAGCAGAAGGACAAAGAGAAGGAGAAGGAGAGGCGTCGGTCGCGGTCGAGGTCGCGCAGCCGCCGCCGCTCGAGGGAACGGCGCCGCTCGCGCTCCAGGTCGCGCGACCGCTCTGGCGACAGAAAGTGAGTCCACTGTCACGCCAACCCACTGCCCGCTCTTCTCTACAAAGGCAGTTTCACACGAGGGCGGAACAAGTGCCCCACTGTAACCACTGCCCGCTCTTCTCTATAAAGGCAATTTCCGACGAGGGTGGAATATTGCCCCACTGTAACCAATACCCGCTCTTTTCTATAAAGCGAGGGCGGAACAGTGACCCATTGTAACCACTGCCCGCTTTTCTCTATAAAGGCAGTTTCACGCGAGGGCGGAACAGTGAGGCGGAGAGTTTGAACGCACACGCCTAGACATAATAGTACTGTCTTTTACTCAGTACTCTTGACAGTAAACAAGGCAGAACGGTTAATAACTCGCCGGTCCATCCCTCAACACACCGCCCAACCCACCACTTTCCTCGCTCGCCTTTTTTGTGGCTGGACTCGTGTGAATGCAAGGGGAAAGCATTGCAGAGCTGTGGCGTTGTCGTCGGCGAAGCTCCATGCTATTTGCGAACTGTCCCATTATTTAATAACAATAATAATCTTAATTTGGCTTCAAACTGGGTGATTAAGAAGTTGGTTTACAATTATTGACCTCCAAGTTCAGCCATAATGTGTGGCATGCAAATATTAGTTATTAAATAAATATGATATTTGAGATAAAAATAATTAGGTATTATTATAAAATAATTGATAAAAGATTTTATAATGTAAACTTTTACTTGTTAATACTTATTTTCTTTTTATTATACAGAAATAACTTAAACGAGTAGAAAATCCTCGAAAACCCTTATCCAGTAATAATTCTGTTGAAACAATACCATTTTTGGTATTATGTAAATACAAAATTTGTTTGAGTATCTCTTTACTCTAGGGGTTGTGTCATTTTAGTGAAACATTTGTCCTTGTACCAGCAAATATTTGCGTTTAGCGTCACTGTTCTGCCCTGAAATGAAACAGCCTTAAGCGCCAAGTGCATTTGCAAGCGATATTTCTGTTGATAAGCAGCACCATCTGGTGATGGTATTAGTTGTTATCTTCTAAACACTGAATAATTTTGCTAAATATATTCACGAAATTAGTTCACTATATTATATCTCTAAATGATTTCACACAATAATTTCACCAATTAAGAAGTAAATCAACAGTCTAAACAAGTCCCACTGTTCAAAAAGGCCTCCTCTGTACAGAATTATTTCGAAAATATGCAGGTTTCCTCACAATGTGTTCCTTCACCACTGAGCATGTGATAATATCACCAATTATTTTAACTAATTACTTTTAATAAACATTTTGACTAATGTTAATAAAGAGAATTCGAAGTCAAAGTTTATAGTTATAGAGCGCGAAGATAGGAGGTATAAATTTTTACTGCGTGTATGCACATGTATTTAAGAGGGGTCAGTATTATTTTTATTTTTCCGTTGTAAATTGATTTGTTTTCATTTATTCGAGAATTTCACTTACAGACATCGTAATGGAGGGAGTCCACGCCGTTCAAGACGTCGCAGCCGGGAAAAGAGCCAGGCCAAGACTTCTAGTGTTGATGATATAAAATTACCAGAGCCTAAAGGTTTGAGAAGTGTAAACACAAATATTTGAAATTCATTTAACATTCATATATTATTATTGAAATTTAGTTGATAATGTTGTTGCAGAAAATGGCAAGTCACCAGATAATAAAGAAGAAAAGGAAAAGGAAAAGCCTGAAGAAGAAAATGAAAATACAGAGAAAACTGAAGATGTAAACGAAAATACTGTAGAGGAAGAAAAGAAAGAAGAAAAGACGGAGGAAAACCCTCCTAAATCTAGATCGGCGTCGCCAGCTAAGTAAGAGACTGTTTGTATCATAGTAACACATGTTATTATGATAATAACATGTGTTAAGCCAGAGATATGATCAAAGGTAGTAACTTACGAACGTGTTAATTTCTTTGTGAAATTTTAACGTTTCATAAGATCGCTCAAGCGTCAATGGGAATAAAGATATTTTATTTTATTAGTTGTTAAAATAGTTAGAAATGAATACTCGTGCTTTACGTTGTAAAATGATAACCTCTATTTTGCGATAATATTATTGTGGTGCCGAGTCATACTTACCAAATGTTTGGTAGATTCGGTTTGCAACCTGTCAATGGGACCCACGAAATCGTAGCATTATGCTTAGCGAGTGGACCAACCAAGCCAGCAAATATAATTAATGTACAAATGGCAATTTTTTGGCTGTAACGATAACTATTGCCCACATAGTTATGGTTACAAAATATGTTGGAAAACCACTCCATTCAGTGTTTTAATAACTAAGTCGTCACAGTCCCCATATTAACTTATATAGGTAACGTTCCCGTAACCATGAGTGCCTCTACTGTTTCTCGAATGAGGACGCGCGACCAGAGAGATACCACGGCCTTACTGAAGACCAGCTTGAAGGGGAAGCAAACTTTTGCGTTTCCTCTGACAAGTGAGGTAACCGGGGTCCCTAATTTTAAAAGGTTGTCAAAGTATCTGTAAACCTTAAGGTGTCAGTGGGTGGCGATGACCACTTACATCAGGAACCACCTGTCCGTTTGACAGTTTTCCACATAAAAGCACTGTACTTATGTACCTACGTAAGAAGTTGTACCTTTTTAGAGTGACAGAAGAAAAATAACTAAAAATTTTATCCCGTAAACAAATACTTTTTGTTTGTGAAAAAAAGGACGTTAAATGCAATTAACTTAATTGAAATTAGGTATGTCAACAAGTTTTTATTGGTTTCCTTGGTGTTGGTTTTTTAACCGACTTCAAAAAAAGAGGTTTCTCAATTCGACCGTATATATTTTCATTTTTATGTGTGTTCGGGCATAACTTCGTCATTTATGAACCGATTTTGATGATTCTTTTTTTGTTGGAAAGGAGATATCCCAAGAGTGGTACCATGATAAGGAAACCCAGATCTGATGATGGCATCCCAGATAAATCGAGGGCAATCCTCAAATGTTACAATGTTTTATTAGTTTCCTGTTTGATGTCGGTTTTTTTGTTGAAAATTATATTGGTTACCTATGAAATTGGTGTCGGTATTAGGTGTCGCGGATCGTGAAAATTCACTTGTTATTTTTCCAAAAGTATATAACTTAAAGAAAAAAAAATTACCGCCACGGGACGCCTGCCACGTGTGAAACATCGCAATTGTATTGTACAAATAACATGCATGAAAGGATATTTTATTAAAGAAACTAAATGTGGCATAACAATGGGTGTTTCACATAGGAAAAAAAAACAAACACCAAACGAATCCTATCTTGTTTCCTTCAATATTAGATCGACTGGTGCCGCCGAGAAGGAGCCAGAGGAGAAACCACCCGAAAAAGCCCGCCATTCGTCGAGCGATCGTCGCTCGTCGTCCGCCTCATCTCGTAAGTGTCACATTGCATACATAATGCGCAACATCATACAAGCAATGCAATCATCATAGTCATGTAGAAACCTGACTCTTACACAGAAAAACTACGAGTGTGTAGTTTCCTATATTAACATTGAATGAATGAATAAAGAATGTACTTTGTTGCACACCAAACATAAAATAAACAAAAATCAAAAACTTAATGCTTAACATTTTTAAATTAATGTAATGAATAATTGTTTGGATATTGAAAAACTTGTTATTTCATCAACAGCTTTAAGAAGACTAATGCCTTGTTTCTGAAACACTGATCATTATAGAAGTTAACTAATCAGCTGACAAATGGATTTTCAAATGTCATTAGAGTTGTCAAAAAGATGGTTAAACTCTCTGAATTGATCAGATCTTTTTAATAATCAGAATGATCCTTTTAATGATCAGAATTATCAATTCAAATAGTTTAACCATCCTTTTGACAACTCAATGGCAACTCAAATGAAATTTGAAAAGCTATTTGACAGGTGATTAGTTAACTTCTATGATGTTCAGTGTATCAGAAACTGGGTGTGAGTAGTACAATATTTTCAAATTAAATATAATAATGTAATATTTGAAAATTTAAATAAAATGCATGAAAATTGACTGTAAATTAAATATTACAAGTCTTAATAAAACTTAGTTGCAGCAGTTTGTGACATCTATGCATTTAAAAAACAGGTATAAAGTATAGTAGTTTTGGAATTAAGAACTTTCTTTTTAAATATAAAATACATATTTTTACATGTATAGTTCATATAATGTTAAAAATAATTAACGGATATTGCATGCCGCAAAATTTGAATGAAAACAAAATATAAATGAAATGTTGAAGGAAATGTGAGTTTTGATCCACTACCTGTATGGTTCACTGCTGGCCTATCATTTTTATCATAAGTTGCTTGCGATTTAAATATATATGTTTTAATTTTTAGTGTTTTCATTCGATAATCCATTAAAATGTTTGTTTTAAACATTAAAAGGTTTAAGACAAATGAAGTGTTCATGTAAACCCCTAATATCAATGGGCTTCCAATGACATCAATTATTTTGTCTTATCAATTTAATTGGTATCATTATAATGTCATGAAAGGTTTCAAATAACATTTGATTTTTTTCTGTATCACCAACTAGCGGTCAACACCGGGGAACACTTTGTACCGACCACTAGTAAGTTAAAAATTTATAAAGACGATTAAGTATTGTAACTGTTTTTTTTGTATTATTGCACATTGTTTTTCCCTTGTGTAAAGAAAAGTTGGTACCATTTGCAAAAAAGTATAGTTCTTTGGGTAGAGTGATTTCATTACTTGCCATCAAAGTTTAATAAAGTCTGAAGTGGCTGAAGTTTACAGATGCTAAAACACTGTTAGACCGGTCTTTTCATTTCGTTTTATGTTCAATTCATTACATTTACCTTGTTACATTAAGTTTATTGATTGATGTTGGTTTAATATATGCTAAATAATTATTTAATTACTAATCCCCTTGTGAAATTTGTTACAGACGGCAGTGCAAAGAAGCGATCTTCGCATAAGAAGCGTCATTATCGTTCGAATCGTGATTCTTCTACTAGCGTCAGTCCAAGACGCAGTTCGCGCAGGGAAAGGTTAGTTCACATTATCGGTAATTACATGAAAAAAATATTTAATTACCAGCCGGTTTCAATATTCTATGTGTAGATATGGTTACTAGCGATAGGTAATTGACATTAGCTCCATAATACATGTCAAAATCATATCTCCAGTTAACAAATCGACAGATGGATATCATATTGAACGGCTATAAGATTTTAGTTAGATTTGCTTACTGTTCTTTGGTTAGCACCTGCTATCTGCTTTTCACCATGACAAGGGTTGACTGGTAGAGAATCCCATTAGGTATAACATACGCCCATTGACGCCTTTAGAAAAGCCGTAGGAATTAAGTTTAAATTGGCAAATTAATAAATATATAAATGTATATTTATTTTTTAGAAGCAAATCTAGACGCCGCAGTCGACGTAGATCGCTCGATCGCCGTGAAAGGGAACGCGAACGCGAAAGGGAACGTGAACGGGAACGTCGCCGTCGTGAGAGAGACAGGCGCGAAAGGTAACCTGATCCTGTATTCTGTTATGTATTTCTTTAGTCTTTTCCAATATACCCGATATATTAATTATTATATTTATTTGCTGAACATCTAATATCCGAATCGGCTAATAGCCGAACTCGATATATTCATACGATTTTTAATAGTTTAATTAGAATTATTCACTTGGACTAGTTTTATCGTGGCTAGTTTACGCAGTTCGAATATATTTCCGTACTTCGCTGATGGAATGCTAGTGAGATCTGTTTTGGTTTGGAGTTTTTGGTACGCGCATCATTATTTCCTTGGTGCTTTTTGTTCACAAGGTCCCGAGAGCGTCGTCGATCGCTTGAAAGACGTAGACGTTCGCGTACGCGCTCTCGACGACGTTCAAGAGACAGGTAATGTTTCTTTTTAAGTATTTCAACACGCTTTTTTATTTAGAAACAAGTGTATATCTGCATTTCGAGAAGCTCTGTATTAGTAGGTTATAATCATGTAAATTTTTGAAAAATATCAAATTTAATGACTTTATCGCTTGTCTACTAGCGGGTTTAACAAGACAGATTCATACAAAAAGTTCTTTATTTTGCTTCCTATAAATTTATATTTTCGTCGATTAATGCGAATACTTTACACAAGTTATGTTACATAATTTGTTGCACATAATATAAGCTTAATTCCTCAATATGGGAAAAGATCAAGGTTTGAATCATAAAAATGCAACTATTGTGTAAACAAATAACAGTGAGTAACAAACTCTCAGATTAAGAGGCTTTAAAGAGGATGTCAATTGATCGTTTTTTCGAGGGAAATGCTTGGCGAGTATTTTAGTTAAATCTTAATATTGAATAAGAAAAGACAAGTATTCTTAATTTTGTGTATTGTATGGATTAAAAGCACGTGCTGTGAGACGACTATTAGAGGACTGAATTTAAGTGAACCCGTGCGAAATTCGCAATACTGAATAAAACGTCCTGCTAGCAGTTCCGCATGTAGCCATTCCGATACTTATAAACTGTGTAAATGCAACGTAAAAGTCTCTTGGCCGCTGCGGGAATTGAACCCCCACGTCTTTCGTATTCGCGCCCAGACGCTTATGCCACTAAGCTAAATAAAGTAGAAAATCTAAACATATTTTGTATTGTTGTATTGTATTGTGTATGTAATTTTGTCGAGAGTGAGTAAAATAAAGTATGTTTAATGTTGGAGGCGCAATTCGGGCAGGTCGCGCGACCGCCGCCGATCGCGCTCGCGCAGGCGCTCGAGGTCGCACCGCCGCTCGGGCAGGCGCTCCCGCGACCGCCGCTCCAGGGACCGCCGCTCCAGGGATCGACGCTCCAGGGACAGGTCCAGGTAAAATGGTCACATACGCAAGAATCGACAAACCAAGGCGGCCAATGGTACCCTGTAATCACGCTTACACTGCATGTACACTCACAAACATAAACACATAAATTTCTTTGAAACGTCTGACGCACCAGAATTGAATTATCTTCTGTGTCAGTTCACTCAATTGGGGATTATTTCCTAGAGATCTTTTAAACTTTATGGCTTTTATCGCGTTCGATAGCCTTTGTAAAGTTTTAACATTATGTGCCTTGCTAACGGTAAACGTTACGCTTACACCCATTTATCTGGTTGTAGGTTTGACGTCAAAAACCTTTATCCGGTACATGTTCGTGGATGAAAATAAAATCTTTAAAATTGTTTTACTCAAGAAAATGAAAGATTAAATATATACAATTCTATTATTACAAGCATGTTAGACGCTAGGCAGATATCATTTCTTTGACTTCGTTGAGTTGATTATGCTTACAATAAATTCAATCTTAATGCCAACGTTTTAACGCAGGGACCGGAAATCTCGAGACCGCACTAGAGACAGAAGGTCGAAGGACAGGAAATCCCGTGAAAGAAGGTCCAGTGACATTATTAAAGAACGGCTAGAAAAATCCGTGTCTATACCACGAAAAGGTTTGTAACACTTAGTAACTTGTAATGTGGACAAGGTAGTCACATAATTCAGGATTAATCAATGTATAATAATATTTTTTGTATGGTGAGTGAAGACGAGTGGCCTTCCAGTCAGAGTACCTGGCTACTGAGTCGCCAAGCGGGGGCAATATCTAGCACTACACACAAATCGTTGGAGCTGTGGCGGCCTATTGGAACGGACGTCGACTCGCGATCTGAGGTCGTGGGTTCGAATACCAGCGGTGTGCACCAATGAGTTTCCGTTTTTCATATTCTTATGTGCAAAAAGTCACTTTTAAATCTGTGCCTTATTTACATATTACGGTGATAGGTCCACTATCTATCACGCTTAACAATCTCAGCTAAGAATGAAAAAAAATGACCTAGCTCTCTCTGACTTCTAGTTTTTTTTTGTTTATGTTACGTTAATACGTATGTTAGAATATTGGTTTGCTGATCTGGGTGTTTTCATTTTACCTACCTTGGAAAAAAATAATATGTATGGGGTCATAGAAGGGAGAGCAACGAGTGTGCTCTATGCAAGTTGAAATACTTATGACACTAGTACAACCCTTACACAAATCATTTAGTGGTTTGCGTATGGTCACTAAAAGGCGGCGCCTTAGTTATGTAATGTAGTTATAGATATTTTTCATTTTCCCCTAATATTTTAAAAACAATTATAAGACAATCCATTTTACCCTAAAAGTGATACCGTGACTCTATATGTGTGTACATATGTTAACCTATAGCGAGTTTTGTTTAAAACAAAAAGCCAAATTCCCTTGTGTAATTTTTAAATTACAAGAAATTGATTCCTTATGCTAACAATCGTCTTTCCCTTCTATCATTTTTATAAATACCTCTTAAAGTAATGATTTGGATAAGATATATATAATTATACCTTTCTTGCTTTTTCAGAAAACCTTGAAAAGTTACATAAGCCGTCAGAACGTAATTCTATCCCACCAGAGAGAAATCAAAAAGATAATGCTTCTAGTTCAAGCAGAGAGTCATCTGTCGCCAATGATAAATCTGCTTCAGCGAACGATAGTCATGCAAAGCCAACTCATGCATCTGATGACGACGACAAGGAAGATTTTATACCTGTTCCAACCTTAAGAGAGTATTCTAAAAGCTTATCCCGCACTCCATCGCCTTTCTTGAGGAAACATGAAATTGAAAGTAACAAAAAATCAGACAGATCCGCTGATGACGCATCGGGAAAAGATCAAAATGACGAAGAAAATAAGACGCAAGATGGAAAAAAATTGAAACGAAAGGCTCACCAATCAGAGAGTGAAAGTGAAAGCAGTGGAGAAGTTGCTAAAGCTAAAAGCAAGCCGAAGCTTAAGCGTAAAGAAAAAGCTACCTCAAAGAGAGCCAAAAAGGCCAAGAAGGAGAGCTCGTCTAGTGATAGCGATTCAGAAGATTCGTCTTCTAGTGATTCTGAAGAAGATAGAAAAAAGAAAAGTAAGAGAAGTACGAAAAAGAAGATAGCAAAGAAATCTAAAAAGAAACGGGCTCGATCGTCGAGTTCAGACTCTAGTTCAGAGGAAGAAGTCAAACACAAGAGTTCTAAGTCAAAACAAAAGAACATTCCAGAAGAATCCGATAGTGAGAAGAAACCGAAGAAGAAGAGTAAGGATGCGAATATTGAGCACTCTAAAGCAGAAAAACTTGAAAGCAAACAGGCTAAGTCAAAGAAAGCAGAGAATTCGGAAGATTCACACGAGGATAGCTCAGATAGTGATGCAAAGTCTAGTAAAAAGAAGATCAGCAAACATGACTCGAGTAGCTCTGAGAAAGAGGTAAGGCGCAAGAAAGTTGAATCGGTGAAGGAAAAGGCCGCTTCTCCTGATATCACAAAGTCCCGTAAGGGCGATGAAAAACCAATTAAAGCAAAACATTCAGAAGAAACAAAGTCTAAGTCGCGCGACGATAGCGAGAAGAAGGCTAAAAAGCGTGAGAAAGAAGACTCTTCTTCGGATAGCGATCAGGTCACAAAAAAGAAAGCCAAAAAGAAAGTTTCCGAATCCGAATCTGATTCTGATAGCGACGAACCTAAGAAAACGAAGAAAGCCAAGAAACATAAGAAACATTCAAAGAAACATAAGAAACACAAAAAACATAAGAAAGCATCTAAAAAGAAGGACGACTCCTCGGAAAGCGAAGAAGGTGAAGACGAGGAAGAAGAGGGAAAAGTGAATAATGAAGATTTGGAAAAGAAGTTGCGTGAAAGGGCGTTGAAATCCATGAAAAAGCAAACGAGTGCATCTGGCTCCGATTAGCAGTGTTAGTTCCGCTCACTTTGTCTCTAAGTTCTCACTTATAAATGTTTTAATTTTACGGTATGTAACAATTTTAAAATGAAATAGCTTGTATGACGACAACATCCTGTATGTCTTATTGTTAGTAATAAAGTTTGGCAAATGTGCAAAGTTATTTTTTTCATTCACTGTTTGAATTGAGGAATCGGGGAGAAACCATGTCCACCTTTGAGTCAAAAATTAAAGAATATCGGTACATTTAATCAACTAATATTTTGCTGTGTAATGAAGAACTGTTAATTATTTTTTGCAACAAATCATTTATAGAAAATCTGTATAATATAATATTGCATTATATTTTCAAAATTATGCTTGACCAAAAGCAATAAAGATGAAACAGAAGTGAAACCTTGCGTTAACTGAACATGAAATGATAGGTTGGGGAAAGTTTCTTCGCATTTTATATGAAAATTCAAAACATTTTTTAATAAAGTTTATTTACATTTAACTAAATTATGTAGGTGCCATCCTTTCTGTCATCTTGTAGGTAGGGACATGATCCCATTGCCATAGAAATTCTGGGGTCTCCCATTGCTGTAGAATTTCTGATAAAAAAACTGCGACAAGTGGTTTTGGCAGTCCTCTCGTATTGAAAACCTGACACTGCCTAAATAATTCTGAACAGACCGAAACAAGTAGAAATCTGATGGTGGAAGGTCAGGATTATATGGCGGATGCATCAACACCTCCCAGCCAATCTTAATTTTTGCTGAGTGGCTAAAAATGTGTGAGGTCTAGCGTTATGATGAAAAACCACACCTCTTCTGTTGATTAATTTCGGCCGCTTTCTCTCAACTTCTTGCTTTAATCTCATCAGTTGTTCGCAGTAGAGTTCAGAATCAATGGTCCTGCCTGGCGGTAACATTTCATAATGAATAATGCCCTTCCAATCCCACCATACACACAGCATTACCTTGTTGCGAGATAACCCGGGTTTTGCCAGAGTATGTGAAGCCTGACCAGCCATTGACCACGACCTTTTTCGCACATTCTTGTCGTACGTGACCCACTTTTCATCACCAGTTAGCAGGTTTTTCAAAAATGGTTCGGTTTCATTACGTCGTAATAAATAATCACAAATGAGTACACGGTTCATTAGGTTTCTTTCAGTGAGCTCATGAGACACCCAAATATCGAGCCCTTTTGTGTATCCAGCTTTTTTCAAATTCGCCAAAACTGTTTTGTGGTCAATTCCCTGTTCTTCAGCTACATCGAAACTACTGATATGCCGATCTTGCTCCACCTTTTCAAAAATGGCATCCAATCCAATTTTATCCGTAACAGGGCGCCCAGAGTGAGGCGCATCTTTGACATCAAAATTTCCGGATTGAAAACGCTTAAACCAAATTTGTGCTACTCTCACACACTACACTAGGTCCATAAATATCACAATTTTTTTTCGCGGCTTGCGTTGCATTTTTAACATGTATCGAAATTCTTCATTAGAATCACTCATCTTAACAGTAAGAAAAACAAATGAAATCACACATTTTCATATTTTGAATTTGGAAATATCTTTTTTAAACTTTTTAATGATACCAAATCAGCCAGACACAAATGGTATAGCCAAAGAGTGAGGTATATTATAAGTACATACATACTATTTGCGAAGAGTTTTTCCCCAACCTACTAATAATATGAAGAGCTCAAACCGTAGAGATGAAAACTAAAACCACTTCACAGGTGTGGTGAATTTCCATGGGAAGGATGATACAATCAAATGTAGTTTCCTTTTTTGCCCGTACCACCTACCCTCATATAAAAATAGTTTTTGATTCAATAATATTGTAAACTTAATTTTTTGATACGAATCCGAAGCCTATTCCGATAATAATGTTAAATTCTCCAAGATAATGAGACAATAGTTAAGATGACTCCGTGGCGCAGTCGTCAAGGTATTGGCTTCGGTGTCGGACGTGGGTTCCACACGGGACAACTATTTGTGTGACCTCCAGATAGTTGTTTCGCATCGAGTGTTTGTCCACGTGAAATTTATGTATGTAAAATGTCCTTGCACAGGATAATGTTATCTTAAAGCGAAAAATTAAGATTTAGAGATCGAGGACTGGCAAAATACTCCAACTACTGTGCAGTAACGACATTGTTTTATTGCGGTTCTAATGAACTATGACTCAAAACTCAAACGAACCAGTGTCTAATAGGGATGCCAAAAGTCGAAAAAAATATCGATATATCGATATTTATAAAAATATCAATATCGACCTCGATGTAATGAAAAAAAAATATCGATATATCGGTAGAATTTTCGGTTTTAAAAAAATAATGTATTTAGTTCAGTCTGATTCAATAATAAGTAATTTTTATACCAAATTCACATGATTTTAATGAATGAGAAATTTTAATAAAATAAAACGTTAATTATTTATTAATTTTAATCAAATTTATTAATCTAAATTTCTACGTATATTATTTATTAAGACCTTCATTGGAAAAAAAAAGAAACAGCTTATTTAATATGATAAATCAGTTTCTTTAGCCCTGAATCAAATGAAAAAATAACTAATAAAAAAACATGTTAATTTGTAAAAAAATATAAAGAATTGTTTAAAACGAGAGTTAATGATTGGTCAAAAAGAAACCCGCAGAGACTTGTCGTAAAAGACAGGCCTGTCTTTTCAGCAGAATTTATTAATAGTTGTTTGATTGACATGAAAATGCTGAACGACAATTTAAAAAAGTTACTTTTGTGGTTAAATGATAATAATTTTATGACGTCAAATATTTTTTTATGAAAACTCGATATTATATTATATGACATTTAATTATTGAGAATTTGATTATAATTAAAGTTTGTTCTCTTTATTTACATATTAAATTAAAGTAACTTTAGTTGATGCCATTAATATTTTGTTATTTATAAATGAGCTTCACATGTATGTAGGTCAATATTAATGATCTATACCATCACCTTAGATATGGATAGTGTTAAAGTACGAAGCGAAGATGAAATTGTAGTATAAATACCGTAATTATAACACAAAATTCTACAATGCATCCGCGACAATACTAGTCATAGACAACAGTTTTCTTTTTCGTACATTTTTATCTTTTACGGCTTTGAATCAGTTAATATGTAGCTGAATGAAATTTGAATAAAAACATCGTTTTTGATACGATTTCCATATTCAATTTTTTAAATCGATATATCTGATAAAATATATCAGCCAAAAATATCGATACTTATATTTTTAAATAAATATCGATATATCGATATTTTTTCGGCATCCCTAGTGTCTAATAGCATCTGGCATCCGGTTGGAATTAAATGGGGAGAAATCTGTTATTTTAAAAAATTAAGATTTTTATTTTAAAAAAAGTAAACAATGGTTTAAAACAATTATATTAACTTTACCAATGCTGGCATTATTTTAAAATTTCATTACAACAGAAAGTGAATACATAATAAATAAAATAATATTTAACATACTGGCTTTGGAATAACCTTTGGTTACCTACTTTTAACTAATAATATTGTGTTATTTTCATCCTTCAAACAATTTTATCTTCTTGTATAGCCTCTGTACCCTGTGGCTAAATTAGGAGTGATACCGCTGTTGTATATGTTCCCGAAGCCTGGCCGCTTGTTATAGTATCCGTATCCCAAATGGTTTGATTCCTGATAGTAAGGGTTATTGTAACCGCTGTAAGAACTCAGACCCCCGTTGCCACCGTAACCTCCATAACCTCCGTTGCCTCCAAAAGAATTTGGATTATAATCTCCAAATCCTTTACTCCCATCGAAGCCCGAGGTATTCACGTATCCTATATTGCCTCCGTAACCCGTGTCGCCGGAATATCCTGAGCCACCGGGATATCTCGCATTTTGGTAAGGATTGTCGTATGAACTGATATCGGCATAATTGCGTCCGTATCTGCTGTCAATAACGCCATACCCTGTAACACTATACTCGTATCTACCAGGAGAGATGCCACCCCAGTCAGAGTACTGATGACTGTCTGGAAAGAAGAAAGAAATTAGGCAAATTATGATGACAATTTACGAAGAGAGTAGTGTAGTATTTGTACGTCGAAGACGTAATTTCAATAAAACTATAATCGTAACGTTATACACATTTAATGCTCCGTAACAGACTGCCGCACCCGGCAGTACATACATAACACTCTTTTTATTTGTCTACCCACTGACACGCTACAAGTAGATTATGATTATTTCATTTGTAACTCTACGTTTACGCCAGCATGACTCTTACACTCTTACATTTTATATAGTGCTAAAAAATTCCCGGGGAACCCTTCGTGCACGAGTCAGACTCGCACTTGGCACTTCTTTTAACTTTATGTAAACTTGCAATCATCATTATTTTACACCATACCATATAGTTAACTATGGTACCATAATATATAGTTAACTATAGTTTCATCCAATTCAACTGTATCTTAAATATCTTATAGATGTTATTCCAAGCCATTGACCTGTATTGATTCTTTGCAATGTTTTAAAATGGTGAAATTACCGGTTATCCAGGAATGGTCAATTAAGATGAGGGTTAAATTAGAGAAAATGTTTTAGAAAATGGTAAGATTCGCTGACCTTTCCGTATCCGCTAAATTGCTTTAATGGATATAATTGGACGAAGGCTAGAAGGAAGTGTCAATGCCAGAGACGCAAGGTCTTAAAATTAGGCTAACCTGATTAACTTTATTATTAAATTTATTATTTGGCACAAAAATGTATAAAATAAACTTACATGAACTTGGTGCAGCTTTCAGATCATCGTTTTCTCGTAATTTTTGTTGAGATTTAATAAAATGATTGTTTTTATCCAATTGAATCTCTCTGTTTTGCGGTGCGGCGTGAACACACCAAATTATTGATAATATCCCAAATAATTTAAAATTCATCTGCAATCAAATTAATACTTATACTTTATACTACTTTACTATGTTAATATGTTTTTATTGGGAGTTTTTAAGCTTATTCGACCTCTATCTAACTGCATGTTGAAACCTGGGGAAGCTACTAGGATAGCAGTCCCCGTAGTAATCAAAGATATGTGGAAACTGCAGTCTCGTAAAAACTACTCTTTCCACGGGCTCTGCTGATGAAATTTTAGGATGTCTATAGACTGAAGGCGAATAAATCCCTTATCACAACACAAGCGGTTTGTTGGTGATGCAAAACGTAGAAAATCGACTGACTCCTGAGGCATTCCCTCAGGAGTCACTCGATTGCTTACGTTTGCCTAGGTCCTCCGCTACCGAGCCTGCCTGCCTCTTGTTATAGACGCAGTCTCCTCCGCCAGTCTATCACTTTTTTCCACATCTCCAAATCACCGAAGCCTTTCTTTATACTACAGTCATCACTAAGAGTTTGTATCTTTTTGACTTTTAATTCTTAGGCAGTAGGAATTTTCAAAAATTCGAATCTCAGCGCCACGCACCATGCCAAAAGATATACGTTTTTCGCATTCCTTATGTACGCTAATCTTTGTTCCACATTTGTGACCGGTGTACGATGAGAACTGTACTATTTACGCAGATAGAAGATAGTATTGAAAAACGTCATATTACGTTAATAGCTATGTGTATTGTATGGCATCTCCATATATAATTATAACGGGAAACAAACTTGCATGCAAGGATGGCCTTTAACACGAACCTCAAGACAATAACCATTAGTCTGACCATTCCCACGTTATCTCCTGAATAAGTACGCATGCAGTAAATTATTTCATTACCACAGTTCAAGAGCAGCGCTAAGCTATTGCAATTAGTGACTTATTATCACACTCCGCAAACTGGGCGCACAATTTAAAATCTATCAGCTTTTTACAAAATATTACAGACTAAATTTTATTGATGTTTACATTTTACAATGTAAACATCAAAATATCTGTCTGTTTATTGTGAAAGTTATATCATTGTAAAAATCATCTATTGAGGCTATACCTCATATTTATAAGTAGATAATATAGCCTTTTTCTGAGATAAGGTCACTCAAAACTCTAATGGTGTTTACTTTTTAGCTAGTTTATAAAAACCCTGCGAGTCATTGCGATACCATATAGTATAAAATAACCATTTGAGCGTAGCCATTTATTTTATAAAATTAAATAAAAGTAGGAAAAGTAGTTCTTTCTTTCAATCGATTATGAATTGAGTTGATTAAATGAAAATTTGTATTTTATTTAGCATTTACGTAAGTATATTTTGTTGTGAAGTGAATTACCGAACATGTAAAAATAATTTTAACCAACCTTTGCGTGGCGATCATTATAAAAGATTATATCGTTAGCACAAGAATCTAAAAAAATATTTTATAAATTGATATCAGTGTACGGTCATAAAATTATTGTACTATTCCGATTAGATGTTCGAAAGTGGATATTAATTTATACAAAAGGAGTATGTTACCAACTTCAAATCGCTCACTCACTCTATTCCCCACGTTTAATTGCATTATTAAACAGTGGGTATATTTTCTCAGAACAGCTTTTTCCTCCTATTCCTACATTTACTTTAAGTTTTCTGATGTGTCTCCGGATACCTGAACATGGGCATCCGGAGACACATTAGGAAAATATGGGAACACCATCAATCGTGTTCTGAGGTAACGAGCGAAAAAAATACTACCCAATTGAAAACCTCCTTGAAGTTGGTTGAAAATGCCTTTTACTACCTATTCGTAGAGGATTATAAAGATATGAAATATACGGAATATTACATTTTATATTATTATGAGATTAGTATCATATTTATCAGTTCTGCTCAAAATCATTTAAAATGTACGTATAATTATGAGAACAGAACATGTCATGAAGTAACAAATATGAAGTAACCTTAATATCAAAATAAAGTTCGATGGATCTATTTAATAATGGAAAATATACTCTCTAAATTCTTACTACAGAATATACAATTGAGTATTTTATACTTAAATACTACAAATGAAAAAGAATTTTGTAAAGAAATCACCATTTAAAATGATAATGCATAGCAAGGGCTCAATTACAAAACTAAGAAATTTAAAAAATATGTGCGTAATAAATGTTCATACTTACATCGAAGTATTTTTTTTAAATATTGAGGAGAAACAACACTGGCAGGTTGCTAAGATAGGAGATGCGCTCTGCGTGTGTCGGCGTGCGTTTAAACCTTTATAAACCGTGGGAGTTTTTGCTTATAATTTACAATGGTCTCCGCGAAGGTAATGAGTCCGTTTGTAGTCAGAACGTCCTTCTACGAAGATGCCGTGACGCTATCTAAAACGAACACAATATGTCGTTCTGATACCTTCGGCTATATAACAATGAAACTGTTTGTCTGGGTTTTATTTCGAACTTCCTGAATATTTATCTAGTAATAAGTTATGAATATCCACCACACCTTTTAATTACATGGTAGTAGTATTAATATTTGTATCTTGAATACAAATATAAATGTACAGTGATTACTCAGTGGCAAAAATGCTATAGTGGTCTTTAGATGAGGAAAATTTATTACCATTTTTACTGTTACATCTAACAGCTTAAGCGCAGGTCCGGGTAAAATCAGCGAAGCAGTGGTGAATTTGCAGTTTTGGCCGCCTTAGGCCCCAGCCCATGTAGTAAGTTCTAGCCGGCCTTCTCTCAGCGTTCATGACATAGACTAAATTTTAAATTTCTTCTGGCAATTTGTCAATTAGCATCCAAAAGAGGAGTAGCTTTTATGAATAGTAATTGACAAAATGCCAATGAGAAATTTGAAAAAGTTGACAATGGTCGCGAAAATTACAAAATAGTAATTTTGAAATCTTAGCTCTTCACCTGTGTTAGTGTTGCAAAACTTTGTTGTGATTTATGGCCTGTGTTTGGAATGAATTTGAGGAAACGTTCCAAAAGTTCCATTAGGCAGGACCTTTCTGATTATACAGCGTGTCGTTACCATCGCGACAATAAATGAACACACGTCTAACGCTACTTGCCAATAATCATAAAAAAATATTAACGTAAAAAAATCCATAATTAAAAAAAATATTTTTCAAACAAATTAAATAAAAAAGAAACAAAATTTGTAACATCCTATACAACTCGCACCACAGCGTCGCATTAGAAGCCTCTCCTTCTAACAGTATGTTTTGTCTCTTTTAAATTCATTCAACCCATTCATATGCTTTGTAACCTTTACAAATGAACTTTACGTTACAGTTTTATACGTAAGGGTGTTCTAAAATTCTTTGTTTTGGAAAGTTTAATAACTCTGTAAATATTGATGTTTAAAGAATGTAAATGTTTGATACAATTTTAAAAAGTTATCCTCTATATGTGTGTTCATTTATTGTCGTGATGGTAAAGACACGCTGTATAGGTCATATATCCGTCGAGTCATTGATTGGAGTTAATATTTATCTTCAAAACTTTACAATAAGTCGAATGAATTCTTCGCATGTTGTTGAAAAGAGATAATTCTTATATCCTGAGCCTGGATTCCCAAAACGTGAAATGTGTTTGGGTAAGAAAGGATTCAACTTAGTGATAAACTTTAAGGACATCAAATAATTTCCATCTAAAATCAACCAAATTTCTTGTAGTATCCTTTAAAAGGCAAATAATGTGATTCAAGCGCTTTTTCGCATGCAGTTACTCTTCGCAGAATGTTTTTGGAACACATATCGTACATTCGCTCGATATTAGGAAAATCATTTTGGATGCGTTTGTTGCCTAAGGAGCTAAACAAAATATTTTTAAAGCTCGCGCGTATTACAATTTTCTTCCTAAATCATGTAAAAAATAAGATACACAAACATTTTATATGTATTTATTATAGTTATGAATAAATAAAAAAAAGTGTACGAAAGTGATTAAGAAATATTGTTGTTATTACGATGCGTTGCAGCGTGTGCTATTATATAAATATTTTGGTACTTTTAGTTTTTTCTTGTTATCATCAGTGAATATTTTGTCACGATTCCCCGCCCTTAATATCTGGCCGCCCTAGGCACGGGCTTACTGAGCCTTAGAGCAAATCCACCACTGCAGCGAAGTACTATATTAAACGTGTTTCAGACATAAGTTTGATTGATGCGTTGAAATATCTCATCATCATTTTTATAATCTAAAAAAAAATCATGGGACGGATGCTTTTCAGGCTTTTTCAAAAATTATTGAATGCCAAAAGGTTAGCTATATCGAGCAATGGAGCCAAGACACTTATACCGCTTACATGATAATTTTCCTGATAATTATTTTCAACTGTAGATAGCAACTTCTTATTTCTTTACGATACTTGTGATGAAGATGGCTTGCTTTAGCTCACTTTTTTTGAGAAATGAGATTTATTTTCTTTTACAACGGCGTTGTAGACACGATGTTCTGCATACCATTGTCCAAACAAACAAAATGCACAAAGATTTAGTTCAACTTTATAGGTTCATTTCATTTTTTATCATTAAGTGCACAATGCTGTGACAAATTATTTTGACGCGTAAAACTGGCCTGCCAGCCCTACCTTAGACGAATGTAAATTTTCTAGCTTGTATTGCAGGTAGGTTGAGTTAGTAGTTAAGATTGGAAAATGTAAAAGGTTTCGTTAGGATCATATGAAGTTGAAATCCGTACTGTGGTCTATTACAGACCTTTTTAGATGCATGGTGTGACAAAAGAAAATGAAAATACAATTATTTAAAATATTTTATTGTAGTTTAGATAAATACAAAAGTTTATCTTGTCGTATTAAAATACAAAATATGAAATTGTCCTATCACACCATTGTAGAAATCAATGATATAATCACATTTTTATCGTACAATATTTTTTTTCATATATCACAAAATTATGTACTGTATAATAGATTAAAAAAATATATGAATTGAACAATTTTGAGATCGTCCAAGGAACATTATCAGACAGTCTCAAAATTATTATCGTACTTTCAACCGTCTATAATTTTTAACCAATATTGTGTATTTTCTAAACTTTAACTTTTTGTTGTAGAATTCGTTTTACTGGCTTTTGTATCGTCTAATACTCTCGTATGAACTGCTATTCTTCGGAGACCTTTCTTCATAGGTCTTATTTGATTCTTTAAGAGATTTTCAAGTTCTGATATAGATTTGATTTCTTTTAAATCATTTACTTTAAAATCTGTACTTCGAGCGCCGTTTATTCTTCCGAGATATTTATAAATACTTCTATTAGCTTGACACTGTGCACAATTGTATGGCACAGGCACTGCATTAGGGAAATTTTGTTGAGCCGTTTGCATATCGGTAACATTTCCAGGACAACTTGGTACAAATACAACTGGTATGAATCCTATTATACCATAAGGGCTGTAATAACCTTGGTTTACTGGGTAGCCCTGTCCTTGCTCCTGTGAAATAGTATTTGAGTCATTTTTTCCTGGGTTTAGAAGATAGCATGGACATGACCCCGGACTTGGTACGATTGGCAGAGGATACGGTATAACGTAAATGGGAAACGGTGGCATTTGGTTATATACTGGATAGGCTGGAGGCTGAACACCTGTCCCACCAGGTTGACCTGAAACATTGTAATATATTAATTAACTAATTTAGTTCAAATTTAAATTTAATTGGTATCAAACTGTATGAAATTATTAGACAGGTTTAAAATATAACATACATTACATAGATTTATATGTATAAATATAAAGCGTTGTGGTAGCTAGCTAAGCGCTATTTCTTTTTAACTCAATATAGGTACATACTTCACTAACATGACTAAATGTCTTTAAATGACTAGTGGCGGACTATGCACTAATACCCTCTGTTCAGAGGAGGTCCTTTGCCGGGCAATGGGACAATATACGCGCTGTAAAAATCACTACTCCACTTCTTTATAAAAGGGATGCATAATTCAAAAAATTTCTTACCGCCTTGCTGTTGCGTTCCCGGTTGTCCTGGTTGACTAGGTTGTATTGGATAACCTGGCTGGCCAGGTTGAGTTGATGATCCCGGTTGACCTTGTGTTCCCGGGTAGCTGGGCTGGCCGGGTTGTCCTGGTGTGCCTGGTTGTTCTGGCTGTCCTGGTGTGCCTGGTTGTCCTGGCTGGCCAGTTTGCCCTGGTTGATCTGGGTATCCCGACTGTCCTGGTTGTCCTTGCGGTTCCGGTTGCCCTTGTGGACCTGGGTAGCTGGGTTGAGTAGGGTAGCCGGGCTGTCCTGCTGTACCTGGCTGTCCTGGTTGGCCAGGTTGTCCTGGCTGTCCTGATGTGCCAGGCTGACCTGGTTGGCCTGGTTGACCTGGTTGATCTGGGTATCCCGACTGTCCTGGTTGTCCTTGCGTTCCTGGTTGCCCTTGTGGACCTGGGTAGCTGGGTTGACTAGGGTAGCCGGGTTGTCCTGCTGTGCCTGGCTGTCCTGGTTGGCCAGGTTGTCCTGGTGTGCCTGGCTTTCCTGCTGTGCCTGGCTGTCCTGGTTGGCCAGGCTGTCCTGGTTGGCCTGGTTGTCCTGGTGTTCCTGGTTTGCCTGGCTGTCCAGGCTGCCCAGGTTGCCCTGGTTGACCTGGGTATCCTGACGGTCCTGGTTGTCCTTGTGGTCCCGGTTGCCCTTGTGGCCCTGGGTAGCTGGGTTGACTGGGGTAGCCGGGCTGTCCTGCTGTGCCTGGCTGTCCTGGTTGTCCTTGCGGTCCCGGTTGGCCTTCGGGACCTGGGTAGCTGGGCTGACTAGGGTAGCCGGGCTGTCCTGCTGTGCCTGGTTGTCCTGGTAGGCCAGGTTGTCCTGGTGTGCCTGGCTGTCCTGGTGTGCCTGGCTGTCCTGGTTGGCCAGGTTGCCCTGGTGTGCCTGGTTGACCTTGCGATCCCGGTTGCCCTTGTGGACCTGGGTAGCTGGGTTGAATTGGGTAGCCGGGCTGTCCTGCTGTGCCTGGCTGTCCTGGTTGGCCAGGCTCTCCTGGAATGCCTGGTTGTCCTGGTGTTCCTGGTTTCCCTGGCTGTCCAGGCTGCCCAGGTTGCCCTGGCTGTCCAGGCTGCCCAGGTTGCCCTGGTTGTCCTGGTTGACCTGGTTGACTTGGTTGAACTGGGTATCCCGACTGTCCTGGTTGTCCTTGCGGTCCTGGTTGCCCTTGTGGACCTGGGTAGCTGGGTTGACTAGGGTAGCCGGGCTGTCCTGCTGTGCCTGGCTGTCCTGGTTGGCCAGCCAGTCCTGGTGTGCCTGGTTGTCCTGGTGTTCCTGGTTTGCCTGGCTGTCCAGGCTGCCCAGGTTGCCCTGGTTGACCTGTGTTTGACGGTCCTGGTTGTCCTTGTGGTCCCGGTTGCCCTTGTGGCCCTGGGTAGCTGGGTTGACTGGGGTAGCCGGGCTGTCCTGCTGTGCCTGGCTGTCCTGGTTGTCCTTGCGGTCCCGGTTGCCCTTGTGGCCCTGGGTAGCTGGGTTGACTGGGGTAGCCGGGCTGTCCTGCTGTGCCTGGCTGTTCTGGTTGTCCTTGCGGTCCCGGTTGGCCTTGGGGCCCTGGGTAGCTGGGTTGACTAGGGGAGCCGGGCTGTCCTGCTGTGCCTGGCTGTCCTGGTTGGCCAGGTTGTCCTTGTGTGCCTGGTTGTCCTGGTGTTCCTGGTTTGCCTGGCTGTCCAGGCTGCCCAGGTTGCCCTGGTTGACTTGGGTATCCCGACTGTCCTGGTTGTCCTTGCGGTCCCGGTTGACCTTGTGGACCTGGGTAACTGGGTTGACTAGGGTAGCCGGGTTGACTAGGGTAGCCGGGCTGTCCTGCTGTGCCTGGCTGTCCTGGTTGGCCAGGCTGTCCTGCTGTGCCTGGCTGTCCTGGTTGGCCAGGTTGTCCTTGTGTGCCTGGTTGTCCTGGTGTTCCTGGTTTGCCTGGCTGTCCAGGCTGCCCAGGTTGCCCTGGTTGACCTGGGTATCCCGACTGTCCTGGTTGTCCTTGCGGTCCCGGTTGACCTTGTGGACCTGGGTAACTGGGTAACTGGGTTGACTAGGGTAGCCGGGTTGACTGGGGTAGCCGGGCTGTCCTGCTGTGCCTGGCTGTCCTGGTTGGCCAGGCTGTGGTGGGCTGTGCCTGGTTGTCCCGGTGTTCCTGGTTTGCCTGGTGGCCTGTCCAGGCTGCCCAGGTTGCCCTGGTTGACCTGGGTATCCCGACTGTCCTGGTTGTCCTTGCGGTCCCGGTTGCCCTTGTGGACCTGGGTAGCTGGGTTGACTAGGGTAGCCGGGCTGTCCTGCTGTGCCTGGCTGTCCTGGTTGGCCAGGCTGTCCTGGTGTGCCTGGTTGTCCTGGTGTTCCTGGTTTACCTGGCTGTCCAGGCTGCCCAGGTTGCCCTGGTTGACCTGGGTATCCCGACTGTCCTGGTTGTCCTTGCGGTCCCGGTTGCCCTTGTGGACCTGGGTAGCTGGGTTGACTAGGGTAGCCGGGCTGTCCTGCTGTGCCTGGCTGTCCTGGTTGGCCAGGCTGTCCTGGTTGGCCTTGGGGCCCTGGGTAGCTGGGCTGACTAGGGTAGCCGGGCTGTCCTGCTGTGCCTGGCTGTCCTGGTTGGCCAGGCTGTCCTGGTGTGCCTGGTTGTCCTGGTGTTCCTGGTTGGCCTGGCTGTCCAGGCTGCACAGGTTGCCCTGGTTGACCTGGGTATCCTGAAGGTCCTGGTTGCCCTTGTGGTCCCGGTTGCCCTTGTGGCCCTGGGTAGCTGGGTTGACTGGGGTAGCCGGGCTGTCCTGCTGTGCCTGGCTGTCCTGGTTTGCCAGGTTGTCCTGGTGTGCCTGGTTGTCCTGGTGTTCCTGGTTTGCCTGGCTGTCCAGGCTGCCCAGGTTGCCCTGGTTGACCTGGGTATCCTGACGGTCCTGGTTGTCCTTGTGGTCCCGGTTGCCCTTGTGGCCCTGGGTAGCTGGGTTGACTGGGGTAGCCGGGCTGTCCTGCTGTGCCTGGCTGTCCTGGTTGTCCTGGTGCGGTCCCGGTTGGCCTTGGGGCCCTGGGTAGCTGGGCTGACCAGGGTAGCCGGGTTGTCCTGCTGTGCCTGGCCTGGGTCCTGGTTGGGTTGGCCAGGTTGTCCTGGTGTGCCTGGTTGTCCTGGTGTTCCTGGTTTGCCTGGCTGTCCAGGCTGTCCTGGTTGACCTGGGTATCCCGACTGTCCTGGTTGCCCTTGTGGACCTGGGTAGCTGGGTTGACTAGGGTAGCCGGGCTGTCCTGCTGTGCCTGGCTGTCCTGGTTGGCCAGGCTGTCCTGGTGTGCCTGGTTGTCCTGGTGTTCCTGGTTTACCTGGCTGTCCAGGCTGCCCAGATTGCCCTGGTTGACCTGGGTATCCTGACGGTCCTGGTTGTCCTTGTGGTCCCGGTTGCCCTTGTGGCCCTGGGTAGCTGGGTTGACTGGGGTAGCCGGGCTGTCCTGCTGTGCCTGGCTGTCCTGGTTGGCCAGGTTGTCCTGGTGTGCCTGGTTGTCCTGGTGTTCCTGGTTTGCCTGGCTGTCCAGGCTGCCCAGGTTGCCTGGTTGACCTGGGTATCCCGACTGTCCTGGTTGTCCTTGCGGTCCCGGTTGACCTTGTGGACCTGGGTAGCTGGGTTGACTAGGGTAGCCGGGTTGACTGGGGTAGCCGGGCTGTCCTGCTGTGCCTGGCTGTCCTGGTTGGCCAGGTTGTCCTGGTGTTCCTGGTTGGCCTGGCTGTCCTGGTGTCCTGGTGTTCCTGGTTTGTCTGGCTGTCCGGCTGCCCAGGTTGCCCTGGTTGACCTGGGTATCCCGACTGTCCTGGTTGTCCTTGCGGTCCCGGTTGCCCTTGTGGACCTGGGTAGCTGGGTTGACTAGGGTAGCCGGGCTGTCCTGCTGTGCCTGGCTGTCCTGGTTGGCCAGGTTGTCCTGGTGTGCCTGGTTGTCCTGGTGTTCCTGGTTTGCCTGGCTGTCCAGGCTGCCCAGGTTGCCCTGGTTGACCTGGGTATTCTGACGGTCCTGGTTGTCCTTGTGGTCCCGGTTGCCCTTGTGGCCCTGGGTAGCTGGGTTGACTAGGGTAGCCGGGCTGTCCTGCTGTGCCTGGCTGTCCTGGTTGGCCAGGCTGTCCTGGTGTGCCTGGTTGTCCTGGTGTTCCTGGTTTGCCTGGCTGTCCCGGCTGCCCAGGTTGCCCTGGTGACCTGGGTATCCTGACGGTCCTGGTTGTCCTTGTGGTCCCGGTTGCCCTTGTGGACCTGGGTAGCTGGGTTGACTAGGGTAGCCGGGCTGTCCTGCTGTGCCTGGCTGTCCTGGTTGGCCAGGCTGTCCTGGTGTGCCTGGTTGTCCTGGTGTTCCTGGTTTGCCTGGCTGTCCAGGCTGCCCAGGTTGCCCTGGTTGACCTGGGTATCCCGACTGTCCTGGTTGTCCTTGCGGTCCCGGTTGCCCTTGTGGACCTGGGTAGCTGGGTTGACTAGGGTAGCCGGGCTGTCTAGGGTGCCGGGCTGTCCTGCTGTGCCTGGCTGTCCTGGTGTGCCAGGTTGTCCTGGTGTTCCTGGTTTGCCTGGCTGTCCCGGCTGCCCAGGTTGCCCTGGTTGACCTGGGTATCCCGACTGTCCTGGTTGTCCTTGCGGTCCCGGTTGCCCTTGTGGACCTGGGTAGCTGGGTTGACTAGGGTAGCCCGGCTGTACTGCTGTGCCTGGCTGTCCTGGTTGGCCAGGTTGTCCTGGTGTGCCTGGTTGTCCTGGTGTTCCTGGTTGGCCTGGCTGTCCAGGCTGCCCAGGTTGCCCTGGTTGACCTGGGTATCCTGACGGTCCTGGTTGTCCTTGTGGTCCCGGTTGCCCTTGTGGCCCTGGGTAGCTGGGTTGACTGGGGTAGCCGGGCTGTCCTGCTGTACCTGGCTGTCCTGGTTGGCCAGGTTGTCCTGGTGTGCCTGGTTGTCCTGGTGTTCCTGGTTTGCCTGGCTGTCCAGGCTGCTCAGTTTGCCCTGGTTGACCTGGGTATCCCGACTGTCCTGGTTGTCCTTGCGGTCCCGGTTGCCCTTGTGGACCTGGATAGCTGGGTTGACTAGGGTAGCCGGGCTGTCCTGCTGTGCCTGGCTGTCCTGGTTGGCCAGGCTGTCCTGGTGTGCCTGGTTGTCCTGGTGTTCCTGGTTTGCCTGGCTGTCCCGGCTGCCCAGGTTGCCCTGGTTGACCTGGGTATCCTGACGGTCCTGGTTGTCCTTGCGGTCCCGGTTGCCCTTGTGGACCTGGGTAGCTGGGTTGACTAGGGTAGCCGGGCTGTCCTGCTGTGCCTGGCTGTCCTGGTTGGCCAGGTTGTCCTGGTGTGCCTGGTTGTCCTGGTGTTCCTGGTTTGCCTGGCTGTCCCGGCTGCCCAGGTTGCCCTGGTTGACCTGGGTATCCCGACTGTCCAGGTTGTCCTTGCGGTCCCGGTTGCCCTTGTGGACCTGGGTAGCTGGGTTGACTAGGGTAGCCCGGCTGTACTGCTGTGCCTGGCTGTCCTGGTTGGCCAGGTTGTCCTGGTGTGCCTGGTTGTCCTGGTGTTCCTGGTTGGCCTGGCTGTCCAGGCTGCCCAGGTTGCCCTGGTTGACCTGGGTATCCTGACGGTCCTGGTTGTCCTTGCGGTCCCGGTTGACCTTGTGGACCTGGGTAGCTGGGTTGACTAGGGTAGCCGGGTTGACTAGGGTAGCCGGGCTGTCCTGCTGAGCCTGGCTGTCCTGGTTGGCCAGGCTGTCCTGGTGTGCCTGGTTGTCCTGGTGTTCCTGGTTTGCCTGGCTGTCCAGGCTGCCCAGGTTGCCCTGGTTGACCTGGGTATCCTGACGGTCCTGGTTGTCCTTGTGGTCCTGGTTGCCCTTGTGGTCCTGGGTAGCTGGGTTGACTGGGGTAGCCGGGCAGTCCTGTTGTGCCTGGCTGTCCTGGTTGGCCAGGTTGTCCTGGTGTTCCTGGTTTGCCTGGCTGTCCAGTCTGCCCAGGTTGCCCTGGTTGACCTGGATATGCTGACTGTCCTGATTGTCCTTGCGATCCCGGTTGCCCTTGTAGACCTGGGTAGCTGGGTTGACTAGGGTAGCCGGGCTGTCCTGCTGTGCCTGGCTGTCCTGGTTGGCCTGGTTGTCCTGGTGTTCCTGGTTTGCCTGGCTGTCCAGGCTGCCCAGGTTGCCCTGATTGACCTGGGTATCCTAACTGTCCTGGTTGACCTTGCGGTCCCGGTTGGCCTTGTGGCCCTGGGTAGCTGGGCTGACCAGGGTAGCCGGGTTGTCCTGCTGTGCCTGGCTGTCCTGGTTGGCCAGGTTGTCCTGGTGTGCCTGGTTGTCCTGGTGTTCCTGGTTTGCCTGGCTGTCCAGGCTGCCCAGGTTGCCCTGGTTGACCTGGGTATCCCGACTGTCCTGGTTGCCCTTGTGGACCTGGGTAGCTGGGTTGACTAGGGTAGCCGGGCTGTCCTGCTGTGCCTGGCTGTCCTGGTTGGCCAGGTTGTCCTGGCGTGCCTGGTTCTCCTGGTGTTCCTGGTTTGCCTGGCTGTCCAGGCTGCCCTGGTTGCCCTGGTTGACCTGGGTATCCCGACTGTCCGGGCTGTCCTTGCAGTCCCGGCTGCCCTTGTGTACCTGGGTAGCCAAATGTTTAAACAAATATTAATTAATCCATCGACTAGGTTTTTGTTTTGTGGACGGAAACATATGGAAGTTTAATTTTATTATAAAAAGCTTAAATCTGTCAGTATTATTAGGACCACTCGCAATGAATTTTGCACGGATGGATAATAGAAGAAAACTGTTATGATTTTGCGTTACGTCTAGTATGTAACATAACCGGAATTTTCGGAAAGTTGCTAGAACAGCTTCTCCGTAGGTGGCGATAATCATTCAACATAAATATGATGAACTATTGTTGATGTTGAACAGTTACCAAGTCCTTATAGTGCAGTCATTTAACCTTAAATTAGGTAAGAATCTCGGAATTCGAGATACCAAGCTGTAAGTCTGTAAATACTTGTACTGTAGCTTGCCTATTACATTGGCCACAAGCTAAAGAGCATTGCAAGCGAGCTTCCCTGCATCCGCATCGCGAACCACAACCACTCTTGCAGTTGCAGAAAATTGTATTTAGCAAATCTTCTGGAGCAGGTGGTAAAATTGTCATGATAGGCTCCAGGAAATTGTTTCGCATTGCCCAAGCCCAAAATTCCAAATCATGACCAAGCCCTAACCAAGTTTGAACTTGATAATATACACGTTTGAAATGTTGATGAGCAGCTGCACTTGTTGGTGGAATATTTGAAAGCTGCACAGCTTTGCAAAGCGCAAGCTGCAAAATTTGTAGAGAATTTTGTATTCATCAACATTGAGTATAAATACAAATAGATAAAAATCCATAGGAAATGAGATATTTACAAAAAAAGCGCAAAAGCCGATTTTGTGACCTTTGACCTTGAAATTTAATAGTTGCGTACACCTTACCATATGTAGGTTTTGGGACAACTTTTAGGGTGTCAATATACAAGTGTTTACAGACTTACAGCTGGGTATATCGTATTCCTTACTATAACTTACTATAATGACAGGACTATTACATAAAAAAGAGATTCGTTTCTTCTATAAATGACTATGGATGCAAACTATTTGTTCGATGTACATGGGTATTAATACGAGAGGTTAAGTTTTTTTTTTATTTTTATGTTTGTCACCTTTTATTTAATAAAGGCAACGTCTAAAAATTGTTACGAATTAAGGATTTCACGGATAGCTTTAAATTGTTAAATTACTCTTTTTTTACATTTCTGAAGGGGCTTTTACCGTTTTATTTTGGTGCCCAGTCGGGTCAGGCCTGGTCCTTGTGTAATAAATTAAAGTATATCATTTGTAGTATTTTATTTTGATTTAAGACGGTTGTGTTTTTTTCATAAATTCATTAAACTTAATCTTTAAAAACACAATTTGTTTGAATTACAACACCACGGTGAATACGCCTTCACCCTGTAGTAGCATTAATGACTCACTGCATTCTTAACGCGAACGTCGAATATAGTCCGACTTCGAGTTCCACACTATTTAAAGTATAGTGAATAATATATTAATACTGAATTTAAATAAACAATATAAATAATTCTAATATTTATACTAACGATTGCATTTGAAGCATTACTATAAAGTATAGAAATGTTAACCTTGTGTGTCAGAGCCACCAGGATAGTAAGCACCACCAGTGCCAGAGCCTTGACCACTAGTACCACCCGGAGCTCCAGAGCTTCCAGGAGTGGATCCGGGATAGTAACCTCCTTGGCCTTGTAACAAAAAATTAAGTACTGAAATTATGCCTAGCTGTGGAATAGTCCTTCTACATTAAACCACAGACAAAGTACACAACATAATCTCGCAGTAAGTAATCTCTTTTTTTACATTCCATATCCTGTCCCGAGTAAAAATCCGACCCATGTCGCGCAACGGCATTTAGTATGGTGACAACATAAACCATTGTATTATCCGTGCTTTAATATTTCTATTGATCAACTAAAGTCGAGTTTAATAGATAAATTGTCGGAAAACATTTTTTTAGCCCCTGCCTGTATCTGAACTTAAATCTTCTGGATACCGCGTTTATATGCTGAGTGAGTTCAGCACACGATATCCTCAGGGCGCAAAAATTTCGACAACAATTTACATTTTTAGTAGGGCTCGGTGGCATCCTGTGAGCATTTTTACAGTATGCGCACAATTTCAAATAAAATATTACAATGAATGTTTGAATGAGAGGTGTTTTTCGGATTCCTTTTAATGTGCCCTTCTGTGTTTTAATTGTAATTGTACGTGTAGAGGGAAAAAAAATAAAAGACCAACCTTGTTCGTTGCCTGGATAGTATCCGTTATCAGTTCCAGGAGCTGAGCTGCCTGGTCCGCTGGGACCGCCAGGTCCACCAGGTCCACCGGGCCCGCCTGGTCCCCCAGGGCCTCCAGGGGTACCTGGACTACCAGGTGTTCCTGGGGTGCCTGGTGTGCCGGGATAATAGCCTCCTTGTCCTAAAATATTTTGTATAGCCATCAGTCAACATCTATTTAATTATAGGACTGGGCTGTCTTTGAGCAAGCGCATGGTCTTAAAAATTAGTATTCCGTCTCTAAATTACTTTTTACTAATAAATACTTCGTGGCTCTAGACGTCGTAGTATATACCTTGTCCGCCTCCTGGATAGTAACCACCAGGACCACTTGGTCCACCTGGGCTATTGGGTCCACCTGGGCCATCGGGTCCTCCTGGACCATTAGGTCCTCCAGCACCGCTAGGTCCCGTGGAGCCGCCTGAAGTATCAATATTAAATTACACTTCTTAACCACACGTTGAAAAGTATATATGAACAAATTTCTTGTTTTGAACTTTGTTTAAGTCACTGTTGCTATAAGATTTCGTTATATTAAAAGTTATAAACGTTATGCTGAATGTGACATATACCTACATATGTACGTGGCAAAATTTTTGTTTCATTTATGTCCAGGACGCGGTACGTAGATGGCCCATGATACGTGTGTAATATAAGCTCCTGCTCTCTACGGTTATTCCATTACAGTTTTTTACCGTAATGGGGTTAGACAGCAGGACCCGCCTTGGGGGCTTACCCATAGCTGATTTTTAAATTTTTTAAATCATTTCTGTTGTAAGAAATCAACAGAAGGAATACTCCGTGGCGCAGTTGTCAAGGTATTGGCTTCGCCGGGAGTTGCGGGTTCGATTCCCACACGGGCAAGTGTTTGTGTGACTCACAGATAATTATTTCGGATCTGAGTGTTCTAAACACATATTTACAGTAAGAGCGATGTTTTTAAAAAAGAAAAATAAAATAAAATAGAAGGATATAAAACATTGTGCTATACCTTGTCCACTTCCTGGGTAGTAACCGCCAGCTGAACCAGCACCAGGTCCACCAGGACCGCCGGGACCCCCAGGTCCGCCAGGCCCACCAGGTCCGCCAGGACTGCCTGGAGATCCTGGACTACCAGGCGTACCCGGGTAATATCCGCCTTGCCCTGGAAGTGAACAGAAAGGATAAAACCTAATTACTATGAGCATTTAATGCGGAAAGTGATTATAACATCCCACATATCTTTTCTTATTTTTTAAATATCATATTATTTATTCAATAATAAAATTGAAGTTCTGTGAAGATTCATTATCCAATACCAATGTGGAAATTTCAAGAAACCTTACGAAACTTAAGCTCTAGGAAAACGTCTGGCTTGTCTTGGAGACTTGTTCCAAGGCCATAAGAATTGACCAGGATCAAAACCTGATTATTAAATTTTAAGAACCCGAAATACTCGTATATTTATGGCTAGGTAATCATTCTTATATTCTTTAGCTACATAAATTGCAACTTTTTAAGATTGGATTCTTGAAATGATGTATATTACATTAAATAACATTACGGGTTTTTCAAGAGGCATAAATTTTAAAAAACTTGTCTTAATTCTTGTGGCTAATGAAAAGAGAAGATTCCATCTCTCTAAATAGAAGGGAAGTGTAAAAAGTACACGACAAGGAGACCCTTGGCCTGGCCAGGTCTTCTCGTGTGCGCATTAATATTTACGTTTAATGTCATTATTAACTATTTTTTTGAAAAATTAATGTAGATGTCGTAGTACACACCTTGTCCGCCTCCTGGATAGTAACCACCAGGACCACTTGGTCCACCTGGTCCATTGGGTCCACCTGGGCTATTGGGTTCTCCAGCACCGCTAGGTCCCGTGGAGCCTGAACCTGAAACACCGGGGTAATAAATAATGTTATAAAAAAAGGAGATTAAAATTGATACGGACATGAAAAACAGTTGAGCGTGTATTAAAATAGTTATTTTTATTACACTCTATAAAATCATATAAAATTCAAGCGCTCAGTGGATTCTGCACCCAAATAAATCAATTTGAGTACAGGTTCCAGCGATAGGTTGAATTTTATTAATGGGTTCCATTAGTGCATACTGCATAGTAGTTAATTAAATATAAGAAATCGATATAAAATTACACTTCTTTGTTAAAGACTCATTGTATCTACAAAAACTCGGTAAATTAAAAGTTGTAAATGTTATGCCAAATATCGGATGCATTATCTTATTAAGGTAACTGATTGGAATTGCAGTAGACTAGACTATCGTTATATAATATAAAAAAGAGCTCCCGATATTTGTGCGCTAAGATTTTAAAGCGATTTTCAGCAATAGATAGAGTGATTCAAGCTGAAAGTTATATGCATATTATAGTAGAGAAAAGTCGAAAAATTCAATATCTATATTGTACCCGTGCAAAGCTGGGGCGGGTCGCTAGTTATACGATACAAAAAAGTTTGCTTCACATAATATGGCTGGTTCGCGGTGATAAGATCGCCCGTGATAGATGAGAAGTATAAGCTCTCGCTGTATTCTGTTACAGTAAACAGCCTTGGGAGCTTTCCAATGCTGATTTTTTATATCCTTCCTGTTATATTAAATGAACAGAAAGGTATAAAATATTGTGCTGTACCTTGTCCACTTCCTGGGTAGTAACCGTCGCCGGTACCAGCACCAGGCCCACCAGGCCCACCAGGCCCACCAGGACCACCAGGCCCACCAGGCCCGCCAGGACTGCCTGGAGATCCTGGACTACCAGGCGTACCTGGATAATATCCGCCTTGCCCTGGAAGTGAACAGAAAGGATAAAGCCTAATTACTATTAGCAATCAATGCGGAGATTGATAATGATGTCCCACATGTTTTTCCATTTTTTTATGATTTATTTCAAGTTAAAGTTTATGTTCTGTAAAGATTTATTATCGAATATCACTGTGGAAATTCCGGGAACCATAGTGAAACTTAAGCTTTAGGAAAACGTCTAGCTTGTTCTTGGAGACATTTTCCGAGGCCATGATACTTCTTCGGAGCTTAAACCAGGTTATTAATTTTTAAGAACCAAAAATATGTCATGTTCAGGTAAGCATTTTTACATTCTTTGGTCGCATAAATTGCAACTTTTTTAAGGTTAGCTTCTTGAAATGATGTATGTAAGTACCTACATTATATAAAATTAACGTTGCTGAATTATATACATAATTCGACGTATGTCAGTGTTTTTTTTCACGAGGCATAAATTTTAAACAAAGTTGATTGAAAAGAGAAGATTTTCATCTCACTAAATAGAAGTAAAGTGTAAAAAGTACACGACAAGGAGGCACTAGGCCTGACCCTTCTCGTGTGCGCATAAATATTTTATTTTAGTGTTATTAATGCCTAGTTTTTACAAAAAAATAATGTAGATGTCATGGTACACACCTTGTCCGCCTCCTGGATAGTAACCATCAGCACCACTTGGTCCTCCTGGACCATTAGGTCCCCCTGGGCCATTTGGTCCCCCTGGGCCATTGGGTCCACCTGGGCCATTGGGTCCACCTGGTCCACTGGGCCCTCCTGCACCATCAGGTCCTCCAGCACCGCTAGGTCCCAAGGAGCCGCCTAAAGTACCGGGATTATAAATAATGTCATAAAAAAAAAGATTTAAATTAATATGGAGTTGCAAAACCGTTTAGCGTGGATATAAATAGTTATTTTTCAATCAAATGATCCTTTTTTGTAACACATACGAGTAGAACAAATCTACTTGGGTACGGAATCGAGTGATCGACTGGATGAATTTTATTTTCAACGGGTTCTACAAGATACATTGTATTCGATTAAACGTAAATCGACATTAAATTATGCTTCTTAACCACTCGTAGAGAAGTGAGAAGTTTCTTATCTTGAACTTTGCTTAAGAGTCACTTCTACTACAATATTAATTTTTATGCATTATCTTAAGATCATGGATTGGAATCGTAGTAGTGTAGACAGTTAGATTATCCAAAAACGTAAGTTTCACATAATGCGATAATTAGATCGTCCTTAATAAGTGTGTTTATATTAGCTCTTGCTGTTTTCCCCGTTACGGTGAAGAGCCTTGGGAGCTTTCCATTGCTGATTTTTAGGGTTTCGTACCCAAAGGGTAAAGCGGGACCCTATTACTAAGACTTCGCTGTCTGTCTGCCTGTCCGTCTATCAACATGCTGTATTTCATGAATCATGACAATTAGACAGTTGAAATTCGCAAAAATGTTGTATTTCAATTGCCGCTTTAACAAACAATACTAAAAAACAGAATAAAATATTTAAGTGCGGCTCGCATGGAATAGGCATGATTTTTTCTGTCATATAAAATGAACAGAAGGAAATAAAACATTTTGCTGTACCTTGTCCGCTTCCTGGGTAGTAACCGCCACCTGTACCAGCACCAGGTCCACCGGGCCCTCCAGGTCCGCCAGGTCCGCCAGGTCCACCCGGACCGCCAGGACTGCCTGGAGATCCTGGACTACCAGGCGTACCTGGATAATATCCGCCTTGCCCTGGAAGTGAAAAAAAGAATGAAACCTAATCATTATGACATCCTAGTCATAATGACATCCCACATGTGTTTCCTGAAAATTCATTAATGTGGAAATTTCGAGAACCTTTCCGAAACTAAATAAACGAAAGCTCTAGATAAACGTTTGGCTTGTTCTTGAAGAGTTGTTCCGTGGCCTGTCCGGGGACTAAACCAAATTATTAAATTTTAAGAACCCGAAATATATAATATAATAGGCTCCCAAAAGAAATAAAGGAGTTAAACTCATTTAAGAAAAAACTACGCGACATGTTAACAGAAAAATGTTATTACAGTATAAACGAATTTTCTTAAATAAATAATGTTTTTTTGTGTCCACTGAACTTACTCACTGAATTAATGATGTGCAATTTTATCAAAATTTTTAGTTTTTTGTCATTTTGTGTTCTGTTCTATTATTAATTTTTGTTATCTTACTTTTAATATTCTATTATATTATTTTTCATTATTCTTTTATGATTTTAATAATTAACAAATTTAAGCATATACTGACAACCTGTTAACGAACATGTCATATTTGCACACCCTGCAAAATGCGTATCGTATAGCGATAAAATTACTGTACTGTACACTTTATGCCTAAACTATATTTCGCAAATAAATACATTATTACGAGGAGTATTATAAATTCTTAAGTATATATGAATATATGTGGGGCGAAATAATACATACATTGATTTCCACCTGGGCCATTCGGACCATAAGGGCCATTTGGGCCGTTCGGGCCATTCGGGCCTCCTGGTCCACCCGGGCCACCGGGTCCGCCGGGTGATCCCGGTGATCCGGGTGTGCCTGGACTGCCAGGTGTGCCAGGGGTGCCTGGGGAACCTGGAGTGCCAGGGGTGCCGGGGTAGTAACTAGGTCCGTAAGGACCGTTGGGTCCGCTGGATCCACCACCATCTTAAAGTAAAACAAAAATATATGAACTATTATAACTGAGCTCATTTTTTAAAAATAAATAGCTAAATATATATATAGGTACGGTATATATACGGTGGCAGCTTTTTGAATTTTTTTGGGCAACAAATAACTAATTATTTTTGTCCTATTTTAAATTCCTTCATGGAAGGCATCATCTAGGGGAACTCACGTTCGGTCAAGGACTTCTATCAGACTAAAATTAATGGCCATGAGAAAATGTCAATGGACTACTGATTTGATTAGCTTTGATTGATTTGATACCGAATGACGACCCGATTGGCGTATTGGGTAGTTACTCTGCCTCTTGCGCCAGAGGGTGTGGGTTCTATCCCCACTACTGGAAAAATGTTCCGAGATGAACACAGTTTTTTCCAGTGTCTGGGTGTTTATATGTTTATAATATGTATTAATTTTTCAGAAGAAAAGTATGTTAAAGTATGTATATCAGTTATCTAGTACCCATAGTGCAAGCGTTGCTTATTTTGGGACTAGAAAACATTGTGTATTAATGTGTCCACTTAAATATAACCAACAAATTAAAGTTTTTTTTTCTTAAACTCACTCGGTGGCAAAACGCCCGGTTTAGGATTGCTGGTTTGTGCGGAGCTGTCCGGTGGAGGGGGCGGCGGGCGAGTTGGTTTCGGCAGAGGCCTGGGTGGCACACCACCCGGGGTGCGACCACAACCTTTGGGAAAGTACAACTTTTTCCATGGTATTATTTGTCCGGGTATTGCTTCAGTTGATCCAGACACGTAGCTGAAACAAAAAAACATTGAACCTCAATACACATTATTTATTATTAATAATAATTTGAGAAAACATGATCTATAATCGTGGAGGACGAGTTTAAATAGCTTCATTTAGGAAATGACAATGAGTAAAAAGAAAACGAAGATATTTGTAGTTCACAATCCGCAATTAGGTAACGTAGTAAACTATAAACTATATATTTTTTTCGATTTGACAGCTATGACATCACAATATTTTGATGACTCCGTGGCGTAGTTGTCAAGGTATTATCTTCGGCGTCGGGGGTCGTGGTTTCGATTCCCACACGTGATAACTATTTGTGTGACCCACATATAATTGTTCCGTATCTGGGTGTTTGTCCACGTGACATTTATGTTTGTAAATGTCCTTACAACACAGGATAATGGTATCCTAGAGTAAGAGCAATGTTTAAAAAAAAGATATGGCGCGGGTCTATTCACACGCTTACTTGAATCACATTATACTTACTTTTCATCGTATTCATGTTTTTCATCGGGGAACACTTCTACTGGTTTCTCCGGTTCGACCACACGGTATCCGTGGCTGTCAGCCACGTAGTGCGTTGCGCGTAGATAGCCGTCGGGGTCGACGTAACCATAGCAACCGTATGTAACTCCGTCCGGTCCGCGATTTTCGTGGTGGAACTGACCGTTCGGACCAACGTCGTAACCGAAGCCATAAGCATCTAATGAATAGGGTAGAAGTGGGTTTGTTTGAAATTCTCAATCGTAGTTTATTACAATGACTTTGCCGACCTAAAAACCTAGTACTACAGTTTTATCAGGCTTTGATTTAATATTTGTGTGCGGCATTTGGTATATTTGCTTAAATTGTTAATGGAATTCTTTAACATTATTTGTTAAACTTGCTCTTTAGTTTTATGTGGTTTGAGCATACAACGATAAAACGATAAATCTATATATGTGAAGCAGATAGATATGTGAAGCATTATAAAGGCAATGGATGTTGAAGTTTTCGCCGTCTGAGTGCTAAAGTTAGGTAGTGTCAAAAACGGCTATTCATTAATAAAAGCAGACATATAAATTAAATTGTTCCACAGCCATTGATAAAATCAATTCCCAAGATTCGTTTCTTTTAGATCGGTTACGCAATGAATTTAATTTAAATTTGGATTTGAATTTAATGTTACTCACTTGTATCGTAATTTGTTTCGTAGTACTGGTTTTTCTCGTTGTCTTGTATATCGACTACAACTTCGTTGTCACTGCTGTACGTTTGATCGTATTGTTGACGTCCTCGTCTTGCATTTTCTGTTGTTGTCTCGGTGATTGTTTCGTTCTTAGTGGATTCCTCACTGGCCAGCGTTATTGCCAGCGACGCCTGGAATGGTACAATAGTTATTCCATAAGTTTCAGATTCATTGCTTTTATTTTTTGTACATTGTTTGTACATTGCGACTAGCTCTTATTGGACATATAATGAAAAATAGACATTCTTTTAACCCCAACGGGGTAAACAGAAATTTTTCATCTGTTTACGTTTTTGTTTTTTAATTTAGTTCTAAAAGAAGTTCAGTGTACACCTGGCACAGATATGTATAAGACAGTGATTTTCACTATTAAATAAAATGAAAAACTCATTGATAAAGGCATTGGGAATATGTACTATACATTCATGTATTTTTTTGTCCAACAGCAAATGTTTAACAGGTTTTTATAGCAGTTATTCATCTACTAATTGTATAGTATGAATGATACATTTTACAATAAATCATACATTAGATGCACACGATGTAATTAATGATTCATTATTCGTGCACATCGAAATGAGATATCGCAAATATCATTTGTTCCATATAGGACTGTTTTATAACTTAGCTTTAATATCTATCGATAGACAAAACTTGTTTTATCTTTCCCGTATCAAGTCTCAATGCGAGAGTATTTTTTTTTATATTCATAAGTTTGAAAATTATCATAGACGCAAGACATTAAAAAAGGAAAAACGGAAACAAGTTTTTAGGATTCCGGAACGGTGTCAACCCCGTTCCAAAAATCTTTTATAAAACTATATTGAATAATTTCGTAACACCATATTTTTCACCCAAAATGTCTTCATATGTTTTTAAATCAGTTTTATATAATAGTACTTTTTCGCCTGCGACTTCGCTCGCGTTGATAAATTAAAGCCCATTTCTTTATGATGGTAAAAGGTAAACATAAGAGTTAAGAGAGAGTATTAACTTTAGTCGTCATTGTCTCCTTGACGGTAATTAATTATCCACGAAACGTTGAACGTGAAAATCATCTGGCTATAATTATAGAAATATTACACGTCTTTACAGGTACCTATTTTTAAAGCCACTGTCGAAACATCAAGGAGGCGCTAAAAATATTTTTGTATGTACGTTTAAATCATGCGTCAGTGTCGTGAGGTAAATTGGTAATCAATTGCAAAACTGTCAAGGAGGCACTTGTCTCTATTGTGAATGTGAATATCAAATGTTAAGGGGCGAGATTATGTAATGCAGATAATATAATATGATTTTCTAATGTGATATCACAAATATGACACAAAAATTCAACGATCTTCGTCAATTATGTGTACATAATTGACCTAAAATTTTATATAATGTAAAAACTTATGTTGTGTGATTGTAGTTAAAGTATTTGTTTGTTTTCAATTCTAGGCGTGCTTTATAAGATTAATGACATTTTGACTGATTTTTGTTTAGTCTCGTAAAATATAAGATGGAAAAATGAGAATTTGCCCGAACAAACTCAGAAACGATTTATCGTGCCACTTATATTTCGATGTCCTAATGTGTGATTACAAGCTACCTCAATTTCAACTTTACATTGTAAATATGATTAGTTATTAGCAGAGTCGCCTTCTGTGTTGAGTCTAGGTAATATATTTGGAATGTCACTCGTCATCGACAAATATAAATACACCTTGTATTTCAAGTCTTAAAAATGTTGACCAATGAATCGTGACACCATGTAGTAAACATTTTTTCGTAAATATTTTTTTAGTAATTATTTTAATGTTTTTGCACTGTGAGTATTTTATTACTAAATATTATCTGTCGTGTCAACACAATAGCTGCACATCTAATTCCGTATGTAATATGTATTATTTACTCAAAACTTTATGCACAAAAAGTTGTTTACGCAAAGGTAGACTTAGTGCTAAAGGCATTTTCTATCAATCAACCTAACGGATGATTCAGAGAAGTTAAGGTAGGTGCACAACTAAAATAAAAAAGTTTGTATCCTTATGTACGCACGTAAGAATTTTACTTCTTTCGCTTAACAAATAATAATAAAAAATATCTCTTGTCCAGTACTCTTTGTTCGTGAAAAAGATATTAAATGCAATTGATAAAGGTTTAACTTGGAATTTTATGTAAATATCAAAATGTTGTTATTGGTTGGCAAAGATAATTTGTAGTATCTGGAGGACCGAGCTTTGCTTGGTTTTTTTGGTAAATCATGTATTTTGCAAAAAAAAAAAATAAAGAAAATGATCTGTGTATAGAAAAAAAAGTAAACAAAATGTGTGTAAATGATCGTGATACGAACCGCGGCCGTCTGTTTTGGGGCAGCCTGATTACTGACCGAGCTATTATAATAATTTTTTTTGCGGCGAAATTTACTGTCATATTCGAATGACATTTTTCATTCCCTGAAAACAGTGATAAAAGGGCATTTTCTAAAAACGAAACCTAGCTAGATCGGTTTTTCGCCCCCGAATCTACGCACATACTAAGTTTCATAAAAATCGCTGGAGCCGTTTCCGAGATTTCGATTATATATATATAAATACACAAGAATTGCTCGTTTAAAATGTTGTTTGTCGAAGTTGCTCGCTCCGCAACCAACTTCACCAGTACGCTTTTTGGCTGTCTGTGTGCGCGCGCAAATTACACTCATCTATAATAAACATACTTAGAAATATATATTCAAAAACACACGAATAGATATACGCATATCACATACATACATAAAATACACATATTTAAGAGTAGACTGAGTCAGGAGATAACGTTTTCAGTATGCGCTCGCGAGCTTTCTTTTAAAATTCCGAGAGGTAGCGTTTTCCACAGAAGAAAATATTTGATGAAGAAAGAAGTCTGCTTGAAATCAGAGCAGTGAGAAGGAGTGAGAAGATGATTATTCGTCAAATAAAGATTCTAATTGTTTGTTATAGATCCATCGGAGAAGCTCAATTTTCGATTATGTTAGGAAGGTATGAAAATTGTGATGTGACTTACGGTTTCATTTGTGAATGTGCGTGTGCGAATTATTATAAATGTTTAAAAAAAAATTTGGCTACACGGTTGTTTTTATGTGACTGCGTTCAGAATATAATGCAAAGATTACGGTTACTTCGATCAAAGCTCAGGGTATTCATTTATTGTTCTGGATAAATCGGGCCCCGTGTCGGCTTTAGAATTCAGCACGCGTTTGGTTTATATTTTAGCAGTGTTCACAACGTCCGTGACCGTAGCCTCAAAATCTAATGTCTTGTTTCAACCTCACGTAAACAGACATATAAATGCTTTTTGATCCCGCACGCGTAAGCATTCCGAAACGCCGTGTTGATATTTTTAAACAGAAAAAATTTGCAAAACAATGTGCAATCTCTGACATAGAAACCTAACGGCATTACCACTGTTGTGCTAAATTTATTAAGCTAGTTATATACCATTACTAGATTTATGCGCACGGCACGCTTCGCTCGCGGTGAAGCTCTTAAATAAATATCTTTCTTTAAAAAAATATAATTTTTTTAAAGACATATTTTCAACCTTTTACAACACTTTTTTCCAATTAAAATAGCAATGTCCTTTCCCCTGCTCTAGACTATCTGTGTACCAAATTTCATTTAAATCGGTCGAGTAGTTTGGGCGTGCAAGCGAGTCAGACAGACAGAGTTACTTTCGCATTTACAATATTAGTATGGATTTTCGAAAAAAAAAAATCGAAATAAAACGAAGTGTGAAATACGACGAAATATTATCAACAATTTACTTTTTATATGTTGAATAAACCCTGTAACTATTTTGGAAGCTATTCACGGCATATTATAGGTAGTCGGTTCCGGTATTATTTTTCTTTAATATTAGTATGTGCGCATTTTTTTCTATTCGAGTTATGTAATACCAAATATTTTCTCTTCGATTAAACGTTGCTGTGTACATTATTAAAAAAAATGCATTCTAGAAATATGATCTCAATAAACCACTGTACTGACTTCGCAGTAAAATGAAAGTTGATTTTGGAATAGTAATATGAATTTAAAAATGTTAATTTAAACGTTACTGTCCGTCTCCTAACTCGGCACGAAATAGTGTTGTCACCATAACATGTTGATGAAAATAACAATAATATTCATTCCAGTATTATGAAACGACTATGCTGATTATAAAATCTCAAGCAGAATATATAAATAACATAAAACTATATTGTAATGTCACTATTAACATAAATTATGTTGTTCAGTTATCAAAAACATGTTCAGAGGTACATTAATTTATGTGCTGAAAACTTGCCACTTATTCCATGTTTATGTTTATGTTCGTGATTATTCCGAATGTCGAATACGTCATTTCTAAACGGATCTTGATCTGATTAAGAATATTTAATTAATTAACATTACTAAAAGCTATTAATTCTTCTCTAGTTACAAACTCCTTATAAGTTGGTAATATGTCGACGAAACGTTGAGATAAACTTATTTCAGCCTTTATTATATTTCATTTTGTATTAAATACCTTTTTTCTACTGAACTAAAATTATAAGATTTTATTATTTAACATAATCTTTATCAGGCTAAAACTACTTCCAATTCCATTTAAAATAACTTTTTTGCCGCAACTCGTCAACATGGTAAAACGCGTATAAACCAATACAATACGTATCGATGCTGGCAGTATTTACATACAAATATAGCAATCGCAAAAAAATTATAAAAGTCGAAGTTCGAAGAGAATCGCTGCTTAGTATAAATAATATGTCAAGGTGCGGTAGGTGACGCCAGCGGGTTATGTCACACACTCTCCTATGTTTGGACGCCAATTTAAGCGTTAAGTAGCTATACAAACTGGTGAAGGTCGCCTGCATCCGGTACGAGGGGCTAACCGTATTTTGTACCGTGAACCTGCACATCAGTGAAAGTGTCAGCTGAATGTTCTAGTCTGATACTTCTTCTTGATATCGACCGTTTTATGTTTAGATTACACGTGGAATGAGAAAACAATGGCTAGAATTTTGTAATGTTATATAATTATCACGCCATCCAATTCTTATATCAAAATATTTTAAAACGAAAACTTATATCATAATGATAGGTTTCGACACGATCTTATTACTTTTTTTCTAGATTTTCTAGAAGATTAGTTATGTTTATATTTACTTTATGGTATTATTGCTTACTTGAAATCCTAA